TGATGCTAGCAGGGGAATGAATGCTGTATGGTGTTGTGCCGGAGCCAGACATGACAACCATACAACCTACAACTTCAGCGTGTCCTCACACATGCGTATGAATACAATTTGCCTTCCCGTCAAGTTCTCAGCTCTTCTTTCAAGAAGAGGGAATGTAACAGCTTCAACCAGACAACTTTGAAGTGCTTGACAGGCCCATCCCATCGGGAAACACACATACACACTCTCACACACACACACACACACACACACACATACCTGGCATACTTTTTTTTTTCCAGTAATGAATTTTGTTTATGAAAAACTCAACATGAATGTCGCCCATGCAGCATTACAAGATAATTATTTCTGAGAGTAACAGTCACCAATTTACCATTTAGACAGAACAGGATTAAAGAATCATATTAGAGAATCGTTTTCATTTTTATTGGATGCTAACTTTTTGTTTTACTCTTGGAAATACTCAGTCAGTATTCAAACTTATTTCCACACAGTCTTAGTCATTAAAGGGGACTTAAACAGACGTTTCATTTCATTTCAATTAGGTCTAGTAAGAAAAAAGAGGGAAAGGTGCCCGATACCTGCATGTTCTTCAGTTTGTGATCCGTCGCGCTGTACCGCTCACATTCCTCCATCCCTCTCCGGAGGAAGGCGTTCACAACAAAACTATCTCCTGTAACATTGAGAAAGTACACCGATCAGCAAGAATACATCTCAAGCTCAATTTACTTTATTAGATTACCATAGTTTATCAACCTTCATTATACAAAATAATCGGTTTATCCTCACCTTCAGGGTTTTCTCTGCGCTTGCACGCTTCAGATCAACAGAGACAGGGATGCAAAAACAGACAATCGTTAGTTTGTGTGAGACTTTAATCGAAATATTTTAACTTTTTTGTTATTCAGTGGTGAAAACATTTCTTACCATGTTTTGACTGATGTTTCCCCATTCTTAAGCCCCTCTTCCCCTGGATCAATAAAGGTACTCCGATATCGGAACAAGGACGACACAGTCACTGCTTCAACATGGTCACATTGTGTTTGTTCTGCAAGAAGAAAACTCCAACTTCATCCAAAGGCAGGTAATTAAGTCGCATGTTCATTGAAGCATCAGCTGTATGTGTGCAGAAACGAGATACATCTGTGAAAGTGATCTGTGGAGGAGACGGGGCAACACTCGCTGACTGTCCAGGGACCTCCCTTCAGTGCAACTGAATGTGGAAGCGCTTTGAACACAGCAGAGATCACGGAGTGTCAAGACACATAGAGCAGGTACAGTGGTTCCGGTTGGTGCTTTTACAAAATAAAATATTACCTTTGACGAAAATGTTTCAACCACTGAAGTAATAAAACATCAAGCAAATGTGGAGAGAAATGCATTTATGGAATAAAAAACAAAAAGAAAGAGCTTGATAGCTTGATCTAGCCTACTTAACCATAGTTAGCGATGTCTACCTTGTTTTCTTTATTTCATGAGGGTTGCAACAATAATTCTGTGGTGATTAATCTGGGACAATAACTTTTTAACAATTGATTCTTTAAAGGGTGTCTTAAATGATAACAAGTAGCCTAACTAAAAAATCTTACAGATAAGCCAAAGCTAAGTCTTAAAATTAAAAATGACTGGAGTATGGTCATTGATTTGTAGTTTTTTATAGTGCATGTTTTTTTTGTTTTTTTTTGTTAAATTATAGTGCAAACAAAATATTATCATAATTAAAGATTGCAAATCAGTAGATGTGCTCGAGCGTTTAAAGTTTGTCCTTCATCTGAGAGGTGAGTAATACAGCGGCACATTACTGAAAGATGTGTGGAAAAACCCCAAAGTCTTCAGTTTGATTTGCAATCAATACAGTTTGTGTTTACCTTCTAACTCTTTAGACAATATGTTGTTTACTCTAACCATGTGTAATTGGACCTCTGAACAGACTATGTTAATCATTATTTGTTCCTACACCCAGTTATGTTTTCATTTCTAGTTTTTCCAAACGTAGGCTACTACTATTTTGAAAAGCACCTTAATTGGTTTCCGGTTTTGTTCAGCTTGACGCACTGAACGCTGGTTTGGCAGCTCATGTGACGTTGAATGTGAAACCGCGTCCTCTGTTGGTGTGATTTTTCGAACAGCTCCATTCATAGTTTTCATTGTAGATATGTATTCATGAAGAGGACACTTTTATTATTTTGTAAAATATTCAATATCCTATTCGGCACATTAGTTTGTAGGTCACGTTTCTCTCAATCAAACAATGTAAAGGTGTACTATTAAAGTTATTAAGATTAAAACACGGCTAATTAAATCTGTCTCCACATAGTGCTGTGATATTAACCAGGATTAGCAAAAACATAATTTTTACTTAAACCCAAATGAGATTTTAAAGAACTGAGCTTTCACATTCTTTCTGGTGCGTAAAGATAAACACAAAAGGTGCAATTAATAACATTATCATTCAGTAAATGATTATTCTACTTGTCTGTTTGCTAACCATACACTGATAAGCTTCCCATAAAAATGTCCGTTATTTGTTTTAGTAATGTACACAACAGATACTAAAGATAAACTCTTGTTTATAAAAGAAAACCAGGAAGAACATGCTGTACTTCGACCCACCAGACATCAAAAGCTCTTCAGCATTTTTACAGTTTGTGTCCTTTGGCAGGGCTTTAAAACGGGGCCGCCTGCAGGACACATGCCAAGAATTATGACTATTCACCTTTAGCTCAATGTGAAAACAGGAATGTTATGTTAGTGTTTAGTAAATATCCCACTCCTGTGCAAATCATATTCAAAACGAGGGTAGATGTTACTTTGAACTTTATCGTGTTATAAGGCATAAACTGTTATTATGTGCTTAGTGTCAGACGCTCACTCGCTCACTGCTCCAAAGTGCTGCAGCCATATAAGAAATCCCGAAACCTTGTCCTTTATTACCTAAACAAAGCAGCTCTGCCTTGAGGAACATAAGAGACATGTATTCATACATCATATTTTCTGTCAAAATGGTACTTTATCATAGTATCCCAGTTCCCCTACCGTACCTTGATAAATGTAGCGTGAAGCCTCATTGCTCTTCCTGTCAATTTGTCTGCCATTTGACTTTTCACAGACTTCTCTGTCGCTGACAGGATGAGCCGAGATTTGCATAGCTCATTGATGGCGGCTTCCTTTGATCCTACTAGCCGTGCCTAATTATCACCATTTCTTCATGCAGCCTGGATCCCAGGATTCTGCCTCTTTACAAGCTATCTCTCTCCCTCATCCTCTTTCTTCCACTCCCTCTAGCGTCCCACTCAAACGAATGACATACATACAGGATGCAAAAACATCTCAAACAGAAACAACTGTTTCTGTTTGGATTGGGAACAGACATAGGGGTAGTTGAGGTTGTCTTATACTCACTTGGATACAAGTCCTGGTTTATCATCAAAGGCTGCCATGTCGATGAAGAATTGAGAAGCCCTGACGCAGCGTACGTTTTATGGGCTGTTACGTATGTGCACAAAGGATGTGGATCATTATACTAGTGCAGGGTTTTTTCTAAACGTGCTTCAATCAATCAACTTTAAAATCCTCCAAAATATCATATCTATGTAAATCATAACCTCTTTAAAACTCAATTTGTGATTTTTACGAAGACATGAGTGAAAGTTTCCATGGTTTGGTGTGCAGCTCTGTTCAGTTTCTTCTTAACTTGCCTATAAGCATGTGTGTAAGTTAATTCCCTCACGATGTGAATCACCATTGGCACATGCAGCGATATTCCATTGCTTTCAGCCATACCTGAACAACGGTTGAGAGGATAAACATCAGGCTTGTTTGTTTTGTTTGGAGTTTTCTGACATTTTGAAGCTGCTTGAAACGGTGATAAAACTCTGTAACAATAAGGCTTTTGACTTTTCTTCACGCTGCGTCTTGATTGCTCTTTAACAGCTGCCTGGTTTTGGAGCAACTACAGTCAAAAGAAGAAGGAAAATGCCTCTAGACAGAGCAATTATGGTTTTATTTACCATGCCCCTTCCTACAGCTCTCCCTTTCTCTATCTTGCCTTTTTCTATTTTCTTTGTGATCACTGATGAAAAGCTTGAGCTTCATTGTGTGATTCGTCTCACATAAAAACTTGAATGACATGCCGTATAAAAATAGTGGGCGCCTAACAATTAGGTGTAAAAGATAGAGGCATTAAAGGGATAATTCACACAAACAAAAGTTACGTTTCTTGAATGAAATGAAGGCTTTGAGGGGAAATCCATTCTGGGTTTCTTGTAAAACTCGATACTTAAGGATAAAATGTTGTCCCGGGTCTTGATTACAGTAGAAGTCTTTGGCTTGATCTTAACGGCAGACAGTCAAATCAAGTGTGAATGAAGATGAACTTGTGTGAACTGTTTGTTATCCTTTTACATTCAGGAACAGCCTAGAGAATCAACCTTTGAAGTGGAGTGAAAAAGCTGTTGCTCAACAACAAACAAAGGGCACATTGTCTGAACCCGGCAGCTGACATGCAAAGCAGCGGAGCATTCACAGAATGCAAAACATGTTCATACGAACAATGGAGCCCCTGATCTGTTCGTGTAAACTGTGCATGATACATTTCAGAACTGAATCCTCTTTCAACTCTTTTACTTGTAGGTCAAATTTGTGGCAACCAGTCGTATTTCCTGTACAGAACACCGGGATCAGCTGTTTTTACTACCAGATGTGCAAATGTACATTTTATATCTGTGAAGGTTTATTACTCAATCAAGATATTTAGATAACCAACATGAGACAGGCTCAATGTCCACTGTAATCTGTTTTTTTTTTTCTGGCATTGTGGGCTTTTTCACTTACTGTCTTTATTGTATTTATCACACGTCTCATAAAAGAAACTATATAAAAATCAGTCTTTCCCTGTTTAAGACTGTGCGACAGTATCTGTGCGCCACCTAGTGGTGGCCTAAAGGCTTTGTTAAAATCTCCAAAATGAATCTGCAGCATTTCAACAACACACAAGAGCATAAACGATACTGTTTATTACAATGCTATATCTACAAAGTAAAGTCGTAATGAACACATGCACCCAGAGAGTTTGAAGACGATTTGATGTTAACATAAATATAGAACTGACAAAGATAAAGATCCAAATGAGATATCCTCAATAAAATCCATACACTGAGCTAATTTGTACAGAGGGATTTGAATTAAAGTTCAAATAACTGATGGTGATACAAATGTGAGCTATCCCTTCAACATGAATACCAAAAGAAGCCGGCACTGTTAAGGTTAAAGCTGAACATTACATAAAACTACCACTTTGAAACTAAGAACAGAGTAAACACAGAAAATTCAAGCTTTGGGTTCTCCATCCTAAACCAAACTGCCTGTACTGAAACCGACTTGGTGGTTTAAGGTAGTAGCACCAACAGAATTTACCTGAACAAAGACTTATAATATAAATAGCATTTGTTAAAACAATGTTACTTGCCAATATGACGTTGCTGCCAAATGAAAGGATTAACCTTTATAAAAAAAGATGTAAGGGTTGTAGTTTTCCATACTACAAATGAACAAGGCACGGGATTGAGAGCTCACAAACAATCATGTGTCAGCCTTTGGGCATTGTAATAAGTTCAGACATCATTGACCAGGTTAGCCTTTTCCTCCATCTGTTTATCCACTGCTTGGTCCATCGCCTCCAGAAACCTCTCAAGAGTTACCGTCGGTGTCTGCAGGCGAACAAACTACATTAAAAAAACAATACGAGTCTTTTCCTCCTTCAATCCGTAGAACAAAATCAAATACTTACCTTTACAAACAGTGCGTGGGCTAGAAATGGTAACTTCCTGAGAGCCCGTCCACTCAAACCTTTGCTCTTTCTGGAAATGAAAAGAAAAACGAAACATGAGCCCCTGGCTGTTTCAGCTCTCACTGGCACTCAGTGTTTAGACTACAGCACGGAGACGGTGTGATTTGGGTTCTATTGCATTATGGGAGGCTTTACTCACACGGCAATGTTCCTCAGGTTCAGACTGTGTTCGGACACCTCACTCTTTGCAAAGCCCATCGTCTCCAGCTCAAACATAGTAAACAGCTGCTGCCGGGGGTAGATGATCTGGCACTGCACGTATCGGAGAGATATGGGAAATCTATCAACTCACCATATTAAAATAAAGTTGCTTTTTGAAGCATGTTGATAATAAAGTTAAATATTATAAGCATCTTTTATATACAACCGCCAACCTTTTAATTAGTGGACAACCTGCTCTACCCGCTGAGCCTTGCTCCCCAAGGCCATCATTCCCAAAACAAAGATAATCCCCCAATAAACTAGTAAAACTATCATACCCACTGGCACCTAAGTATTTTGGTTTTTTTAAGATGAATACGTTTGAAATTGTTACAGCAGATGTGTTTCGAAAATAATTGCAAAATATTTTTTTCATTTTTTATGCATCTATTTTTCTATTTGTTTCTAATTATGTCATTTTTGTTATCGATTTCCAATGCATGTCCTGAATATCAATAGAAATGTGATCCCAAAAAAGAAAAGGAAAACGGTTGCTCGATTGTTGGGTCACCTTCATCAGCTCCTCCAGGCAGGAGAGGTAGATGTTGTAGATGCCCTTCTCAGACGGAGGTCCGATGTACTGCTTGATGTCCGCTCTGTCCACAAACGCCAAGTCGATCTTTTCTGTCACATTGGAGGTCGTCAGGATCACCACGTTGGAATGTCTGAAACATGAGACCGAAAGTCAAAAGAAAACAAACTTGTGTAAATAAGACAAAAAAAGAAAATCGGATGGATAGATTTCACAGTGAAAACACTAATTAAGTGATTGTAAGGGGAAGAAACGAAGGCTTCCAGTGTCATATGATATCAGAGAAGCTTTAAAACAGTACATAGACCGATTTGCTTCCTGACCGTTTGATCTGGTCCAGTTGAGTGAGAACGGAGTTGACCACTCGGATGGCGTCAGAGGGCTCGGTTCCCGCCTGGCAGGCACTCCGTGCTGCTGTCAGACTCTCCACCTGCCAAAACACATGTTCACAGAAGGAGCAGTGTTAGTCACAGCAAAGACACTCTTGAACATGAAATGACTTGAACAAAGCTTTCCGTTTTATCTCAAGCAAATCAATGAAGGAATGTCATGAATACATTAATTGTAGGGGCTCAGATAAAACAGATTCCAAGAATCAAGTTCATTTCCCTGAAGCAGATTTTTTTTACCTCATCAATCAGAACAAACACGAGAGCATCTTTGTCGTCTATCAGTTGTTGGATCTTTTGAAACATCTTGGTGACCAGCTTACCGCTCTGTAACAAAGAGGCATGGCGGGAATACTTTCAGCACCATCTGAAACATGCTTCAATCTAACAATGGAGCATAAAAAGAAGCCAGGCGTACCTCTGAGAACCATTTTGAAAACAAACTGTGGCTGTTTATCTCGACAAATTGCCCATACGAATACCTGCAGGGAGAAGAGGTGTCTTTTGAAATGAAAAGAGCAGGTGCACTTTCTGCTAAAGCGGTTTCACAGAAATGAGGATTGACTTACCGACTCGACAGTCTGATTGACAGCTTCTGGGCCAGAGCTTTGCACAGTGACGTCTTCCCTGTGCCCGGGGGGCCTGAATGTAGGCGCACACACAAAGTGATGAATCGGTTGTATTACGCACATCCTCCCTGGGATGACCTCAACTGATAAAAATGAGTTATTTACCGTGAAGTAGCACAACACGGTTCCACGAAATCAGGTTACTGTCGACCTTTTTGTCTGAGAAGAAAATGGTGGTTGTGATGTAATCCAGGAGCTGCAGGAAAATGAAAACAATTGGAAGTTTAGCAGTGATGGGTGATGAAGTTATGCCATAATTTTCTCTAAACTGCTATTTTCACCTGGGTTTTGACTCGACTGTCGTATACCAGACTCTCCCAAATCCCATGGAATTCAGCTGTTAAACAGAGATTAAGTCATTTTAGGGGAATATTCAGCAAAGATTGAATTACAGCAAACCAAAGCTAATAGATAGATGCACATTAACATAATGAAACATAAAATATAAATCACTTATTATTATTACTTTAACTGTGCCTTTACATTGACGCTTGAGCTAGCCTTTATCTCGCTTAAAGCTTTAAATGTTGAAAACGTATCCCATATAAGCTTAAAAGATCGTTATAAAACAATTGCAGTTTTTGTCACAACAGGGAAAGAAGGCTTTGGTCAGGTTGAATTCATGTTGATTAGAATGGACTCCAGTGACATCAGCATATGCCAGATATATAGCGGAGGCAGTCTGTAAGAAATTACAGAAAATAAATGCCAAAATAGGTTGGGGGTCATTTAGAAACATTGTTCTGTTTATGTTATCAGATGTTTTAAACTCTCAAATATCAACTCCAGTATGAGATGTGATAAGAAAATTAAATTAAAAAAACTTTATAAATAGAGAACGTAAAAGAAATAAATAGTAAGAAAGTGTTGAGAGAGCTGCTGCAACAGGCTGCCTACCACTCTGTGCCCACAAGCAGGGCGGGCAACAATTCATATACTTATGTTTCACACACTATTGTTTTTATCAAAGGTGCCTCCATTCAAGCTCTGTTGAAAATATAACAGTTTGTGACATACTGAGGATATGGACAGCATGAATCCAAGCTGACCACAGCCACAACAAACGTTCTACAGCCACCTTTGAAGCCTACAGGGAGTGTAAATCCAGTTCAACTGGAAATAAATCAAACTAAGAAAGCATGAATTTCTCAACGCGGTGTTATTGTGCAGCGTCACCTGCTGGCAGCAACCAATGATTGGCTGCTGAAAGCTCCTCATCCTCCTCCAAGCTGAGCGTGCTGGGTCCATCCTCATTCAGAGTGAAGATGTGAACGGAGACAGAGCAGCTCTTCAAGTCGAGGGGCTGAGTGGGTGAGAAAAACAGTTAATGAAAAAAAGAATAAACAACTGCAAAGCAGGATTACTTCTGAAAAAAAGAAATAATAATATAGACGGTGGAAAACATTCACAAAGCAAACCAAAATAACAGACCTGTGTTACCAGCTCCTCTTGATCAACTATAGACACAGCTTCCACGTGTTTCTGCAGGAAGTCCTCATCAAACTCTACCCATCTGTAGTTCCCAAAAACCATGCTGTGGCGATTCAGCAGACCTAGAACATGCATCCTCACCTCAGACAGTTTAGCTGTGCTAAAATGTGAACAAGAATGGGAGAAAAAGTCTTGCATTTATACAATTTCCCCACATGTGATTACTGATACCATACCAACACCAAATAAGACTTCAGGGATTTCCCAATGTAATTGTTTGGAAAATGTATTCAGTTGTTAAATAGTCGAATAACCCAAAACATGATTTCTCAGCGTCTGTCTTTTCATACACGTATTCAATGTTTTGAACTACTCCGCGAACCCACCTGTGAGATTTAACATGGACCTCCACATGAATGTTTTGTTCCTGGTTTCCCAACTCCATGCTGTCACCGTCCATCCCTGTAAAACTGTGGACAAACCGGAAACATTCAGAACTTTAAAAGCATTTATATTTCGTTAAGCTAAGTGTAAGTTGGCGATGTTGTAGCTAGCTACGCAGCTGGCTAACGTAAACAGCCTTCAAATAGTGAAGGTAAACACTTCGCTACGTCGACAAAACGGAAACCATAACTTACACCATTTACGTTATCAATCTGAGGACTTGCATCAACACAATTTATGCTACTCGAGAAACTATCGACAGTTCGCTGTACTGTCAGAAAGCCGACAGTCACTCAAAATCAGCGCGCTGATTTCTTCCACCGGAAATACGTCATTTGTTTTGGGTTATCACTTCCGCCTGTCGCGAGCTTTCTTGTTGCAAAGGTTTGTTAGGTCTGGACCGACGCTAGCGACCATTAGCAACGTAACTGGAGTAAACAAGATTATTCTTCTATAAACACGGAGAGATGGGGAAAAAACACAAGAAACATAAACCGGAGTGGAGAACAGTTGATGGTACATAAATGTATATTTTACTGTCAGTTATCGCACCGCTTTTGTTCCAGCTAGTTAGCTTTATGTTAGCTAGCTTAGCTGGCTAGCTCAACTGGATAAGACAGCAGATTTGCTTTGTTGTTGTTGTTGTTGTTGTTGTTGTTGTTTGTGTGAAGGTCTTCTCTACCACCACGATGCACATGCCACATCTATCTGGTTAAATGTCCTGCTGAGATCCCGAGTTAATCAGTTCTTTGTAATCAATATATTATATAACTTACCATTTATATATATATATATATTTTTGCTGTGCCAGTAATTAATAACTTAGATAAGACAGCAAGTTACATAAGATATGAAATTATATTTATTTTTTAAATATATTTACTTTGGTCTTTAATTATTATGGAATTACTTCCAGCAACACAATGCAGATAAATGCAATACAACCCAGTCACACAATACACAGAAGGGTTTTTCTTCAGATAGAAAAGCTACAAGTTAATATAACATTAGCTACTCTTTTACAATACACAACCTATTTGGCAAGTAATAGCAGACTTGACTTACAGTATTCCTACCATACTAATGGCAACATCATTCTACATGCTCACCTACTCCTCCCACACATTTCATCTTTTCTATCTCTTCTATCCCCTGTTTGGTTGTAGACAATGAGGACAAGACTCTCGAGAAGCCCCTGAAGCTCGTGCTCAAAGTTGGAGGAAGTGAGGTGACCGAGCTCTCGGGTTCGGGCCACGACTCCAGTTACTACGATGACAGATCAGACCACGAGCGAGAACGCCACAAAGACAAGAAGAAGAAGAAGAAGAAAAAGTCTGAAAAGGATAAAGACAAATATGTGGATGATGAGGAGAGAAGACGGCGTAAGGTTAGTTTACAAAAGAACCGTTTAACTTATGAATCTGTGTTTCGTGCCACTATAAGTTAAAACAAATGATTTTAATCTCATCCTATAGGAGGAAAAGAGGAAGAAGAGAGAGCGAGAGCAGAATGAATCAGAGGCAGCAGCTTCTACTGCTGCCAGCGCCGGTGTACCTGTTGAGCCTTTCACTTTGCCAAAAAGTATAATAAGTATTGGATTGGAGGTGAGTAAAGTTAACTTAAGCCTGAGAATATGATCAATGTTAATCTTAATGTTGTTGCTGACATCATGACCATATCTCATCAGCCGGAAGAGAAGAAAAAGAAGAAAGAGAGAGAGAGAGAAAGAGAGAGAGAGTTTGAGCTGGAGCCGGAGCCTGAAGTGGATGAGTTTCACCACAGTGTGAAGTTTGATTTAGACCAACAAGGAGACAGGCCGGTCCGAGCATGCAGGACACAACAAGGTAAGAATGGCTGTCTATGAGGACAAGATAACATTTTTCATTTGTAAATGTGTTAATAAATATCTGTATTTAATTTTTTTTTTTTTAACGTTTGCCCAAATGCAGAAAGTGAATCCACTCCTCGTCAACAACTGCTGGAGCACTTTCTGAGGCAGTTGCAGAGGTGAGGAACACTGATTCAGTCTAATGTCTGCATCCACCGGTGATGCAGACCTTCTTATGCTCCTTAAGACACCGCCCCACACAAGTAGACAAGAAATATCATACATTAATTAGCATATTCCCGTGAGATTTACTAAAAAATATAAAATCTTTCCATTTTTTTCGACACACTCAAGCGTTTCCTTTTTACATGACTCTCAGTTCAAAGTTTCACTTTTGCATACAGCACGGTCAAATTGACGAACATTAAATAACCTGAGCACACACATTGTCCTCGGGGCACAAACACATTTGGTTTTCATGGCAGTCCTCTAGTCTAGAACAATAGCATTTGTTGTTTTTTCCATGCAGCACCCACATATAAAATGTTGTAGGGTGCAATAAACATTGCTGCCTTTATGGGCTGTAGGCATTCAGTCTTTAGTCTATTTGAGCATTTATTATTGTGAGTGGAGGGGGGGGGTCCTGTTGCTATCAACACTTGTAAAACATCACGCTAAATGTAAATCAGGCCACATTATGATGTGGACCGGTTCATCAAATCACAGCACAAGCAAGATCCATTCATATTGATCGTGTTGACCCGACAGATAACGCGCGCTGACATGATCAGAACACTCAACAAGACAACTCTCAACTAATCTTAAGGTCGGTGCTGTATTGAATAACATCATGATTGTCTTGTCTGTACAGGAAAGACCCCCATGGATTCTTCTCCTTTCCGGTAACAGATGCGATTGCCCCTGGTTACTCAATGATCATCAAACATCCCATGGACTTCAGCACCATGAAAGACAAGATTATGAACAATGACTATAACACGGTTACAGAATTCAAGGTGAGGATACTTTTCAACACAAAGGGAGAGTTTGTGTGTATTATAAAGGGTTAGAAAGTGTGTGCAGACCAAGTTTACCTTCATACCTGTTTGAACACTGTTTTTGCCTTCAGGCGGACTTTAAACTGATGTGTGACAATGCCATGGTGTACAACCGACCAGAGACTGTCTATTACAAGGCTGCCAAGAAACTGCTACATACAGGATTTAAGATGATGAGCAAGGTAAAGCGGGAGAGAGGGTTTTAGGGTGAATTTCTCCATGAAAACATTACCGCCATCATCAAGAACGTCCCGCTGTCCCTTTCTATTTTCTTCATCATACCCTTATATCCATACATTTCCAATTAAGTAGTCGCAATTAAGTGGCCACTTGTTTCCTCCGCCTTGTGCTCAGGAGCGGCTGTTGGCTTTGAAACGCAGCATGTCTTTCATGCAGGAAATGGATTTCACCCAGCAGGCAGCCATTTTGGGAGATGAAGACCTTGCAGCTGATTTACCTCCTCCAGAGATCATCCCCAGCCCAGTGGAATCAGCTAAAAAGTCCAAGAAACAGCCAGTTAAAGAGGAAGTCATCAGGTATTCTTTCTTTGTAATATCTGGAATAAATGTGGCTTTTTGTGTATGTAGTATCAGTGTAATGATCTGGTAACATTGTCTCTTGTGTGGTCTTCAGTTACCTGTTTGAACCAGAAGGAAATGCTTGCAGCTTGACTGACAGTACAGCAGAGGAGCACGTCCTGGCACTGGTTGAGCATTCTGCAGATGAAGCTCGAGATCGGATCAACAGATACATGCCCAACTCCAAGGTTTTCCTCTTCAACTTATTGTGTAAACATTGCCGCTCATACACACTGTTTCTACAAGCTATAGCTATATTTTAAGTGTTAGTAAGGCTTCCACGCTTCCAGGAGATTCTTCTTCAGTGCAGTTAGTAGTGACAATATATTTTCTCTCGTGTGTGTTTTCAGATGGGCTACTTGCGTAAAGAGCAAGACAGTTCTCTTCTATACACTGTTGTCAATCAGCAGGAACCTGATGCAGAAGGTTTGTTGTCATAGTTTTTTTTAAACATCTTTCAAATATTCACTACATTAGTGTAATTATTCTGAATGTATTGCAGAAGATGAGACTCATAAAGTGGACCTAAGTTCTCTGTCAAACAAGCTTCTACCTGGATTAACCACCTTGGGTTTCAAAGATGACAGGAGACACAAAGGTATGCAGTAACGTGACCTGTTGTTGATTGAATTCATATAAATAACAATGACTAAAGTTTGCCACAAAGTCTATGACTTCAGATGGCTAATGCTTTTTCTTCTTGCTCTGTGTAGTGACGTTTCTGAGTAGTGCCTACAACGTTCAGACCCTTCAGAAGAACTCCATCTTTCCAGACCTGCTACCCGATGAGGTGGACACGCTCTATTCAGCCTATGGCGATGACACGGGGGTACAATGTGCTCTCAGGTAGGGGGGACTTCTCTGTCATCGGTTAAACTCTGATCTGAAATGATCTAGTGAAAATAATGTGTCCCCCTGTTTTCACCCCGAAGCATACAGGAGTTTGTCAAGGGCTGCGGAGATGTCACGAAGTGTTGGGTCGACAAGCTTCTGGACAAGATGACCGCGGACGATCACACTAAAGCTGTCAGTCAAATCCGACAGGTATCTGACTTCTACCTAATACGCAGTATTACACACACATTACTTCCATCATTTTCTCAGTCTCCAGACTGGTCTCCCGCCTGTTATCTATGTGATGCTTCATTTATGTTTCAGAAAAGAAACATCACGCTCAAACCTGATGAAAGCAAATCCAACATCTGTGACATGCAGGTATGCTGTAGTTTTTTGAAAACAGTGATGCTACGTTTAAGTAGTTGGCCCGGCTGTCTGATTGAAGCTGTGTGTGTGTTTGTTTAGATGGTAGATGGCACCGGCCTGGGAGAGAGTGGCTCAGTCCTGGACTTCATGTCAATGAAGAACTATCCTGATATGTCTCTGGAGTTATCCATGCTCAACTCATTAGGTGATTATCCCCATCAACACTCGGAGTGGCTGCATGTACATGTACACTTAAAGTCTTTCATAACATAATCATAGTAGAAATAGGATTATGGCGGACTTGCATTAATGGGATAAGGCCCTTTGTCGCATTAAGCGTATGTCATGTGTGGAGTCGCAGTATTAGTGGGCATTATAGCCACGTAATCACCAATCCTATTAAAATTCTTAGGGCAAGTTTTTACTACATTTTGAAACACAGCAGTCAAAGTACTTGAAGGATACATAACATAAATATTGGGTAGGATGCTCCACTCGGAGGTAGTTGCATTTATTTGTTCACTTGCTGTCCTACAATGATCTTCCCTCTTTCTTTTTCAGGTAAAACTGTGAAAAAAGAGCCGGGCAACGAGGAGGGCCAGCAGCAGTTTGACGATGCCGACAAACTCCTACAGGAGTTCCAGGAGGCTCAAGTGGACAGAGTCGGCTCCAGGCCCTCGTCCAACCTGTCCTCCCTCTCTAACGCCTCAGAGAGGGATCAGCACCACTTAGGTATCTGCAATAGGAGTAAGACTAAAAAAAAACTAGGTGGACTGCTAATGCTTCTTAGCTATAATTTAAACATATTGTCATTTGCATGCTAACGCGTCATAATACCGTGTTGCTAGATATCAACTAAACCTCCACTTTTCTGCAAAATTGTCATTGCTAGTAGTAGTAACACCAGTGCAACAACGTAAGAGCCATGTCTTCTTTATTTCACAGGGAGCCCACCACACTTGGACCAGTCTGAAATGGTTCATGATCCCTACGAGTTCCTGCAGTCTCCGGAGCCAGAGAGCGCAGCCAACAGCTGACCACACACACACACTGCCATGTTGTTGTCTCGGTGTTAACAGCACCGGGTACTCGCTCTCGGACTGTTTAAGCACTGTGGAGACGGCAGGAGCCTCTGACCTGTTTTAAAGACTGAATATGATTGCACCGAGTGTTTGTAGCGTAATTGTATGGTTTTGTATGAGTGCAACAAATAAATGCTTGCACCTGTATAAATGTGTGTGTGGTTCAATGAGCATATGAAAAACTATTATATATGTATATTATGTAAACAAAGGACCTGTCAACCAGTAATAGTCATCCAAACTTAGTGCATTAAAAAGCATGTTTTAAGATCGTCCAGCTGCGGTAAAGATGCACTGCTGAGTCCTCAGATTTGTGCAGCAGTAAACTCACATGATTGGGTTTCATTGAGCAACGTTTGCTATTGTTTCAGTACGAGAGAAACAAGAGGGAAGTGAAAAGAAAGCAACATGCATGCAGTGTACATTGACACTCATGAGACATTTGAGATGAAATTCCGCTGTGAAAGAATTGGGCTTTATTTTTGAAAGCAGAAGTGTCGTGTTTTTGTTGTTTGCAGTTCGCTATTGTTCTCATGGAAATTCTCCAGATTGAGTTTGATCTGCACGCTAGATGCGCAGACACTCGGTGACAGAGTCAGTGGAGGGCCACAGTCAAAACAAAAAAAAGCTCGGTATCTTGAGCAGAGCTGTAGTGCACATGCGCAGTAGGGCCGTTTCCATAGCGCCGCTCCGACCTGCTGAGTTGATTCTTCAACTTCTGATTCACGTCCTTCGGTGACAAATCAAAGGACGTCGGAGCATTTTAATCGTCTTTACGGGTGTTTTTTAAGCGCTTTTGTCCGCGCGATGTGTTTTGCATATTCCAGCACGTGCTCTACTGATAAACTAATCATTTGGTATCAAGCGATGGTTCTCCGTCTGTAATTGAACAGGAGCATATTGTTTTAAGCTGATGGTCGCTTTCTTTCAACGGCAAAAGTAAGTAATTCTACATTGCTTAAAACTCCTTATAGACTGTGCTATTGTGATATGAAACCCGTACAGGTTATTGTTGGCATGAATATTTAGATTTTCAAGCCGTAAAAAAGATTTGACGCAAAATGCAGAGTGAGCTCAAGCACACCACCTTTAACTCAACATCAACGTTAGTTACTTCATAAAACAAACATCCGGAACTTTATTAGCTAACATAAATTGCACTAATTAGTCTTATTCAGTAATAAAATTAAAACATTAATTGCTAAAAAGTCCACAAATTATAGTTTATTTCCAGGTTTTGTGGATGAATTGGTGAACTTTGATCATAGTGTTGTGTCAGGCATAAGGCCAGGAGCAAAACATGTGAGTACAAGACCTTTTACAAAGAAAGAAAGAAAGGGATGTAACACTTTGTGTGACTCTTTTACTCTGGATCAGCTGTTTTCTTTAGGCTATGTGACAATATCCTCCTTGGTGTACATGTGTGTATATATATATATTTATGCACTGATGCCTTTGCCATTTGTAAAGATGGATAAGGCACGGCCTCTGCCAGTTTATTAAGTAAAGTTATCTCAAACTAATGCAATACAACAGTTTGGTATTTAGTCCAACTGTACCTTCATGAAGTTTATGATGTTAAGTTTTTGTTGCAACAGTTTGTTGGTTAAACTTTATGTTCATGTACTTTTGTTGACTAATATTCTTGATATGTTGTCCACCTCATATATACCAATGAGGTTAAACTATGACTGTTGACATATTTGCCAGTGTGTTAGGCATACCTAGCTAAATGCAGTCTGAGTGTAGGTCCATAATGGCTGAACAGTCACTGTATCATTATGCTCAACTCATTTTCCTAACTCATTTCCCTAGCAAATACAGCCACGCTCTGCTGGAGCTAGACTTGCATGTAGTACGTGTAATGTGTGGATGGCTGTGTGAAGGCGCCGGGAAGAAGCTCCTTCTCATCTGACTGTGTTTATTCTCTAGATGAACTGCTTCAGCCAAAAGCTGAGACGCACATCTCCCGTGCGTGGCAGCAGTAGAAACGAGCTGGTCCCCTCGAAGCCTCCCAGGATGAACGGATGGTCATGGCCCCCTCAGGCTTTCCAAGTGGTTGGCTGGCTGGTGTTTGGCTACCTCACCATAGTCAGCTTTGGCATCTATATCCCTCTTCTGCCTCTGCCGTGGAACCATGTGCTCTATGCTGTATCCTTAACACGTAGCTGAAATGTTGTTGTTGTAGTAGTAGCTGGCTGTTAAGTGTGCATCAATGGGTATTTAACATTAGTAGTCTCTGCTACGGTTTTTGTTTGGACTGCAGGACAAGACAAGGATGGTGTTGTGTGGCCTGTCTGTATGGGCTGCAGTCACACCAGACGTGACTCTGTCTCTGTTACTGTGGTCTCTATTAAGCCCAAAAGACACAATCAGTGTGTTTTTGTCACATGTTGAATGCTGCATGATGTCAACACTGGTTTGTTTAACTGAGGCTTCACTCAGCCATAGGAACAGTTGATTTCTTCAGAACGGACTTCATTTCTCACACAAAAGATCCACTTGTATGCAACAGTTTGCAGTTTCTTTTACACTTGGGCCAATTACTATTCTGCACTGTATTGTCACATATTGCAGTATTCTTCTAATGTTATTGCTGTTTTCCTTGACTCTTGTTGTGTGCAGCTGACTGGCATAGCATTTATCGTACACTTTTTGGCCCATATTGCTGCTGCGACAATAGACCCGGCGGATGTCAATGTGAGGGCCAAGCGGAGCTATTCCAGTCCAATGGCGCTTTTTGACAGGACTAAGCAACCGCATGTCATCCAGGACCTACACTGTTATCTATGTGATGTCAAGGTGTACGTATTCTCTAATGGGATTTAGCTTTCTCTAAATTAGAAGCAATATAGTTTGGCAATCGTGCAAAAGTTGTGTATTATGACGTTTAACATAATCAATCTTCACGTAGTGGGCCCAAAGCAAAACACTGTGGCGTTTGCAACAAGTGCGTGGAGGACTTTGATCACCATTGCAAATGGCTGAACACCTGTGTGGGTGGCAGAAACTACCGGTAAGAGAAGGTTGTGGATGGACTTTGTGTATCTGACCTCATGTCTGATGTTTAAATGAAAGGTGGAATGCTTTATGAACTAACATCAGCGTTTGTGTGTGCCTACAGGTGCTTCTTTGTGGCACTGTCCTCTGCTATGCTCGGCGTCTTCCTGCTCGTTATTGTGATTTTCTTCATATTTATTCAGCATTACCTGGATCCAAACAGCCTGCGGACCGCCCCACAGTATGACAGTGAGTCACCATAATATTGAGCTTTTTTAAAAACAGCTTTGATCACATTTTTTGTAATTGCATAATCAAAAGCTGTTTGAGTGTTATTCTTCTTTTTGTCCTTCTTTCTGTAGGTATGCTGGGGAATGGTACCTGGCTGGTGTTTTTACCCTTAGCACCCATAAAGACTAGTTCGGCTGGTCTCCTTATATTAGCGTTCACAACAGCCATGCTGAGCATCGCCTGCATGCTGCTACTCGGTCATCTGCTGGGCTTCCACTTCTTCCTCTGTGAGTCACAATCTTCAAGACACACATTATATAGGGCTCTTTTCACCTCATCCAGTCATTATTCCTCACTATTCTCCTCTCGGCTTTACAGTTTATAAAGGCATAAGCACATACGATTATGTGAAGAGGCAGCGCCAAAAAGAAGCCAGAAACATCGAAGCAGGAAATCCACAAGATGCGAAAATCAATAGCAAGGCCCCACAGGTGAGACCTGTCCTTTGCTTCTCACGGACAGTAGTTTGTTCATTGTGCCATGTGTGTAAAAATGTTTCCTTTTTTCTTTTTAAAGATTGAAGAGAGCTCAATCGACTGTGAGCCAGCATTATCACATAGTTCAGGGTAAACATCCTTAAAGTTCTTATTATACTATTTGTAAAGCTAGTTTTGTTCAGAAAAAATAATGCCATTCTGGTTTTCCTGCAGTACCTGCAACTTTGACGATAAAGGCCCGCTCACAAGCCAACTTTCAGAGTCTATATGCACTGAGGTAAGCATGTCTACTTATATCTCACTTTAATTATTTTACATGCATCGAATGGGTAATGCTACATTAATATTCTGTTTTGTTTTCTAGGTGGAGAACTTTAGGAAATCAGCAGATAAAGAGAATAGCTATGGCACAGAAAATCCCACAAAGACCACAGCAAGTAAGTATTTGACTTCAGCTATTAACACTATAGAGTGCTGCAGGAATGAGTGCATTTTTGCCCTTCTGGTCCCCTTGTCTATAAAGTCATTGTTCTTTTGAATGGGTTTTTGGTTAGATGCCTGAAATAATGTCTGTGATTAACACAAGCTTGAGAGATTCATGTTCTTTGATATAAAATATGTCAGTAGATACCCCTCTCGTGAATTTTTGAGAAAAAGGTGGTTGCTAAGAAGTGGCTAAATGAGACTACTAAATATCATCACACTGAGCAGTCGGCCTTCACAGCCTCGTTGTGTATACTCGCGCTCATGCGACCGTGGTGTGGTCCGTTTATAACCCAATGTTAGGACTAAGTCTGGGACTATAGATGAAAAATAGCCTCTTGGCTACAACACTGTTTTATAAATGTGCACTGTCCCTAACCAAATAAACCAATAAATAAATGTTAGCTTGTTATTTCTGCCGATAGCATTCACTCTTCAAAAACCATAACAGTGGTGTTAATTTGTGAAAATGATCTTGCTCAACAAAACATGTAGATTACAAACTTGTGTTTGCCACAGAGCTGCAATATTCCAAAATCCAATAGAAAACTCCCATTGGCTTTTTGTCAGGGGAACCAGTGCAATGCTAACATCTGTAGTTGGCCTACAGGAATACAATATCCCTGCAGCACTCGTGTTATTGTTCTGACCTCATTTATAAAGTTCTAGGAGGAAATAAATACACCACCACAAACTACAGGTAGGAAAAGTTTCATATTATATATATATATAAGAGGGTTATTTGACTGCATTGTAGTGTAAATTAAATGGAAATATAGTATGCATGCAAATTCATTGCACACAGATAATGTTTTCTGTCACATTTATTGCAGTTTGTAATTAATACTTGTCTCCTTTTGTTTCCTGTGTCTGTAAGGGGAATTGTCTGTGAGCGACAACAAAAGCTGGAGGCCCGACACTAAAGAGGCTCAGAGTGCGAGTGAGAAGTCTGTTCATCGTGTTCCTGGAATGCAGGACCCTCTGGGAAGCTCAGTTATGACTCCACATGATACTTGGCAGTAACAAATGTGGTGCATCAGGATATGCTGCTCTGAGAAATTAGGAATTTATTAAGGACAGAGGACGCATTGGACTTGAAACCACAGTTTGAACATGGAACAGTTATTTCATCCAGAGGACATTTTGTATGCAGTCTGAATAGCTGTGGACCCGTCATGTTTTTAAAAAAGCCGACACTGTTTTTTTATAACGGTTGAATTATTTAAAGCATTGTTTTATCTCACTTATGTGTATAGAGAGTCAAAGTCCAGCCCCACTTTCATGTTAGCCTTTGTTCCACTAGCCTGATTCAGATAGCTGGATGTACCAATCTTCCTGAAAGGCTGGAACATGATACTGGATGTTACAATTCGTATTGTGAGCCAAATGGGTATCAAATAATGTAGATAGTAACTTTTAGCATCTTGTCATTTTATCCGATGGCCAAAGAGAGAGCCTTATATAGCCAAATATATTGTCATTTGTGAGCCACCATATTGTTTTATAAATGTACGTATCTATTTTATTCAAGAATTTGAAGAAGGGACAGTAGCAGGTAAATCAAATGTTGTCTAATAGTGTTGTAGTTTTTGTCCATTTGTAAGCTGTCACATATTGTTACCACTAGAGGGCTGTGTTACAACCTGCACTTGATGTTCAGGGGAACACAAGGAGTAACCTTTGAGGAAAGCAAAAGATGGGGCCGACACAGAAAGTAAAAGGCTACATACTTTATTAACAAATGAAGAGAGCAACAAACAGAAGTAAAAAAGCTGTCGGGTCTCAAAGAGCAAAACAACAAACAAAAGAAAGCAAACTAGCTAGAAAACAAAAACTCAATGATTCTACTGAAAACAAAACGACTACTAAACTCCCATACTACCCATTAACCAGGAAAAAAACTAGTGCCAAAGAAATGGCAGAGAACCCCTACAAGGCTTCTTTAAACAAAGTCACCAAAACTTTTAAAAACAAAGTATCAGGATTTTAGCAGAGCTGTGTCAAGATGCAATCAGTTAAACTCCAAAAGGGGACAAGACCTCTGACTCTGGGATTAGATATGCAGATTCACTGATTGTTGAACAAGATGCAGGTGTGAACAGGCACTGAGAAAGGGGCTCGGCAGACCTGAAACACAAAGAGAGAGCTCTCTCCCAACAAGAGCCCAGAAAAGAATCTGTGGACACAACAGGCTGGTTTTTAAAATGATAGGGTTTGAGTTTGAGTGGAAATGAAAGCATTTTGTTTTAATCTATATCGTTTCAGAGTGGGCTGCCTGTGATGTGACCGATATAGGAGAGAATATTGTTTAATATAATTTATTATATGGCTTTAATAAAATATTGCTCTTCAAATTGTGAGAGTCGTATACATCATGTCTTTACTTGTTATTTTTATGTGATAGAAAAGTGAGCATGTGTAATTCATGAATGTTGTACTTTTTTGTTTCTCATTCATTTTATTTAAGTATGATTTTGCTGGTTTTGCAACAAAAGGGAACATAATACACTCTTTCCAAATTCATTTTATAGTCATTTACAACACATGTAAAACATGTGTGAAAGGGAAAAGTCCTCTCAAAATCTCTAAGACCTGAATGACTATGAGAGAGAGACACACAGAGAAAGATAGAGAGAGGAGAGAGACTGAGTGAATGAGTGTGAGAGAGACAGACAGGCAGACAGACAGACAGATGGACTGAGTGGGAGAGAGACAGGCAGACAGAGAGAGAGACAGACAGACATACACCTGCGTGCGTGTAACTGGTTGCCGTGGTGAGGACGCCAAATGTGGAAGAAGAAGAGTGTTAAAATACCTACGGAAGAAATAGTTGAAGAATAAAGATTAGAAGAACAATAGTTCAACAGTGGGCATCACACTCACAACATGTTATCTTTGTGCTAATCACCATACGTTGTTATCTAACTTTCACCTGCATGATAGAGCTTGTGACGAAGGCATTTACTGGAGCAAAAGGAGACACAGATTAAGAGTGTTTACCATTTCTACCATTACATTACAGTCATTTAGCAGACGCTTTTATCCAAAGCGACTTACAATTCAGAGTCTATCACATTTCTACACCGTAGGCACAGCTACGGGAGCAAGTTTAAAAGTCACAAAAAGCGTTTTAAATTATAATAACCAGAAAATAATAGTAAGGGGGGCAAGGTAATGACACAAACTAATGCAATAACAATTCAGCAAATAACTGTAGCCATTAAAATGTCCAGGGTGCCACATTAACACAAGTATCCAAACCTCGAAGATTGACAATTTTTAGACAGCAGAATATACACAAATTCACATAGAAATCATTTACATGGATGTCTTATTTTCAATTTAAATAAATAAAATAAAAAGGTGACATAGATGGCAGTATACGTGTATTTAAACCATAGATTTGTTATATTTACCTGCGTCTTTGTTGTGTTATTGATACAGATGTATTTAATGCAGGTTATTTCATCTGATATTTGATGTTGATGGTTAATTTGCAACATTTCTGTTATCAAATCCTACATAATAGTGTAAAGTGTGACACTGGGCAAATGTATGGGAGGTGTACTGTGTGTATTTTGGTCAACACTGAGGCAATAGTCCAGAGCTTTTTTTTAGGCATTAGTTGTAATATAAATGCAAGAATCCTTTTTTATTATTTGCAATGTCTGAAAGGAAGAACATATCTGCAAGCAATATCAAAAGCCTGAAACCTCAGTTACATTTACATGTATGAGCTTACAAAATAAGACCATTATTACATGTTGTAATTAAACAACTACACCCATTATTAATTATTTCCCCTTCCAATTATTTATTTTCCATTAAAGGGGAAATTATTGAGAAACACCAAATGGGGTGGGGGCTGCTATTAACCACACGGTGGCGCACTCGAAGCAGCTTTAGATAGACTATTATGTCATCAAGTGATTTCTCCCAGTTCAGGTTGTTTTTTTATCATGATACAAGCCCTTTCTTTTGCTCATAGACATGCATGTTTTTGCCACTTGCCCCTGCCTTTGAATAGTATATCTGAGAGCTTGGAATTACTATATTATTTGGACCATCAGTAAGGCTAGAGGTTACATAATGTCCATCCATGTCCAACCACTGGTTATGTAACACATTTGCACACTGGACATCAGATGAGTAAGATTCAGAGGGCAGTCTTGGCAAGATAAGCATCCTTTTTGCCGACAGAGAATTTCCCATGATGATATAAAGTGAAGTCCTACGAGTCAATTCCCTCAACTGACCAACCGGAACATTCAAAACTCCTGTGCTTGAACAAGTCATGATCAAAGTGCACTAATCTTAAAAATATTTGTATTGCTTGTATGTGACCCTTGGCCTCTCATTTCCTCCCTCTGTGGCTCATGGTCACACACACACACACACACACACACACACACACACACACACACACACACACACAGGGGCTTCATACTGGTTGTTTATTAATGAATGCATCAACATAAAACCATCCACGTCCAGTGTGTACATCTTCCTTCTCCACCTCTCTAAGCACCAAAAAGATGCGCCTAGCTCCGACCACTTGTTTATGAGCGCTCCACTGAGCACTGTGGCACCATCACAGGCAACAACACCGAGGCAAGAAGAAAACAGCTCGTCGCGCACGGCGGGCAGCCAATCAGCGCGCTGGTTTCTCTTCAGCATCTCGGAGAGAATTAAACCGTCGAGCAGACTTGAGTTCAGGCAGCGCGGACGAAAGAGACTTCAGGACTCCGCGACGCGCAATTATGGTTTTGTGAATTTGACAAGAAGGGGGAGGATTACATCACCAGGTGATTATAACTTTATTTGCCATCATTTCTCAAATTGTTGCTTGTTTTGGCTCATGCTACACCTGCATGTTTTCACATTATGACAAATGCAGATTTCGATGACAACCCACACAAAATTCAGCTGATTCCTGAAGGTGCTCTTTGTTTTGTTTTCATGTCTTCGCATGCTTCCTGTTCATGCTACTGAACATACATAAGATGCCTTTAAAGCTGCAAGGGCGTGTGGCAGCATGCTCTGCCCAAACTTGAATCAAATTTGAAAGGGTATTTTCCTAAAATGCCATGTTCTGCATTGGCAGACACCCATCAGGGTCTGACAATAACAACCTGATCACGTGGACTCAGTGTGAATCTGGCATTTGCAAGTTTATGTAACATGTTTCGCACTGACACAGCTGCCGCCATGTCTGGAAACATAAACACGAGCTTTTCCTCCGCTGTTTATCTTTTTTAAAGCGGGCTCGATGAGAGCCAGAGTGAAGGCTTCTGCAATAAGCATCGTTACTTGTCAGAAAGTATGCCAATGTATTTGGCATGTTGCTGCATCTTTCATGCCAAGCTGCTGGCTTACATGTGTAGTTACATAATTCTGCATGAAAAAAAAAAAATGACGCCCTCTTTTATTAGCATCCTGATCTACTGTGAATTGCTCTTAGGGATAATAAATAGGATATTAGGAGGCCCTTCAAATACAGTACATCTAAGGAAGGTATGTTCATTTTTTTCTCAGTAAATGGTTTTGTAGCAGCATTCCCCATAGGTTAAATTAGGTATGCATGAGAAGAAAAAACAGTCACTGACTTTGTCCCAGATTTCACTGTCCTAGGTTTCATTGCATTGGTCCAACAGCCTTTGGGTTCTGTCACAAACAGTTAATCTCAGAGTGTAAATTACCCTATTTTGTTTATGGTGACTCAAATTCAGGTCAGGTTTCCAAAATAAAAGGGATGCTTCTGGGCAAAATGAGGTGTTGCAGTCCGACAGCATTTTCTTTACTACACGAAAGGGCAAATTTTGTTTTACAGTGTGTGTGTGTGTGTGTGTGGCTGCAGGAGAAGATAACAAAGACACTACATGGCATTTCTTTGTCATTACAAAGACTTAAAAATGACCTATCTTGATGAACTAAGAGAGACATTAAACAACAGTCTGGCTTCAAAAAAAATTAAACTGGACTCAGAGCTAATTTGCTGCTGGATCAACAGACCTCTCTCCATCTGAGCCATGTCAGGGACACTTATGCTGTTTATGGCATAATGTATTCCTCACAAACGCGGGGTTGCATAAGGACCCCACGGCTGACTTTACACTGCCTTATACCTCTATTTGGCTTGCTGCTGCTGCTGCCAACAATAACCACTGTAGCTGCTTGTTTCAAACATCTTGTTTTTCTACTGCACACAATGCTTGCCAAGATCTTTGACTCACCGAGCAGTTAAAGGGCTTAGGGAGGCGAGGACTGAATAGAGACGGCGTGGTGGTGACCTCAGACCCGGTCTGCAGCATGCTGATGTCATACTCTCTCTCCTTATGTCTTTGGGGGAACAGTGAGGGTGGGGGACTGTGGCCAAACTGGGAAATGGTTTAGAGGTTCTATTTAGTGGTGTCAGTGCCTGAAACAGAACATGTTGAAGGATAAGGCTTCCGTATGTTTGCCATGCTGTCTGTGGCACTCACTTATTGCTTTCTACTGCAGATGAAGATATTAAAAAAGGGTCACAATATCTTGTTTTATTTTTATAAAGAGCCAAATATTTTCTTTAAACAGCTGGGCACTGTAGTTTTAAGTATACGATCTATTTTCTGCAGAGGAGTAATGCACCTTAGGTGCACTAGAAACTAGTTATATTATGTGTATATATATAAATAATACACACAGACACACATAATTATGTCAAAATAAACCACAACACACACCTTCATTGTAATGAAGGAACATGTTTTGTCTCAAAAAATATCAAATTTATTATAAATTCTCAATTTTGAGGAGCTGGAACCATCAAATGTTTGCTTGTTTTGCTTGAATGATGACGTTAACAGTTAATCGATGATGAAAATAGTTAGCAATTCATTTTCTGGTGATCTAATAGAATAATCCACTAATCGTTGCAGCTCTATGGCTCACTAATATGTTTTATTAGTTTTAGGTTGATAATGGAGATACGGCACAGAGGAGTAGTCACTAGTATACATAGCAGAAAACTGGTAGATATGGTGGACTATAGCTGGAGATACGTTTTGAGGACACTGGGGGCTTCAGTGTAGTAACGATGGTCTCTGTTTTACATTTTGATTGACTGACACGTCACATTCCTGAGCAGCTGCCTGGAAAGGACACTGATCTAGATAGAAAGCAGATGGGATCTCTGCATGCCCACTCACCACATTGGAGGAGTAGGCCTCGGTCAAACCCTCTTCTCACACACACACTCACATCACACTGACAACAGTGTCATCATTTTGTGGGTGAAACGCCATCTGCCAAACTGAAAAACAGTTTAGTTTTTTGGTATTTCAGCCTGCATGTTGTCTACCGGCTGATCTCCTCCCTTGAGAATGAATAGAATGTTCCAGCCATGGCTGCGTATTGTTGCTATGAATAGATGCAGTTAAAAATGGGTCAATTTATGGTTAAAGCACTCATCTGTGCAGTGTATTGCCAGAAGGCGAGTGTATGTAAGCATGCTGTCATCCAGTTACAGATTTGTCTCTGGAGATCTGCCCTTAACCAAATGGCTTCTCGTGAGTATGTGGCAAAGTGGGGCAGAAAAAAAAAGACACAGGACAAAACCACTACTACGATGGTTGTACTGGTCTCATTTTTAAAATACACAGAGTAGGAATTTGGCCCAAAACACCGTATTGGTAAAGTACAGCTTTACAGCACCAAATAATCTGTACTCCATACTATACAGTTTATAATGGGTTTATAGTCTATCAGAGCACTACATTTCCTTTCATCTCTGTTTGTGTTCTACTTCAGGCCACTGAACTGTGTTAATGACCTCTCCTTCATGTATTGAACATGATGTGGTTTGAGGAGGCTTGTTGTACTGAGGACTTGGACTCTTGAAACTACTGACTATAAATTAGATGAGGAGGAGAGGGAGTAAAAAGATTCCTTTGTTTCCCACAAAGATGTGTCTGCTGTCATTTAAGCACAAAGGAAAACACACAGCAAGTAGTTACTCTATTTGAAAGGATGTGGATCTCCACTAAATGACTGTTTCGTTAGTATTAGATGGAACCTCAGTATCATATTATTTTTATGAATATTAGTTGAAATAATATAATTTCCTTTTTGGAATTACAGTGAAATTCTATTGATTATAAGTCAGTAAATCTCCCACATAAAAAACCCAATGTGTGTGTGATGACCTAAAGGGACTTATTTGATTTGTCCAATAGAAAATGAATTGCCAACAATTTTGATAATTGATTAATTGTCTTTTATTAAGTCTTCTATCATATAATATTTGGTCTCTGGTTCCAGCATCACATGTGACAATTTTCTGGTGGATTGAATATTGTTTGTAAATTGAATTTTTTTTCAGTATTGGGCTGTTTGTTGTACAAAACATGTACATTCAATATATTACCTTGTGGACATTATTTTCTGACATTTGATAGACTAAATGATTGAGCGAAAAGAAAATGATTAATTAGATTTGATGCTTGAATATTTATTCAGATATATTTAAGTTTTTAAGTTATTTTTTTCTTATTCCACATGTAAGCAATGTTGTTTTCTTTAAATATTAAAATGCTTAAAGTGCAAATTATGGGTTAAATTGTAAATTTAATTTACTGTTATAAAAAGATTGACCTAAACAGACTAATGGTAACATCCCATTTATAATCCCAGCATTCCCATAACAGTGAGTGCAAATGTACACATATTCACTGAAAATAGGCACAGCTACAAAGATCGATCATAGGATGTTAAAAACGATATAGATATGTAACCATGTTTTACGTGTACTTTGTTAATGGTATGTATACTAGATAAATAAAACCTTGAGGCATCAACAACCTCAATAACTATTTGGATTGTCTTGGCCTGAGCCCTCGATGACATATGACTACAAAACCCCTTCCATCAATCGTGGTACTCTGCGATGTCACCATGTGTGTATGTGTGAATAAATGGGCATGGCATGGGTCAGACAGAGAAGCCACTAGCATTGGACAATGGGTTCCCAGTGTCTGTTGCTCTGAATGCCATTATTCATAGACATTAATAATCTCCTTTTTTGTCCCTCTAAGAATTGACATCGTGATTATAATGGCTTTATGCAGTGTCAATCTTGGACCTTTTGTACCCATTCAAGTGTCAGCTGTACTTAGCAAGGTCACATTCGTAATCGTTGGCCACAGGGTCCACAACCCTTCGCTTTACACGGGGCCACTGGGGGTGAGTGAAAGTCTTTATTGGCGACTTGAGGGACTTGCTTGAAACCTTGGTAGCTGGAGCAGAAGGTTAGGTCCACAGGACACGACATCTCTCTCTAGTTGGCATCTTGTTAGCATCTAGTTTAAATTGAAGCAAGTGCAGCTACTGGTTTTAGATACTTTGTTGAGGACGGTGTACTTTGCCATGGCAACACAGGTCCTTTAAGGATGCTGAGCTAAGTATGGGGACAGCTGAAAGGTGAGCAGAGCACCATCACTTGGATTACATTTTCGTATTAATAATAGCAGAGGGGCTTTTTGATATTTTGTATGGCAGTAAAGTTACCTTAATGACTAATGCAAGCACTTCAGTTGTGGTTTAAGGGTGAGGCTGAGTTGATGGTGAGATGCTGCTGCTCTATACAAAGAGATGCAAGTCAGGATGATGATGTGTTTAGAGAGGAATCCCTAAAGTCAGACTGAATGAAATCATCTTATGCTGGAGAGGAAAGCGACGATGCTGCTCAGTGTGCAAATGCAACCTTTGAGGATCTGTCACAACGAAGAATAGCTTACAGACAGACGTTATCTGGGGTTAATTTGGAGTTAATGATGAGGATTTTGATCTTGTTCCTTTTCTGTGGTTATTATTCACTTCATTCTGAATGCGTCACACCCGAGGGGCAGATCGGAGACTCAAACGCAGACACAGACACTGGAGACGAGGTGAAGTTTAAACTTAAGAATCTTTACTGGTCCAAAAGGTCATAAACAAACTTAAAGCACCTCCAACAGAGCAGGGAAAAAGATCCAAAAACACAGAAGAAAGGCAAAAGGATAAATCAGGAGCAAAAGCTAGAGCTAGAGCAACAAGCAAACACAAGGGCGACACAATACTGGGACAGACAGGGGAACGAACAAGGACAATCTGACAACCAGAACAGGGAAAGCAGGGGAGTATATATGTGTGGGGTGATGAGAAGATTGAAGGCAGCTGGGTGGACTGGGCAGGTGAGTAGGATGAGTGCAATCAGGGGACACAGAGACACAGACACAGGAACACAGGGGGCAAAGCCTAAACCGTGACAGAATGTTTTCCTTAAATATAGTTCTGTCTGTGTGCCAGACTGGATTAGACATTATGTCGTAAATAATTGTGTTTTTATTGGAGCACAATTAAAGAGTGACAAGTATATATGACGAGCATATATGTGGAATGTACCTTTTGTTGTGGCGTGTTTATTGCTTTGGTTTAATTTGTTTCATCCCTTCCACTCTCTGGCACTCGCATATGTGCAGACACATCCTCTCGCAGTATTCACCTCCATTTTCATCTTTTTCACAGCACAAAGAGAAAACCAAAGTCAGCTAATTCAAGCACTGCACAGAAGGAACCAAATTCCCGCACAAGCATGGCAGACCAGAAGTAAGTTTTTTTTTTTTTTTTTTTTTTAGAAGTCATGTTATGAGCCTTCACCTCACATTTTCGTGTGTTTGTTCAAATGTCCATCTGCTCTCTCGGTTCTTGATTTGTGCGCATTTTGAATTCCACAGAGATCTATTTATATCCTTCACCTCTTTACTCGAACAAGCAAGACATCTGCCTCATTCAGAGGCAGTGTGAGCACAAAAACAGACTAATTGTACCAGAAGTAGCTTGTTGACGAGCTGTGTCTTGACCTTCAGGCATAACACACTTTTATCGTTCTGCCGAAGAGTTTTTCCGTTAGATCTGATGTTCTTTCTACTTGCTGTACAGACTGTGATTAATTGTCCCTTTTCTCTTGAATCTGTTGATTGTGATCAACTCCATTAACATTTCCTGTAAATCTTGATAAGAATTATTTAATGCTGTTACTTGATGTAAAGCCAATATGACCTCTTGTGTTCTGAATACTTAGTTGTGTGGTACGAAAGAGTAGCTTCAGTGTGTGTACTACATTTTCCAATATATCACCTCAACTGAAAACTGCCACGTACAGCTCTTACATCATGTGGATGATGTATTTTTCCCCCCCCCTCAGAGACAACATAGACGACTTTAAAGTCCAGACAGCCAAACATCCTAACATGGGCTCGGCCCCTTTACAGCCGCACAGTGAACAGTCTAGAGACCGGCTGTCCAAAAGGCTTTCAACTGAGTCTAATGGGACCAGTGACGGAGGCGCGGGCTCGTCCACACCAGTGGAGGTGACCGCTTTGGAAGAGTCGTTTCGCCGCTTCGCCATCCACGGTGACACTCGCGCCACCGGCAAAGACTTGCACGGCAAGAACTGGTCCAAGCTCTGCAAGGACTGTGGCGTGATTGACGGCAAGAACATCACCCTCACTGACGTTGACATCGTCTTCAGCAAAGTCAAGTAAGAAAGACAATATTGTTTATTTGAGCCTATTTAAGCTACCTTTCACTGCTTAAATGTCTTTTGCTTTCACTAAATCTGCCAACATCTGAACCAGCTAAGATCTTGTAACAGGCATGCCACTACAGGATTCTTTTACTTCAGTGTTACTTCACGGGTGCAGCGGCTGAGATGGCTACAGGCTTAGTCACCCAGATCAGCATGCCCAAGAGGCCACTAAAGTGGTGCAAACAGGGTACCATTATGGTTGTTAGGAACACAGAAGTGGAGAGGAAAACTGTCTCTGGACTGCACTGTAGCAATGTTTCTACTCTATTTCATTAGTGTTCAGAGAATTTAATCTGTGGTATCGTCTTCACACACACAGTCAAGTAAAACAGGCCCCGACCTTATTAATAATACCTAATTAAGATGTCAACTGTTTCATTAGGGCCTGCTCCAAGGAAACATTAAGCAAGCATGATAGAAACAGCTCTGAGGCAGATATTTCGTAGTTACTGAATTCCATGTTTTTGGGCTTTGTTTTGGAAGATGCCTTTATTTCTTATTTATCAAGTTGGCTCGGCTGTAAATCAGAAGCAGCAGCCAGAGCAAGAGGCCATGATGGCTCATCCTGTATCTCCTTAGGCCAGCTTGATTCATCCTCTACTGCTTTATTTACATGAAGTAGAATCTAATAATAAGCTGTGACCTCAATATCACTTCATCAAAGAAGAAACACTTTTCATCTGTACAGCTGTGCTTACATTGACCAACTGTACTGAATGTATTTGGGCTGATAACATATTGACAGACGTGTGTAGATGTCTTCCCCACCACATCCAGGCTGGCTCACACCAACTCCTTTAAATCACGGTTTACCTTTCAAACTAGCTAAAACTTAAGAAATATAAAATTCAAACCTCTCTTTAAACGTCAAGTTAAGTTTTTACTCAAAACCCTAGATTAAATATAATCAAGTTCCTCAAAGAAAGTTAACAGACAGTGTTATGGTGCTGCTGAACTATTCTCAGGATACCGGTTCAGCAAGCAAACTATAACCGCTGAACAGAAAGATTGAACCAACAGGCAGGTCTTACTTGGTGAAAAGGTTTTTTCCTTACTATGTTGTTGTCCATTCATCATGAGTCATGTCAGGCTACTTAACTGACTTTTACTGTAGCTGGCAAACAGAGTAATGTTTTGTAAAGGAAAACAGAGCGGCCAAAAGTTAGCCACATACAGTAAGGTGACGCATAATAAAGCTGGTGTAGGAAAGGGCAGGGCTTTTACAATGTGGGTTTGTACATTTTTTTTTTTGCGCATGATTATTTATTTTCTCTTCATTCATACACAAAGCAGCTTTTTATTAATCTTTTTTTGTTCTGGTTGGATGTTATGAACCAGGATAGAAGAGTGTAGCCACTCGTCATCAAGTCATCAGGAGTGTGAATCTCACACTGATTTAATATATTTTCCATCTCCCGCTGGTGTGTAACCGTAGCTCAATCTCAGTCACTTTGTGTACGTACTTATATACAGGAGATTCCAAAGTGGTTTTAGTGGGATTTTTCAATTTGAAACTGTTTATTCCTGTCTTTATAAAAAAACAACAACTGTGTACAGGTAAAATACAATATTTCAAAAAGCAGCACCAGGAGCTCCTGAAAATGTAACTCCACAAAACTAGGACCTACTTACCACTACTGTTACAGACAGAGTACAGCAGAAACTAAAATTGCTTAAAGTGTATCATGTATTAAAAGTGTATCATGTAGAAAGATATTTGAAGGTATTGAAAATGAATTGTTCCTCTATGAAATGGATTTGATAATGCATGTTAGTTTCCGAAATTCAAAACTTACAAAACATGTTAAAGGAGATACACAAGAAGGCAGTGGCAGGATTCAGGCCTCAGCTATAGCCAAACATGCATGTGGCTTCAGATACTAGAGACTTACACTGACTCACATATTTGAATTTATTTGATGCCTTTATCATACATTTCCTCTGCTGAAAGATAATAAGCAACTTAATTACTTCAGCCATCACGTCTTACTGTAAACTTGACAAATCTTTCTTCATTTGTAACGCAAAAGGAGCACCCTTGTTTTCCAGGACCGTGAGTCACCCACATCAGCACTTTCACACAGTTGGCATGGCAGTGGGCATTCATGTTTGCTGCTGTGAACATTTTCCTTGGCAATACTAGAGAGTGATCTTAAAGCTAACTGCAGGATTTCCGCCTGATAAAATCCCACTCCATTGGTGAGCAATGTTTAGAAATGTGGTCAATTTGAGCAACGCTGTATACATTAGATGCTCAGATGTGATGCTTGCATATTAAACCACAGCTGTGTCGAGGAGGATTGTACAGTAGAATCCGAACAAAACGTGTGGCGTGCGAACACTTCAGTCAGACACAGGATAAAAAGAGGTCCATACTGGGGGGGGGGCTCGTTTTCATGTGGTTTCTGACTCCAGGCATGACTGAGCCTGGCAGGGCTGCCATGCCAAAGATGCAGATCTCCACTTTCCCTTTAATCAGTGTCAAAGCTCTTTGCTTGCACACGAGAAATTAAACATCTTAATGAGCACTGGCTAATCACAGTACGGCCGAATGAATCCATATTTATTGTGGGTATATGGAGGTCTGTTGCAGCACATCGAGTCTCTGCTGTGCTGTCTGCCTGCTTGGAGCCAGAACACCACAGCGTAAACTATGGATGAGGTAGAAATCTGGTGTGGACTAATTGGTTACTAGCATGGTCTTATGGCGGCTTCGGTTGTGTTTCCTTATCACTGAACACAGACGTAGGCGGTGAAGGAGCATCTTAGCATGAAACGGATTCAGACAACTACTGTTGTGTCAGATGCACATGGATCATGTACTGCAGATGGTTGAACTATAATAAACAGTAAGTCAGCTACCACAGTATCCCGGACTGAAGCAAAGCTCAACTCGCCCTCTAACCTTTGTCCTTCTCAACCTTATCGCAGCCTCCTCAGAATTTGATTTGCTGTTTATTTACACAGCTTAACCCTTAATACTTTGGAGAATCAAATAACTCAGTATGGGGAGATGTGCACAGAGAGCACAGTTAACTCCCCCGGACAGAAACGGCAGCTGGAAATCCAGTTTCCCTTCTGACAATAGACAGCATGGAACAGGCGCAAAGGAATGGAGCTCTCAAATGTTCAACACTGATGGATCGCCCAAACAAAACCTCTCAATGGATGAGTCAAATTAATAATGAACCCAAACATCCCTGTTTACTGTAGCTTGTTGCTATGACAGCAGGTTGCCCAGGAAGACTGCAGGCTTTACAGTCTGTTGTTTAGGTGATTCATCACCACGGCAATGGCTGTTTGTGTTTGTGTTACTATGCACTTTTTTACATGGAAGTGCAAATGGCCAGTTAAACAGCTGGAGCACTCTCAGAAGGAGAATAATTGATGATGATGATCTGTGGTGTAGTATTGTCAGCTGTTTCAACAGTTTGATCTTATAAATGAGAATACAGGTCTAAGGGTCCCTAGCTTGAATTAAAACCATCAGGGCTCTGGGTGCTGACTACTGCAGCTGGACACAATATGATACATGATATGAAGACACACTCGCATATACAGCCCACAGGTGCGTGTGTATAAGTCTGTACGGTTGCTCAGACAACAGTGAAGTACAGGGAGACGAGATCCAAACAGTGAACGGTTTCTCACTGTTTATCTCAGCAGGATACCATCTCCATGCTGTGTCTTACATCTGCCATGTTGAAGTGATCACACATGGCTCTGTGTACACTACCGTCCGCTCTCATTTTAAGTTTTCAAACTCCGACAGGCTGTAGAGAAGTTGATACAGCGAGCCTAAATACAGCGTTTCTTCCCCGGAGACACAGTTGAGATCATTTCTTTGCGGGGGTTTTATGTGCTATTCGGTGTTATCCCATACTTAAGCTACATTTCCACCTTCATTTCAGGAAGAAATCCTGTCGCACCATCACATATGACGAGTTCAAGGTTGCACTCGGAGATCTGGCCAGGAAGAAATATAAAGAAAAGGCTGGAGACGAGGCTGAGGCCGAGGTCTTCAAGCTGATTGAGGGGAAAACACCCGTCATCGCAGGAGTCACGGTAAGACTCAAAGCGTAAATATTACTGACTTTTCATACCAGCAATCGCAGAATTTACTCAAATGTTTTCTTAACTTCCTCGTAGAGAGCCGTGGCTTCCCCGACAGTGAGCCGTCTGACAGACCCCACTAAGTTTACAGGGTCACACAAGGAGCGTTTCGACAACACCGGCCGCGGGAAGGGTAAGGCGGGACGAGTGGACATGGTTGACACTTCGGGATACGTCTCGGGGTACAAACATCGAGGGTCATACGAAAAGAAAGTGAATAAACCTACCGAGGGCAAACCCATGTGAGGGCGAGCATAAGGAAATAAACATTCGATCAACTACTAGGATAATTTTCTATTAAATGAATAATCAAACAAAGCACAAAATAATAGGATTTCATATATTTTCCCACCCGTGTGTGTGTGTGTGTGTGTGTGAGTGAGAGAGATGTTTTTAAGTTCCTCTCTTTGAGAAGTGTGAGAACTGGAAAACTGTTTACATCTATTTTTACCAAGTCGTCACCAGCTGGTACATTCCTGTCTGAATGCAAGTTACTGCCAAACACGGAAGAGTACAAGAGAGAAAACTGCTATGCTATGAACATTGAAGCTTTGTTCTTACGATAGGGCCTTCTATTTATTGAGCACAATGAACATGCCAAGAAAAACAAAAGTGGGACAACAGTTTGAGTAATTAACAACATTGCACTTTCTAATGGAAATTCTTTTCTAATCCCATACTTGGCTGAAGAAATGCATTTTTAATGTTGAGTTTAAGTAAGAATTGGCACATTTGTGACAGATACTGTATTATCAATGTTTATTTCTTTTGAAAACTTAAATTTGTCCATCTTCCATGTTAATTGTCTGTCTGCCATCCCTTCTAGTGACTTTAAGTCTTCATACATTTCTGCGGTTCATTTTATTTTATAAGCTCACACTGTCATTTGAATAATTTGCCTTCAGCTCAAACCAAGAAAATATATTAAGGGTTTTATCAACTTTTTAAAAAATGTTTGCAAAGACACAATGCAGTTAACTGTGACTGAAGATTTTTGCCGTATCATTTTACTTTTGTGAATATGTAACACAAAAAAGCCCCTACCATGTAAACCTTTTAAATATGCCTGCTTACAACACTTCAACTAAAAGTACAATAGAATCCATTTTCTCTTTCGATGTCTTTATTCAGACTACAAACCATTTTGCCAACATGCATTTAAATTTTTTACTTGGTGTATTTAGCTGAAGGAGGAAGCTCTAACCACAATATACGAGCTCAGTTGTACAAGATTGTATTTTTAACATTTTACTTATATTTCCTCACCGGATTTCTAAAGTAGTTCTAATATATTTGTGGTAAGATTGTGTATATTCTGAAAAAGTTATAGCCACACGGCTTAATTTATAACACTGGCTTACTATGTTGTGTTTTCTGTATTGCTGTACTTTGTGCATGTTTATGTATATTGCATTTGATTCAGAAGCATACAGATGACAGGAGTGTGTCATATCTTATCTAAACTGCTGTGAGTACAGGACAGACTTAAATAATTTATTGCTAAAAAAACAGATGAAATTGTGGGATCATGATTAAAATCTTGTTTTGCTTGAAATCAATATGTATCAACTTGTACATACAAAGTCAGCTACGCTGCAATGCTATTATATTTGTCTGTTGGTAAAGATTCAGAGTACCTTTTAAGCGCGGTACTCTCATCCAAGGCACAAATTCAACTGAAAACAAACGCAGGTTTTTACGGTCGTATTCTGTATGAGATAAAAGGGAAAATTGCAAACAATACTTTTGTAGAATATTTTTCCAACATAGTGACAGTTTGTGTCACACACTACCTGTAGCCTCAGCTGATGAAGAATCATGCATCAATGCAAATCTAGCAGCTATTGAGTTTGTTTTGTCTGCTGCAGTAGCGTGATGTTTTCTGTGCTTAATGCCAAATACTGTGCACCTTCAATGTGGAGGAACAATATTGTCTTTTTTAATAACTTTTAATGTACTATTGTGCCCGGTGCATGCAGTGTGTTTTTGTTCTATAGATCCCTTAACGTGTTCATGATTTGTAATGCATTACTTAAAATAAAAAAAACACACCCCAGAACCTCCGCTTAGTCGGTTACCGGGTGTCAGTCAAAAGACTGTTTTATATTCTTATGGCTTTTTCGGGAACACATCAGAACTCCCTACTAGCAGCGACGGCCATTGAGCCGAGCAGTCACATAAAAACAATAGCTACACTCGGTACATGCAGGGGCACCAACGTTTGCCAGGTCTTGCATTAGTGTGTGTGTGTGTGTGTGTGTGTGTGTGTCTCCAGCCCTGAAGGCAGAGGTATAAATAAAGTCACAGTGCAGCTGGAATCTAGATGCATTCATTCCACTGCAGCGTACAAAGCAGATGGAGACAGAAGTGACCTAAAAAAAAACAAAACGTGAAAGCAGCCAAGAGAGACACAATCTTGCCACTGATCCAGAAAATATATTATGACCTCCTCACTGACATTCTCCCCCCCTTACATTCATTTAACATAACAGCCTTGTCACACACTTATACACAAACCTCCTTGAATTAATTGCCTTTCCCCGTTACGGTTTACATCAACCAAACGCTGGCTTTTTAAAAAAAAAAATTAAATAATGAAACATTTTCAAAAGGGCAAGGAACACACAAATGACATGTACACTGCAGTGATATAAAGTAAAAAATGATAAAAAAAAAAAAAACAGTCTGTAGCTGCTGGGCCTCGTGCAGCGAAAGCAATGTTAATATGACGTTCGGCATATTCTTGCTTTGATATTTTCATTCAAATTCCTCTTCAAAGTTCCCCACTTCCCTTCAGCTCAGCTAGCAAACACTCGTTGGTAGCCACCAGGGACCTGCAGTACATACGCAGACACAAACAACACAGTAGGGCTGGTTTATGTCTGAGAACTTCACGGGTTGTGGTTGTGGTTGATACAGCAAAACAAAGTGCCAACACTAAAATGGCCCAATTTCTTACCTGTGGCTTTCTTGCAGCATATTTGACAAATCCTTGACATTCTCAGCCTCCTGCACCTTCACCCTCAACCCCTCGATCTCTTTCCTCAGCTCCTCCACTTCAGTCTGAGCCTCTGAGAATGTGCAAGCACAAAATGTGAGTTTGTAAGGAAAACAGCAAAATGATCACTCGTTCAGTGCATTGCAAAAGTATTATTTATTCATCCATTACAGCCTGGAATTTAAATGATTTGTTTATTTGGATTTTAAGTTAATGGGCCTACACAAAATGGTCAAAATTGGTTAAGTGAAATGAGAAAAACTCGAGAAAAAATAAAGAAACTGGAATGTGATACGTGCATATAGTCACCCACTTTACTATGAAGCCCCAACTAAATTGGAAAAACAGCAAGGAGGCACTCTACATGTCTCCCATTGGCCTTCACACTCACCTTTGATCTGAGTAACAGGTGAACTTTTCATCATAGACTTGAGATACTGTCGTTCTAACTTGATGAGCTGTTTCTGTAGAGCGACATTTTCCCCCAAGACAATCCTCAGCTGCTCGTTTAGTTTGCCCTGTGTTAGAGAAAAGACAATAAATACAGTGCGCTCTTCCAAAACCATCAAGGCCACCTGAAGATCAACATCGTTTTCTCGTGCTGAATCCACTCACAACACCACTGCCGGCTACCTCCAGCTGAGCGGAGAGGCTACGGACTTCACTTTGGTGCTCTTCCTCTCGTGCAGCCGCTTGAAAGCTTAGTGCGTCAGCTTCCCGTCGTAAGGTCCTGACCTCGGCCTCCCGACTGGAAATATCATTTTCCATCATAGAGAGGATCTGGACCGCCCGAGCTAGAGCCACAAATAGAAATGATGATGACAGACATTATCTTCAAGCTTCTGTAATCAGATACCACATTCCCCAAACCAAACTCCCAACTCACACAGGAAGTTGTTGTTATGATGCAATGACCTCTCTCCGGTCCAGTGTTTGTCCACGAGGTTGAGGAGCATCTCCAGGGGTTTCCTATAACTACCCTGGGAGATGAGATAAGTGACGAGTTCGTGAGAGAGAAAACAACCTCAAATATGATGTGTACAATTAGTAGGAACAAAATAATGATTCAGTTTCAGACTGAATTCACTTCCCACCCTTTTTTTCTTGTCCCCTTGTTGCGGCTGGCTGGAGCCCCCCTCAGTCCCGTTTACGCTGGAGTAGGTCAGTCTTGGAGGATGTAAGATGGGGTTTGAGAGGTCAGACACATTCAAACCAGGACGACGTGGACTGGGAGGCCGGATGTTAGCTAATGAGGAACTATGACCGTGACTTTGATCTGCATTCAAATATTGAAAACACACATTCAACAACATGTATTTGTGGATGTTGAAGTCTGACAGAGGATTTTATGAAGTACAGACACTGTTCTTACCAGGATTGGGGGTGTAATGTCCCTTGGCTGCATGTCTGCTTTGATTGGGGAAGTCCTTTTGCTTTTGTTTTCCAGGCACGGGTCTGCGTGTCTCTACATAGGGGCCAAAGGACACCTTTGGTCTTTCAGTGACTTTTAATGAGGTAGAGCTTCGTTTATGAGATGCTTCTTTCATGTGTGGCACTTTGGACCTTGCGATATCTGGTCAAATTACAAATGACATAATAAATCACTAATATTAATTCACCCTAGATGTGCATGTTAAAAAATAAATAATTGGCTTCTGTCTCCACCTGGTGGAAAAGACAGGACAGTGGTCGAGGTACAATTTATTTAGTGCACTTCATTATTTCCATTTCTAAATAAAGTATTGTATCCTGTGTTCACCCAGCCCTGATTACCTATTCAAATCCACAGATGAAAGTACAGATCTTTTGATTAATTGCTTGTGGAACATGATATCGTTGATCCACATGAAGCCGGGACAAAAGAGGAGACAATGATCATTGAACCACAAACTGTTATCCCCATCATTACAACAGTCTTCATCCTCTTAATAAACCACGAACATGCACTTTCCCAACTCTATATCTCCATGACTCTCTGTGAAGAGAGCTGCAAAAACATACCGTATTTTGTAGGAGGATACCTGAGGATGGATTTAGCAGTTTCCTTAAAAAAGAACAAGAGGGGCACATTCAGTATATATGATCATGTAAATGTGTAACTGATTATATTATTGTGAAATAAAAATCACCTGTTTTGGAGTAGAACACCTCTGTTCTGTAAAGTCTTTTGATTCCTCCTCTTTGGGTTGTGAGACAGAATGAATAGAAGTTTGAAAAGAACACATAAATACTGTAGTGACCGTTGCTTCCCAATAAAAAAGTCACTACGGTTGCTGTAATGTTTGTTCTGACACGTGCCATAAATAACAAAGTCCAGTTTCGAATATAGGCATTTTATTCCTCACATAATCAGAGTTCACCACTTTCTCTTCAGTTATCCATTTTCTCCTCATACCAATAAATCATAACATTTGCATTTGTTAAATCTGCACGGTCAAAAACTGTTTGCTTCCACCTATTAGCAACAACCTGTGCCCAATGAACCCACTGATTATATTACCTGTGGCCAGGATCACACCAGCACTACGCCCCCATGTGGTGGGAGGTTGTACAAAAACAAAAACAACAAAATGGCTCTTACAAATACTACTGGTTTGGTTTTGACTTAGCTTCTATACTTTGACATCTTACCTTTGGCCTCCTTGAGAACTGAGTGGGCCTGGGTTGCACTTTGGTCTCCATGATTCGTCACAGCAAAATTCAACACAATATCATCGGTGTCAGTCAGGAGAGAGAGCCTCCTGGTCAAGCGGTCAACTAAAGCCAGTCTCTGATCACTGCTTCTGGGAACCACAAACAAGACGGTAAAGATACAACTCCAGAACATGTCGGAAAGGAGTTCATTGTGATAACGGTGATTCTTAGTGGGTGTTTTTGGCACCCGAGGTTTTCACCTGCAGACTGTATAAGATAAGTGGACTGAAAAGGGTTAAAGTTGTAAGATGAAAACACAGACTGCCACACCGTACAACGCCGAGGCTTTAAAACTCTACACTGATCCACATGTGACTGCTTTCTTTATAATTAAGCAGCTCAGTCACTCCCTTTTTTAGGGGGGAAAACTTCAATCAAACATCCCCAAAGATTATATGTCCTTTTTTATACTATTCATGAAAAGCATTAAAATCAGTTGTGTTTGTTTCCCGTGTTCTCAGGGTCCTTGGTGGGCCCTCTATCAAGTCAACGCTGAGCTGAAACACCTAAACCGAAGCATGTGACAATCAGCGTACCTCTGGTCAGCAACCTGAGTCAAAGACGAGCTCTTCTGCAGAGGTAGAAGGTCAGAGGAGAACTGCATTATGGCAGCTTTGCGCTCAGTGTCTCTGACTGAACAACCATCTAGAAGGCAAGAGGAGGACACTTAGTTATGATCAAAGCTTACCTGTGGTTAGCACAACCTGGGCGACATGGCTATATCTTACCTAGCTTGCGTAGGTTGGGCATGGCGTGCACCAGACAAGGACGGTATCGTGGGTAACTTTTGGCCAGAGGGTTGAGCCTGAGGTCAAGCTCTCTCAAAGCTGGCAGCTCGAACAGCACTTTCACCTCTTCAAGGGAAGGTATGCAGTTATAGTACAGGATCAGCCTCTCCAGCACTTTCACATGTTGAACCCCCTGGGGAGGAAACCATACAGTATTAAAAGGGCTTATCAAAACCACGTATTGTCAGAAACGTGCATAAAAATGTATAATAAGGAAATAAAAAGGGGATAACTGGACTTTAAATGGTCGACCTTTTCCCCAGCATTCAGTTTCAGGATGTGGTAGAGCGTTTAAACCCAACGTTACCTCAATGGAGACCAGCGCATTGCAGGAGAGGTCCAGAGACTTCAGACGGACAAAGTTATTCAGTGCGTTTCCCAGAAGTCTTATCTTCTCCTCGTACGTCCCCGGGAGGCTCAGTGAGCGGACATCACCTGTTTAAAGAGTTTATGTATACATGAGACTGCGCTCAGTTATTTGCTTCTGGTGCTGTGGTTTGCAGCAGGTGACAGTTAATTGCTAGAGGCTATGTTAGCTTAGCCGCAGATGCTAAGGCTTGGGAAAGTAACTGGCTAATTGAGTTTTAGTGACAAAAGCTAAACTGCACGACTTAACCCGTAATTCAACTGACATTTACTCCGACACAACTACTTGTATTAGCATGACATAATGTTACCTAGACATGGATGTTTTAGTTGTAATCTCTCTCGTATCCATTGCTCTGTTATGGTTGTCAAACACACCGCCGCCATACTTTTCGAACTTAAGCTGCCTTCAGGTAACGTTACTGTCGTAGGAAATCAAACACCTCTTCCTGCATTACTGCTGCGTACAACCAGTAGGCTGGAACTCATACTAACAATGGTTATTATTTTTTACACACCATTGAAAAAATCCTGTTTGCCATAGTGCTAGATATGAATGTGCCTTTAATTCACATAACCTAATAAGGCAGTCTTATCAAAATCCGAATACACTTTTTTAAAGAGTGAAAACAGTAATGATTTTGAATAAGTTTGGCTGATCATCGTTTGTTGGCTACAGCACTACTTAAAATGTTAGTTGTGTAATACAGATATATATAATAATAATACAGATGGGTTGTAAACGTATTTTAAGTTCGAATTTATTTGCAGAGCACAGTCTCATATAAAACAAGGAAAATCGCTTTAGAAAATAATTAAAACTTGAATTAAAATGAATACTGAAGTAATTCACTAAACTCCATTAATTCGCTTTGGCCCGTGGTACATTTTACGCGTATTACAGCTGGTGCAGTGCAGTGTTTACGAGGAGCTATGAAGGCATCTCTTGGAGCATGCGCACTGGCCATATCCGGACTTGTCACGTGTCAAAACAAACCTGCAAGTGTTCCTGCGCAAAGTTTGGTTTGTTTGTGCTCTGTTTATTAGCTGACTTTATAAAATACTATCCGATATTCAGATACATGCAACAGTTTTAGTAACTAAAGTTGCAAAAATCGTGGATGTTTACAGGAGTGTCACTCGTCCTCAGGATCAATGGCGGCCTGTGTAACAGAGTGGGTAACAACATCTTGTTCCAACATCATTTTGTCTGCCACGGCATTGTACTCTTCTTACAGACTCTTTAAGGTACGTGCCATTCACCATACTACCAATGTAGATGATGTTATAACTTACTAACAAAGTTTTAGAAACCATAGTCGATTTAGCAATTAACGCTAGTCGATCTACAGAAAAAAATATATAATAATTTAGATAAAGTAGTGCTCTTTTAAGTTTTTTTTTTCAAGCAAAATTGCCAAACATTCTCTGGTTCTAGCTTCTTAAAAATGTTATACATTTTCTCATTAATGTTTATCCAAGCCGTTTCATTGTCACTTTTGGGCTCTGATGGATATTTTTCACTACTTTCTGACATTTTAGTATCAATTGTATTTACTGGTAACGGAACATAATTAGCAAGCTAAGCTAAGCTTTTTTTTAATCTGTTGAGTATTTGGCAGCTAAACTGCTTATTTGTATTATGTAATGAATGTGTATTCTGGTCACCCCTTTGTTGAGATCTGTTATTTTTAGTTAGAAGATACTGTAGGTTAAAATTCTCACTCTTTCATTTTGCTCCTGTCTCTGCAGGATCACAGGGCTCCTTCAGTAGGCCTCTTCCTGCTTGGACTCTCTGCAGCACTTTGCATCCTGCTTCCCTCCAGCTCATACCTCGCCTCCATCCAGAGAGAAGCAGAGTGGGCCGGCGAGGTTTTGGCTCCAGCGCTGTTCGCCTTTGAGTTCCTTTGGCTCAGTGAAGACCACAACACGGCACACATCCTCCTTTGTGGTTCCTGTCTGCTGCTGGGATTGAGTGACTGGCTCTCAGCAGACGCTCTCACGCTTATGACACACTGCCTCGGTTTGTCTTCCCTGTCCTGCTGCCTGACGGTGTGCCTGTTTGCCGGTAATGCTTTAGGGGCCTTTGGCGGTGTGGCCCTCAGCCTCCCGTTGCTTGTGGCTCAGAGGGTCGGAACAAACACTTTTGCTCTGCTCATTTCTCCGGCTGCAACTGAGGGTCTCACCAAGAGTCTGTTAAAGGGCTCCATGTCTGTTGGCTGTTGGGCCTCCACACAGGCCCTCAGCAGGTTTCTGTTGGATGTGACTGACCGATGTAACATAGGCCTTTAATAAACCAGTAGAGATATTGGCTGTGGGACAGAGTGACGAAATGGACCTATGCAAAAATGAATGTGCCTAACTTAAAAGCATTTCAGGACATTTGTGAAGAAGATTTGAGTTGTATTAATTGTATTTCCGTTGCCATTTGAACTCATAGTGCAACAGAACTATTTAAATGAGCTATCTGAAGATTTCCCTTTTGGAAATCACTGGCATTGTTAACACTCTCTGAATGCCTTGTAGATGCCTTGATTCATTTGTGAATCAAAAAAAATTATCAACAGAGTAATCAAAAAACTAATACGATGATAACTGCTTTTCAAACAGGATCATGCTTTGTGTTTTAAAGTCGTCTGCATGGTAATGAAAAGTCTTTACAACTGGTAGCCCACGGGGACATTCTGCGTCACTGGGATGCAGCAATAACCTTTTTAGACATAATGAGAGCCCTGATGACATTAATTATGCATTTCAATTTCAACATTATGTGGGCATTTTAATTAGCTATGTGATCATTTCCAAGGATGTCTAGCAGGCGCTGCTCCCCTTTAGGCTATCGACACCCTCCACATCATGTCTCTCTAGCAGTTTTAGTGTTGTAAATTCCAAAAACATCCAGCTGCCTCAGAGTACGGGTCCTATTTGTTCTGCAGCCTCAGCGCTATCGCTGTTTATATATCTGCAGTGGTCTAAGCTCTGGGCTCTGCTCTTACCTCATCCTCGTTTGATACTTATTAAGACACTTTTTTATTACTTTCTTGGTTTTTAGGGGTGACAATGTTATAACATAAATGACCTCATCCGTTTAACTCTTTGTCCACAGTGTTATCCTTGCAAGATATTAATATTCTTTACAGATATGTGTAGGGTATGTACACTGCAGATTCTCTCACAGGATTTCAGAGTTGTGATTGGCTGCCTCAGCAGTTTTACTGCAGCGTAACAACAAGCATCTGTGGCTGTGTTCCTGTCTGTGGGACGGACAGGGGACCAGGAACATTTCATCATGTACTCCTTTGTAAGTTTGAGGTGCCATGATAATGATAATCATGCTGCCTGTGCTTTTTTTTTTTTTTTTTTTTTTTTTTTAAATGATTCATCGAGTTCATGTATTTTTTGGCAATGTGGAAGTATTTAAAAGTTTAGAAATGTCTCATGTAATTTTTATTTAATTGCTTTTGGTTGATACAAAATGTAAATGTACACTCAAGGAAGATTACATCGACATAACCTCTAAATATATATTATAATAAATGATGTAAATGTTTATCAAAATATCACTCCAGTAATGTCATTTTACATTGCATTTGAAAGTTCTCTTGGCTCATGTTCAAGTGTCCAATTGTTGTACCGTTTACAGTCCTTGCAAACATCCCAATATTTGCAAGTGCATTATATTGTAGTTTATGATTTGTATGAGCAGCTGGCACATCTCATCCACCGCTGTCTCTGGCTGCTGGTATCAGCGTCAACCCCCTCCTGGCTCAATTAGTCTCCATACCGACTCCGTCACCCCTCCACTGCAGCGGATGAAGAGACTGCACTGAGCATGCTCGCTGCAGATGCAGCCTGTAGTGGAGATGGAACAAAGTGGAGGGGAGGAGAAAGGGGAGGAGAGAGAACGGCAGAGAGGGAGTCACACACACACACAACGCTGGGATGCTGTTGCAGCTCTGAGAACAAGGGCTGCATGGGAAGATTTGTCATTGAAAACACAGATGGAGTGTGAAGGGGGAATACAAATGACTTGGAGGTCAGATTGTCATCATCAAAGAGGAACAGATATGTAATAAGGTAAAACAAAAAAAGAAATATTTCAGCATGTTTGAGTGGGATGACGGTTAAAATAGAAAAGAATGTAGTCTCTTGAGAAGTCCTGATGTGTCGAGACCAGTTTTTATATTCATGCATCCTTTGATTATAGTCAAGACTTGAGTGTTATTATCAGGGTGAGAAATATAATATTTTGTCTGCTTTTCTGCTGCAAGATCTAGAGATATATGTGATTATTTAGTGAATCTGTCATTTACAGGGGGACTTGGATGGTGTAGAGATGTACGCCTTCTACTCCCTCTTAGTCTACATCTTCTACACTGTCTTTAAGAAGGAGGAGGAGGAGGATGAAGCTTTGGAGGGGGCACAGGGATCTTCCTCAGATGTAGGTCTAGCCCCGTCATGTCCATCATTGGGGTTCCTCTGTCAGAAAAAAAATCATTAATTTTCTGGGAACATGCATGCGTCATCTACCACCTGACTGGACAAAAAGGCTCTGTTTTAAAGGACGAGGACATTGGTGGTGTCATTGTTCTGCCTTTCTATGTGTGCAATGTGTAAATATTATGCCTATTACCGTCTGACCCTTATGGATGTTGCTTTGTTCAGCAGCCAAGACCTGTTTCCATGGAAACAGGGACCAGGAGGAAAAATGGCCGCACCTCCAAAATGGGAAAAAAGGCTTGTGTTCGGCTTGGTGAATCCAGTGAGTGCTCAAATAGCTTTTATTTATAGTCCAACATAAAGGCTGTGATATGATATAGAAGGATGATATAACATTCATTATAGGGATAGTTTCTACTTATTGATTATTCAGTACATACATCCCTTTACTCACTTATGATTTTATGTTTATGTGATTTGTTGTCATCCAGGCAGTAGCAGTGACAGCGATGAAATGTCTCTGAGTGACGAAGGTGAGGTACAAGGTCCGGACATCCCAGCATGCACTCCTCTGGCTGCTTTTCTGTCCTTTAAGCAGGAGGCTGAGAAGAGGAGGGCCTCGCAGGTTCAGCTGGAAACAGCAAAGGTAGCAAAACTATGTCATCACCTTGACTGAGCTGCTCACCTGATACATTAATGAGCAGTTCCCCAAATAGGAGCTTCTGCTATGTTAAACTTATGTATGTGTGTGTGTGCTGCGGTACTGCCCAGTTGACGGAGTCTCCCCTGGTGGCGGTGATGTCCCACTTGCTGAGTTTTCTGGAGCAGTACTCCCACTTCCAGCAGCTGCAGCAGCAGGCCGACCAGTACCGGGTCCAGCTGAAGAGGCACCGCGTCCAGCACCGCCGCCAGATGAAGGCCCTGCGAGCGTCATACCGCCAGCGCCTCAGGGACAAGAGCAGCATCATCAGCAGCCTGGAGGAGGCCTTCAGCCAGCAACAGACGCCCAGTCCGCTGAGTGAGGGTGAGGGAGAGAAAGGGAAGGAGGCGGAGAGGGGAGGGAAGGGATGGGGGGGGAGGGGGTTAGGGTTTACATTCTCATGTGGTGGGTGTGAGGATGATGAAAAAGAGGGAGGTAGAGGTCATAACCACACACATAAGTAGATTGGTTTGTGTGAAAGGAGAAGCAGAAAATGATATTGCGGACTACAGGTAGATTTAAAACGATATGAGAGTTCAGAGTGGATGAGATCATCTGATGGATGGAGAAAGATGGATTACAAGGACAATAAATAAAGAAAGACAATTTCACACGCTCGCCATAATAGCTGTATATTTACTGGGTTACATAATATATATTTTGTGCTGTCAAATCCAGTCATTTTCCATGACTGTTTCCATGACTAGGAGCCATTGATTCTTAAAACAGTGTCCTGGTTTGTCCATTGTTGGTTCACCCTAGATTAGATTTTTCTTCAACCAGCAACACACTGTATACCTTTTTATAGAAGAATACAGTCATCAGCAGAGGAGCAGGCCGATTAGATTTATGTGGCTGTTGGTCAAGAGACCAGACAAACACTGTACAGCTGTGATTGACCTGAAGGCTTTAGATGTGGGTATCTGCCATGTTTCAGATTTGACCAGATGGTTCTTTGACCAGAAGGGTAGCGATGCCAACTGCACTATCCTACATCACTTTTCTGTGCACATGTAGAGCGTGTTAACAACATGAAGCTGTAGACAGATCAGATTCCTGTCCTGAGGCTGAGGGATCCAGCCTCAGAGAAATACGTCATTATGTATGACAATGTGTGTGATAGCCAGATAGGGTTATATGAATCTCAGTGTGTAGGTGTGTTTAAGGAGAGGACCTCATGCGCACTGACTCTCATTAGTCACAGGACATAGATACATTATTCTGGGGCGCAGGTCTTTGATACTTGTCTATGACTCTAGTGTGGCTCTCTGTCATGAATTAAACATGGCTTAGAGTGCTGTTTTAGTTCCTGCAAAAGCCCTTGCACATGGCAGGCGTCACGTGTACTTGTGTTGGCCTAAAAATAGCCTGAAGTTCATGTCCCAACTGTTACGAGGCTGTTTGGTTTGTTTGTTTACTGTAATGCAACTTGCAGGCATAAGTGATGCCTCTTGGATGTGCAGTATTTCAAGCAATAGTGCATTTTGTCTGTGTTGTGATCTGTTATTCGGTATATGATTCTAGTGAATGACTGCTTCTCCATTCAGTTGTCATGTATCAAAAATGTAACAAGAAATCCCATTTTTTTTATCTTTATCATCTGTTTTTGAGTTGGAGGAAGTAAGTTTTTCATCTTTTCAAGCTGTTGTTTTAAAACGTACAAAGCTATCTCAGTGCCTCTGCAGACTTTTTCACGTTTCTTGCAAGCATGTTTCTTCCAACACCCCTGATGCTCAGCTGTATCCACTTCTCCATGTTTTTTTTTTTTTTAATCTTCCTTGCACCACCACCTTTCCCTGCACCATTGTGACACAGCAAACTTGACATGGCGTGTCGATAGAATTAGAATAAGGCCCTGCTATGAAAATCAGACGATAAATAATTGAGGATGAAGAAAGTATAAACGATGCTATTCAGGTCCCTGATGAACAATAGAGGAGTTTTAGCAGGTTGTTTTGTTTTAACACTCCTCCTCGCTCCAGGCTCCACGTGGGAAGCTGCTGTAATCTGTTACGGTGCCCAGGAGACGTGAGAGTGGGAACACACGGCAACGATAATGTTAACTTCACTGCAATGCACGGTGACTGCATGGTGTGTAAAAGAGCTCTAATGTCCATTAATATTACGCACGCACAAGCATCAACCGGAAACATATAGAAAACCGGTCAGAAGAAGTTCAAAGGATATTGGCTGGTTCTATTTCTCAGTGGCGTAATATGAACATGGGTCAGAAGGTGACAGAATATGATTATGGTTATTTTCTTCTGTTAGTTATGGGTCAGTATTCAGGCTGATGGTGATGATATGCAGAGGCTGATTATAGTCTTGCTTATTTAATGTCCCCCAGGCGAGTCCAGCAGCGATGCAGGGACACAAGCTGGGGTTCACAGGCTGGTTGAGTCTCTGTACGGTCTGCAGGGTGAAAGGAGTAAGCTGAGAGGAGAACTCCGTCTGCTGCACTCACAGCTGGAGCTGAACGAAAAGGACAGACACTCGCGTATACAGGCCTTTCAACAGCAGGTGAGCGTCATATTGGTTGAATCCCAAATGCTACATCCATTTAGGAAAAATGCGCAACCTGAAGTCCAAAAATAATTGATCAAAAAGTAGAATTTATTGTGTTGAAATTTAATTTAATGGAACAAAATCTTCAGCAAGCATCCTCCATTACACTTTTAACCTTTCTCATTTCTTGCACAGATCGATGAGCTCAAGAGTTGCATAGAGGAGCGCGAGGAGGAGCTGTCTAGATTGAGAACAGCCACCGTAAGCATTGTATTTATTTAACTATTGATTTAATCATTTGTCAAGTCTTTGTCACTTTACACGTCATCAGCAAAGCTGCAACCGCTGCCCACATACACCCTATGAAATGCCATGCTGTACAAATGCCACACATACCTTGTGTAAGATTATAAATCCATCTCATCCACAAGGACATACGTATGTCTGGTTTTGATGCATCTCTCATTGTTATGCTGAACCTCATGTTCAATTTCCTCAGGGGGCAACAGACTCAGAGAAGCGGGTTCTGTGTCTGTCAGCAGAGAACGACAGTCTGAAGCAGAACCTGAGCGTAACCCAAGGCCTCCTGCAGCAGCTGTCAACCATCCCCTCCCAGTCCAGCACCATGCTCATCAAGGTGAGGCGCACCAACACAGCCGAGAACTCGCTGACACGCTCCCGAGGCAGCCATCAGTAACCGCCAACACAAATATTTTAAGATGTACTTTTGTTTTATGTGCTCGGCTAGGAGAATGAAAACCTCCGCAGCAGAGTGCAGCAGCTTGAGATGTCCCTACAGCAGCGTGCTGAGCAGCTGTCACAACTGGAGCGACAGAGCGAACAAAGCGAGTGGAGGAGAGGAGAGGAGCTGAGGAAACGAGAGGACCGAGTGAGGGAGCTGCAGTTGGAGTTGGACAGAGAGAGAGGCAAGGAGCCAGTGGTGAAGGTAAATCTTACCTTCGACTCAGAGTGAGATTTGTTAACTGGAAACATAACAATGTTTAATATGAACTAATACGAACTAGTACCCTAATCAGATGTTTACTCTCTCTCAGTATGTCACCCAGACTGTGGAGGTGGAATCACCGACCACATTAAAGCAGCTGACCAAAGCCAGACAGAAGAATGAGCTGCTGTCCGATAAGCTGTCCAATCAGAATGAGCGGTGCAAACAGCTGGAGGAACACATCAGGAAGTCTGATGAATACAGCTGCAATCTGCAGCACAAGGTAACAAACAGAGGCCATTGAATTAATGTTCAACCAGTTTGGTGTGAGTTTTCACACACAGATTAAACTGATTTTAATATGCAGTATAACACTGTAGACTTGGGTAAATAATTGTTCTACACCATTTTTGAAAGTGTCTCAAGCAGCAACAAGTTGGATATAAATTGCAAGGTGGGCTTTTGACAATAATGCTCCATCATAATGCTAAATAACCATCAGCACATGTTTTATTGCTGTTGGCTGCTGGCCACTAGGAGGCAAGGAAACTGGCAACAAATCCCAAATGGTCCTCCTGATGTCATCAACTCTGATTCAATAAAATGAAAGAGACAGAATTGGAGAATTCCAGAGGGGTAAATAAACCACACGCTGTTTTGAGAACAGATGATGAAAGGAGAGAAAATGAAAGGCAGAAGGAGGAAGTTTACACTTAGCTGCCGGAAATTCACAACCTGGATCAATTTCATTGACAGATGAACTCATTACAGAGCTGAGCCTGCACAGATTGGACCAGTCGAGCTGAAAGATTGACAAATTGCTGCGCTGAACCTTTTACAGATCGCAGCGTATGAGCGAGAAATCAGTAAACTGAGAGAGGACCTGTTGAAAGAGATTGGCCACTTGGAGGAGAAGAAGGAGGAGGCTGTGAAGGCTGCAGCCACCTGCTCAGCAGAACACTTTCAGAACCTGCAGGAGCAGTTTTTCAGTAAGTTACACCAAATAATCAAACCTCAAAAGAGAGAGAAGAAAGAAACAATAACCGTAGTCTTTAAAGAGATAGTTCAACATTTTGGGAAATAGATACCACTCTCTATGAGGACAGTAATACCAATCTTCTCATTTACCTCACAGCAGGAAAGCAAATAACTAAATTCCCCAACATTCCTTTAAACTTTTCCTTTACTATTTCTTTCCTCTATGTGAGTTTGATTCTTACAATTCATTTTTGTCAGGCTTACAGAAGCGTCTGACTGCACTCCCTCCAACTTTACGCTCAATGAAAACAGACTACACCAGTCTGCGGAGCCAGGTTCGAAACTTCTCAGACTTTTACGGAGCAGCCATCAGTGACGCAAAAAAACAGGTATACGTACATGATATCACACCATGATGTCAACGCAGTGCGTTTAGGCGAGTGATAAATCAACAAGCCTAGTAAAGAACTTCTTTTGCTGTATTTTGTGTTTTTCAGATTTCAGCAGCTATTAGTGAAATGTCTGAGGCCAACAAAGATCTCCTGGAGAAATATAGGAAGGAGGTGGCACTGCGCAGGAAGTACCACGAGCAGCTGGTGGAGCTTAAGGGTACACAGAGAAGACGTAAGAAAACAACGCTGCAGAAAATAAAACCTGTATCCTGAACGTGACCTTCTGTTTTTAGGCAACATCCGCGTGCTGTGTCGTGTGAAGCCTGTGCTGAAGGAGGACCAGCACGAGGAGGGCCAGTCTGTGGTGGTGAAGACGGACTCCAACAATGAGTCCTCACTCAATGTGCTGAACAAAGGAAAGAGTCGCATTTTTGAACTGGACAAGGTCTTCCACCCACAGGCCACACAGGAAGAGGTATGGAAGCGAACAGCAGCACATGCAGGAAATACAATCACAACGAGAACTCGAACCCTTTGTTTGTTTTCTTCAGGTCTTTCAGGAGATTGAGCCTCTTGTGACGTCCTGCATCGATGGCTACCAGGTCTGCATATTTGCCTACGGACAAACTGGCTCTGGAAAAACCCACACAATGGAGGTAAACTCTCTAGTTTTACAGCATTATTGGAGCCAAAGAGTAATAACAGATATTGGAGCCACTGAACATACCAGCACAAGTATCGGGTCCATAATGTAGGCTGCAGGCTAAGTATCATTTGATTTTCAGGGCAGTGTGGAGAATCCAGGCATCAACCAGCGAGCTCTGAAACATCTCTTCAGTGAGATTGAGGAGAGGAAGGACATGTGGTCTTACACGGTCACTGTCAGCTCTGTGGAGATCTACAACGAGGTGCTAAGGTACAGTATGCTGCGCCTTCCTTCGCATGTCTGTTTAGTCTGCAATATATTAGACCGACTAATAGTCACTTGTTTTATTGTTGTCCTCATATTGTGTTTCTCAGAGACCTGCTGAGCAAGGATGGAGATAAACTGGACATTAAGATCAACCCGGATGGAACAGGACAGCTGCATGTGCCGGGCCTCAGGGTCATTGAAGTTAAGAGCTTTCAGCACATCAAGAAGGTGACACAGTGTGTTTTAAACAATCTGTACTGATAGGATACTGAATTATCAATGACTATGACAATATATTGTTACATTTATGCTAATTATTCTTGTGTTTGTTAAGATTTTGGCGACAGCCCGAAGGAACAGGATCACCTTCGGCACTCAGATGAACCAGCATAGCTCCCGCTCGCATGCTCTGCTCTGCACCACCGTTCAGGGAACTGACCTCGCCACCGGCTCCAAAACCACCGGTCAGTCACACGTGTGTTTCTCCTGCTACAGGGACAGTGTTTAAAAGGCTCTGAATTAATAGTTGCTATAGATCTGAATCAGACTTTGGTGTTCCTCCTTGAATTCCTCTTTTTTTATTTAGGCCAGTAGCTAGACCGCATAAAGCTGAATCAAAAATAAAATATTCCAAGGGATGTCCTTGTGAATCTCTTTTTAGCAAAATGAATGCTGAGAAAGAGAATGAAGAGAAAAAGTACAAAAGAGAAGCTTTTGATCAGGATTCAGTCAGACACGGGATTTTCTCCATTCCACCTTTACTATGATTCAACTTTTCTTTCCTCAGGCAAGTTGAACCTGGTGGATCTGGCTGGCTCGGAAAGGGTATGGAAGTCCGGTGCCGAGGGAGAGAGGCTGAAAGAGGCCCAGAATATCAACCGCTCCCTTCTGTCACTGGGGGACGTCATACAGGCACTGAGAGCTCGCCAGACTCATATCCCTTTCAGGAACTCCCGCCTTACCTACTTATTACAAGACTCCTTGGGCAAAGGCAGCAAGACTGTCATGGTGGTGCAGGTGAGATTACTGCTCTAAATGTTTATATATGTGACACATTTGCAGTTAATTACATGTTTATGTTATGAGCCTTTATTTTGTTTCTACTAAAGGTGTCTGCTCTGGAGAGTAATGTGGGAGAGACATTGTGCTCACTGAAGTTTGCCCAGAGGGTGTGCAAGGTGGAACTGGGTCCTGCAGCCAGGAAGATAGAATCTGGTGGAGGACATTGCGACTGATAGCCTTGAATCAGCCACTTCCTGGTCCCAGTGATCACCATGGTAGCCATGAATGCACCCGTGAGATTGTCACCCACCCGACCAACCAACCAATCGTAACACTGCAGCATCAACAAGATCAACAGCAATCCTGCTCAAGGGCTAAATCTGTGGAGGTCTGCGTGCCATCCGAATGCCAACTTCTTTAGGATAGGTATTGAGGCCTCCTCGTTGCCATTTTCTGCTTCTGACAAGTGATAACCCTTTATCATTAGCTAATCTGCATGCAGGAGTATTTATTCTTCCACTCTAAATGTGCCAAAACAACCTCTGACTCCCGCACGGTCTAAGATTTGACGCTTCCTTGAACTACAATATCTCCGTTTCCTTTTATTAAATACCAAAATCCAGGATTTCATCTGATCAGCTGTTCTCGCTGATCACAAAAGTATTTAGAGCAGCATCGCGTTCAAACGGCTTCAACAAGCTTCCAGAGCCACAACATCAACAACTTCCGTTTTTACAGTATTAATCATCTTGCTATAAATGTCTGTACTTTGTAAGCTTCATCTCCAATCTTGTATATTTTTGAAGATTGTCGTGTGTAGGAGAATCTGTTTTGTAGTCAAAGTATGGGCTATTAATCATTTCAACGACACTCAAGTCACACATTCGTGTAGTTTTTGTGAATTTCAGAAGAGCGGTGTTGGAATGCTTCGTTTCTCTTTAGAGTCTTGATAATTTGCCTTTTGAGAACAGAGGAAAGCATTTGAAGAAGCAGTTGGCCTTGGTGTTAAGAGTGGTGATATAACGAACTGTGCAATACCCTCCTTATTGAGGGGACAGCTTGGGCCTACATAGACAGACGATGCACTTTATTGTGAAAGATTAGGAACGTTTCAGTTCATAACAGGTATTTAGGTGCTTGCAATAGATATCACTAGTGAATGTCATACCAAAAAACATCTCATCTGTTCATTGTTCTATTTATCACCCATTGGATCGAAACTAACTTGATTCAACAGTAGCAAGACATCAATGTTGCAGTAACTATCATGAGTGCATAGGGGTCACTTGATGTTTAGAGAGTGAATTTTCAGATCATTTTCTGAATAAATATGTATTTAAAAAGTGTCTTCTATTATTGGATGCTGAGCAACAAAACACTTAAAAAATCTTTAGTAATTGAATTACTTTAAATAATATTTTTATAGGATTTTGGCATCAGTGTGATTAGGTGTTTTCCATACTGTACTATAGCACAATATATGATCACATATTGCTCCACCCCTACTTCCAAATAAAGGCAAAATGCATGAAAATAATAATCAGCCATTTGAAAAACTAATTTTACTTGAAAATGTAAAACTTACAGCAAAATATTGATGTTGCATTACCAATGTACATCAATAAGCCACATACACAGAATGTACTATTACATATTAATATGGAATACTGCAATGATACGAGGCAGGACTCACAAGGGGAAATGAAGACCTGACTGAAAACATTACTTTACTCCCTGCAGCGATGAAAGTAGCCGTCTCTTAACAAGACAGATGTGACGGTACACCCAGTAAACCGAGGCAAGCCCTCTGCAGGCTCCTGTTTCTATCGGTCACATCTGGGATTCAGTCCGAGTCTCCCTCTTCCAATCCTACTGCTCCCACCACTCCGGCCAACTCGTCCTCGCTGCCTCGTAGACGATCCCCTGAACACACAAACACTCAGTCAATTTATTTATTCCCTGAATTCTCCGATCACTAGTTACATTCATGTGTAATTGCTGCATATTGGCCATAGCTCTGGTTAGGGTCTTATTCGGGTTGAGTGCACCGGTGACTTCCTGTAACCAAACATTGCTGTTGTCCCATCAACAGACGCAACTATAAACATACTAATTGGGTTATTGTGAGTACACATAACATGGCTACCTGCGCTCTCAATGTCGCACATTAAAATGAGGGGAAAAAACCTTTACATTTAGGAATCGCACCCTTGATGCTATCAGATGGCTTCAAGGCTCTGTGGAATCGCAAAGCAAATTGCCTAATAATTCACACCTAGCTCAGACATGCTTTTCTCCGTGGTGTCAGGAAAAGTTGGTGATAAAACGCAGAAACAGGAAATACTAACGGATGAGCTCGGCGATCGCTCTCTGTGTTCTCCTCTCCAACTTCTCCAGTTTCTTTGCAACGTCACGCTTTAGATCCCTAGATTCAGAATCACAATAAAAAGAAATTATCTTTAGTCATACCAAGATTGTACGTGCCATACAGGTTGTTGAATCATTTTCAAAAACCTCTTACCAGTCTGGTTTTCTCGGGGCGAGGTTGGCCAAATCCTGAGGAAAGAAAACAGCCGAATAAGGCAAAACTACAACTACTATGCTTCTTCAGCAAAACACATCAATACAGAAAGGGGTACTCACCACTTCTTCAATGATGGGCTCTGGATTAGCTGCCTCCAACTGGTCTTTTACTTTATCCTCCACTGCAAACAAAGAATATTCATTAACATTCATAAATTATATGTGATATTAGCAGCAGGCGTCGAGCTCACCACATTCCTTGAGGCAATGTGATATTTACAAAAGCTTTACAAAGCTTGTCTGTGATTGAAGAGTTCTCACCTGATACAGGTTTTGCTTTGGGCACCTGCCTCTCCTTCAGCTCTTTATCCTCTGGAGTGTAATTCCTCAGCTTCAGCTCTCTGAGGACAGAAATTCGAGACGCATTATCAGTCATCGACGCTCCCTTTCTTTCTCGCCGCACTAATGTGACCGTCCAGGAGGTGGCAGTGTAGACAAATATAATTTGTCCAGAGATTAAGGAGCAGAGAAGAGCATCTGCAAACCCTTCACAGCTGCACACATGTCTAGAGGAGGCCGGGTATAATGTCCCTCTTTATTCCTATGAGCACGTCTGATCAACACGTACCACCTGCTCCTAACGACAGACTTGCGGAGAGCAGCAAACAGCTGAGGAATGCTGTCCTTGATGTTAAATTACGCAGTCTTTCATCACATCTCTGCACGGAGGAATTCTTGGCAGGACTCCCCGACATCCCTGCAGATTATACACATGTACATCCAGAGGCAGAGGTAAACTATTATCTGACCAAGAGAGCTATCAGCTGCTCTGAGCTTAACATGGATTTGTGATGAGGCTCGAGGGAACACTCTTGATACGTTCATCAAACCTTTGCTGCCAACAGACAGACCGATGCCTTGTAAGGGTATGGGCAGGAATGCTAGTCTTAGTCGGCCTTTGGCTAACTCAGTCTATATAACTGTAATAAAATGAATTAAATAAACAGAAGGAAAGTGCATCAATTGTTGTCAAACAAGGCCTGAAAATAATCATTTTGCCAACCTAAGCTCCACAGCATTACAAAGTCCAGACGTGCTGACAGCTTAAAGTAGCCAGAAGGCATCCATCCAGGACTAACTACAGGCTGTCATTCATCAGCCTTCAATAGAGCATAATGTGATGAAATAAAACAGAAATAAATAAAGTTGACACAAATTCAATCGATACATTTAAAGGGTTCTTCTTCCAGGAAGCATGAATGTGCCCAGCACAGTCTTAGCTATTATTTACTATTGCTTCATTGCAATTAAGCTGCATTATTCAATATATGGCACGAGTGCAAAGGCCAGAGAATCACCACAATCAACAAGTTTAACATTAATAAACATCATTTGAGGACTGTGAGTTTAATGGGGGGGGGGAGGACTGTGAGTTTAATGGCTTAAGAGGGTTGTCTGGTAACCGCAGGGTCAACGGTTCGATCCTCGACTGGGACGTGTCACGTGTCGTAGTGTCCCTGAGCAAGACACTGAACCCCCAGCTCCCCGGGCGCCTGTCATTGGCAGCCCACTGCTCCCTATATACAGGGATGGGTCAAATTTCGTGGATGTGTATATGACAATAAAAAGGGTTTTTTCATTCTTTTCTAATGGACACTGCGGCCTATTTGTTAGGATCCCTTATCACGGATAAGTAGGGTGTCAAAATGAATCTTTGACCTGATGGCGACCATTATTGTTCAACAGCCCAACAAAACTACTGGATACACACTGAACATAACTCCTTTTCTTAACTGTGTCTTAGTTTGGTGTGTCCAAACCTTTAAAGTGTGTTTACACATTTCCACTTCAAGCACACAGTGGCATCAAAGAGAGCCGGTGATGAATTCAGAGCACAGACCCAAGTGTGGCTCTCTCACTATGTTTACAGTGAACTGTGGCTGAGGAGCGGGTGCAGCAGTGTTCAAACGCTCACACCGATATCGCTCCATTCACCAGAGCACAAAAACAATCAGCCTTTTATATTTACACAGGCGCCACAGACATTGTTAAAGCTGGCGTGTAATTAGTCATATCGATATTTTAGAGGCTTTTGAACTTCCCTGAATGTAATTTTCCATTTCCAAGAATTTAAAAATCGACTATCGGTCTATCTTAAAATAAAATAAACAGCAGCCCTGACGATACCTAACAAGATGGAACAGGAAAAGCTGCATGGTACCCATTGGTGCCTTTTGTGGGATATGCTTGCAGGAATGTATGATAACACTCAGGAAGCTGAAAAAAAATCTCTGGCCAAGTTCCACTGTCTCCTTCATTTGAGTCGCAATAACTTTAGAAGTTGATTGTTGTGTTCTTTCATGCCTGGGTTTGGCATTTGGATCTCCCATGAAATATTAATACAAGATACATTACACTCACACTCTGCTACAAACGTGTATCTTGATTTAGCAAAGCATTGATTAAATAAAAACAGAGTACATTCAACTCACTTTTCGCTTCCCTGACAAATGTCAAAATCAAGCATTTCAAGTCCGCAGCTATTTTTATGCTCATAAGAGATCTGTCCTGTTGGACTGGAGGAAATACAGCGGCACGCCTTCAGTACAGTCATTAAATATAAACAATGGAAAGAAGAAAAAAGAAGGTCCTGTAGGACAGGAAAGATGGCTGCTGCTCTTTCAAACCAGCCAACATACAAAGTTGAGTATGCTGCAGGATATTTGAGCAGCAAATAGCAGGAAGCTGTGATCCAGGCCAGTGTAAACACTACACCTCATGACCTGCACTGAGACATGCAATACAGTGTTACAAGAAGATGGTGATCAGATAAAAGGGCAGATAAATGGTCTGATGGTGTGCTGCCGTATCAGTTTCACTTCCGTTTGTGCAGCTTTAATAAATTCATCTGAAGGGGCGAGCAAGCGAGAGCAAAAATGGAAGAAATAATGATAAATTGGATTAAAAAAACAACATTTACATTTGTGTGTGTAGTGTGGTGAACCAACCTGTGCCTTTCTTCAGTAGCCTCCTCTAGGGAAGCCTTTTTGTTCTCTGGCTCCCCATCTTCCTGCTCTTGCCCCTGTTAAAAATCATCATGCCATTGTTAAAATAACCACACATAAATAACGGGTAAATAAATGACAACATAGACTTGCAGGAATACAGAAAAAATGATATCGACCCCAAGTGAAAAGTGAAAACAAAGGAGATTGAACCCCTCCCGTCTTGCATTTTCCTGAAGAGGCTTCCTGTCTACCTGCTAGAACAATTCAGGGGGCCGACTCATTCTTGAAGTGTAGTACAAAAGGAAACCAACCCCCAGCTTCAGGAATGTCAACTGTCATTTATCAGACATTGCTAGTCAAATCCAGCATGCCACGGCCAAACTCAAGCTCAGTGAAACACACTCCGGTCTAACTGGAGAAACAGTGGCTTGCACACGGTTTCCTGTTGCAAGAAGAATTCATATCCAGAACTGAACGATCACCACAGCGGAGCCACAGAATAACTGTGTAATGCTGAGTTTGATTCCTACTTTAAAACGTTGTCCCCACAGATTCTACAGATAAAGTGTTTTTCACCTTTTGTGCAACTGAGTTTTCTCCGTACTTTATTCTAATCCTCTTTTAAAGAAGTAAAAGTTCAGTCTTCCGACTAAGGTTGCTCCATCTTTCACCATATGTGTGTTTTTACTGCCACCGTGTCCAGTTTATAACTGTGTGGCACAGGAGAGCCTTTCTCAATGGTTAGGCATGTATGGAAAGCTGTTAAAAAAAGCTTGATTTAATGCAATACCTTTATGAAAGAAGTTGAAAAAGAGACGTTATATTCTTCAGAAACTACCTTGCAGTGGAAATTCCCTGACATCTTCAGACTTTGATTAATATGACTTATTCCCCAATGTCCCCACCTGAAAAATATTTCACTGTGGTCCATGATATACTAAGACCTTTACAGCGAGAGGCAGACCTATATTTATGATGCATTCCAGAAAAACTGTGCTTTTGTCATTAAATACTTAACAGACACTTTCCCTTTTATTCAAATGATTCCCATCCCTTTAAGGAAGCAAATATCTTTCCACATACAGAGTGTCAGTGCTCTCTTCCCTGCAGCCACCTTCTATCCTTCACCTCTGCCTGTCAGCAAGATATTGAGGCTTCATCTATTACATGTATTGCTGAACATCAATCAAAATACAAGGAATAACATCTGCTACTTCAGCTCTGGTTTCACCAGTCTGTAGAGAAGCATACGATTTAATATATGAAATACCATCAAGTGCATTGGTGAGAGAATCATTTTACAAGATGTAGCTATGATATTAAATCATCGCTAGAGACGCGAGTAGAGCTTCAATCACTTTGTTATTGTCTTTCTGAGAAAATATACGAACTAGTTAGCTTCGGAAATTAGCTGCACAGGCAAACCAGACCTACATATGCAAATGCAGTGTAAGAAATAAACATTTAACTTAAATACATTACATTTTAAATAAATATACAAACTTACCTTCTCCAACAGGACGACAAAAAAGCCAAGAACCAAAGTTACGATTGATTTGCTAACTACATACATGTGCTAACGGTGTTAGCTATAAGCTAAGTCGGCTAATGCTACCTCACCAACACAACTGGCTGTGATATATAACATGTTGCATTTATCAGAAACCAGGCATCAGCAGACAATACACTTACGTGAAGTTGTTTATCTCTTAGTGCTTTCAGCCTCTCCTTTCTCTTCAGGGCCTGCTCTTGCAGTGACCCAACATTTCGCTCCATGTTTATCTCTACCGCTAACGCTACACACCGCTCAATGCTCTCTGAAATCCATTAACGGTCCTGACTGAGGATGTAAAGACGACCGTCGAGCACATCGATTGCAGTGGCCCGCTGCCTATTCGTGTGATATTGTTTTGTTTTGTTGACAAATCTCTTCAAAATCATGAAATAGATTACATTTGAATATTTACAAAATCAAATTATTTAGGGATAATGGGATTTTCCAAATTTTGATTTAAACACAGACCAATTATGTTGGGGTCTATATAGATAAAATAGATAGATAGATAGATAGATAGATACTTTATTCATCCCGCAAGGGGGAATTTGTTCGCTACAGCAGCAAAAATATACTTAAGCAATTAAAGTAAAATATAAAAATATTAAGTATAAAAATGCACAGTATATACAATAAAAATAGCTCAGTAAACATATTAAATATAAAAAAATGTACATGTGGACTATTAGCAGACCTATAGATTACAGGAATACATAGGATAGACTGGCACACTGTGCCGCCTGTTGATGGTCACACTGTCAGGTCCTGTTTAGGTATGTAGGCCATCTCCATGGTAATACAGCTGCCTTCACTGTGTCCATCCTTCTACTGACCGAGTGTGTGACAACACAAACCTGATTGTGTTAAAGGTCCTAACAAAGTTTAAGAGGTTAACACTAATAAATCAGTACCTTACCCATGTATTCTTACATGTTAGTAATTCATCAAGAGACACATTAACTCCTGTTATAGATTACATACAGTCTACTATAGCAGATAGGAAAAAGTTGCCTGTACTTTAAAGTCAGTACAACAGACACACCACTTGTCTTGCATTTCTCTGGTTTAGTACAATTTAATCCAACTGATAAGGTTTACATATGAAAATACATGTTGAAAATATAATGCTTTGTTAGACTAAGAGATAAATCCCTCGACTGCACACAATAAACCTGACTCCTCTTTCAAGAAGTGTCAATTCCAATCAACTTTGTTTAATAAAAAAAAGGTTTGTATTCAGTACATCTTACATCATAATACGTTTTTTTAGGTAATCAAATTTTCTCTAGTAGCTTTCAGATAAATGGGTGAGCTGTTGCCAGACCATGCATGTTTACATGAGGCCAAACAACATTAAAATACTTCTTACTTACAAATTCTAAGTTAATGCATTTCCAAACAAAATTCAGGGGGTGGGGGGCATTCTTTAAAATGAGCACTTTTAATTATTTTAATACTTGTGTATATTTATACGGCCCATCATTTTACACTTTTACTGTATAGTTCGATTATATTCCTGTATTTTACTTTCAGAATCGATCACCAATGTAGGCCTCTCAGTGTTTACAGGATCATTGATTAACAGTCTGGAATGCAATATAACTGTGCAATAATTATTTATTACAGCACCTGAAGATATCACGAGTAGTCGTTACAGTTTGAATTGCAGTTGTGTGTGTGTGTGTGTGTGTGTTTTAATGTTATCAGTACTCAGTGTTGCTTACTCTTTAGTCAGTTCGTTAGAGGAGTCCTGCAGGAGGCTGTCACTGTGTGTTTACGTGTGTGCGTGTGTCTTTAAGAATACCAGCCTACCTGTGAGCATGATCTACAGTCAACTCTTCCCTGTATGTCTTGTTACAGAGACACTAGTTGACAATAATGAGCTGCTGCTCATCTCTGCTGACTGAATCCGCATGGGCAGCACAGTCATCTCTTGGTCTTGAGCTGATGGCATCGGTCGCTTCCGTGGGAAACTCTCTCCAATAGGAATCATTTACCAACCAAGCTCGCTGTAAATGCGGACATGGGTGTTCCTCCAGACATGCATTTCCACGCAATTTTGTTCCTGGTTTGATCATTTCGACAGCGATCGCACCGTGGCCCACACTCACACCGTCATGTTTTGCTTTTTTTTGCCACTCTGAGAACTTTGCGTGACAGAAAGCACTTTTGCGTGGATTATTGTGCCTGAATTTTGCAGGAATGGTTCCCAGGAGCGTGCCGCGTCCTCCTGCATTTAGGAAACAACTTCAAACAGCCCCAGAAAACCTTTGACCAATCTCACCCGCTTCATTATTTAACTAAAATAAAAAGGAGATATGAGCAACCACAAGAGCGGCGGGATGGCATCGAAGGAAAGGCTGTATGAGCTGTGGATGTTATATTACACAAAGGTGAGTGTGGAAGAACCTGACGGTGACACCTGTTGCAGCCAGCAGGTCCTCTGGCTAAAGTTTGTAACAAGACCCGATGAAACGCATGACCGTAGTGTGTGTGTGTGTGTGTGTGTAACGTTACTTCAGCCATGTCTCTGTCGTTTGTTGTAAACGGTTACACGAGGAAGTCGCTTCTGTTTGTACAGCAGCTCTTATTTTACCGAGTGGTTGGGCTACTCGAGCTATTGTAGCATATCATCAGTGCCACTTGGTCATTTAAGTTATTGAAAGCAGTAGCGCAAGCCATGATGGTAGGCTATTTGAAGCATATTGGCCCAATTCGTGAAGTGTGTTTAATTCTGCAGCCTACCTGCGATGCAGGTGTCACTGAGGCTACTTCCGGTTCCTGAGTTAAGCATGTCGCATGGAAACCATAATGGCAATAATGTTGTTATGGAGCCTGTTTTATTGTTCAGGAACCAACTGAAACATGTGTTTTTGACTGGATGCCTGTTACTCTATAGGCCGACCAATATTAAATACATATCTAATATACATAACAAAAACAGTGAAAACTATTTTGGCAATATCTGAAAAGGAGTGTCAAATTGTTTTATGTTATATTTAGGTCTCAGATGTTGCCCTCTGTGGGTGTGACTGCGCCTCATTCTATTGGCTGTGCAACATCTAAGTAATAACGATGAAACAAATTCATAGTCAAAGTATATTGCACATGCTTTCATGTCATCTTGTCATGTCCTCTTGAAGGAGAAAGTCAGTTTGGCAGTGAATGAATTAAGGATTACTATTTAATGTGTTTGCAATCTGCTCCCATGCCTGAGGACAGAGAAAACAAGATTATTTCCAAGATTGCATGCACTGTATCTTCAATGTGGGGCATAAAGACTGATCTCTTGTTATCACAGTGGATCTAAGGGGCAGGTTTCTTGACTAGAATAATGTCTAGTCCTAGACTAGGATCCTTTTCCTTACACGTCTCTATTAGATGTTGCTTTAATTAAGGCTTAATTTCAATCTAGTAAAATGAAATGCTCTCCACAGGACAGAAGTCAAAGCTGGAATAACTACTCTAAATGCATCAGTGACACACCTCTTGCAGCATCTACTATTAAAGATGTCATCTGGTGTCTTTCTGATCCACCCTGTTACTTGTCTGGAAACAAAAGCAAGTTGAAAAGAACTGTCACACATAAACCATGTGAGACAATCATAGGTGTGTATGTGTGCCTTTGAATCTGACTGTGACAGCTGTCTAGCACCTCTATTTGCAAGATCACTTCCTTATTTAGCTGTTTCTTGGCTCTCAATTAATTTTGATTAGTTGCCCTGAAGGATAAAGGAACAAAGTTTACAATATGTTCTTTACACATTTCCCCCCAGTGAATGAAACGTAGATATCCAAACGTTCTTGTGGATTTTGCATGTGTGCAAATGACCTGCCCTTATTGACAAACTGCGATGAAAGATGGCGGAGGCTAGGGATTTAACTGAGCCTGGCAAGTATTTAACGCCACCACCTTATGTGACTCAGAGGAACACAATAGGCTGCAGAAAGGCAGCAGAACCACTTCAGAGAGCAATCACCTGCCTCTCCTATAGAAATCTACATTATGTTGTTGTTGTCGGCCTGTTTGTCAATTTGGCAGGGACATATCTTCTTTTAACTGGACACATCCCATCTCACACATCAAGGAACGTTTTGACCTTTGCAAATGAGCCAAAGTGGTCAAGAGATCTTAGCTCTGTTTAATAGGCTTTTTGTTAGTGTTGTAAACAAGCCTTTTCTTACAGTGGCAATGACCTGACACTGTTTGAGGGACAACAGACACACCCTGGCAGCTGTAAATATCTCAGTCTTGTATGTCTCTGTTGATAACAGGTTTTCCTCAGATGTCTTCATATATTGTTTTAGTTTTTTCCTGCATTCATCAGCCTCTGTATCCCGGCAGCATCTTCATTCAAGTAGTAAACTCATTATAAAATGTAGATGATGGGAGTTACAGAATATAATAAAGCTGCAATGAATCCTAACAGTTAATTCCAACATGTTTGAGTACATTCAGTATCTCAGCCATTGGTCTGTATTTGCAATAAAAAGCCAAACGTGCTCAGGCTTGTCGGTGATAAAGGAGCTCTGCTTCCTCCAATTGTGCAAGAAATCGCACACCCCTTGCAAGATTTTTAGATCAGTTGAGATTCAGGAGTGAAAAGTCATTGTGATATAGAAGCATCTTTTTACTTCAGTATTTCCAACATTTTCTGCAGAAATTACCAAACAAACAGGCAGGCAATGATAGGTACATTCATAGTTTTCTGGATAAGAGCTTCTGTTATTGATCAGAGTTGATTATTTGCTATAGTCGAGACAACACTGTATGGATACATTATATCCCCGTCATCATCGTTTACCCTAGACCGGTGAGAGCAATGGTCCGTGCACATCAAGACTCTCATACAGTGACACCTTACTGGCACAATTTCAGAGCTCCATATCCATATCTGAGACTTCTACTCAGACCATCATGAATGCTCGTTCCGGAGAGGTAGGGACATACCCAGAAGAGTGTGATAATCACTGAGGGAGTAACTTAACTTGTCAGATCGTGTCTGATGACAACCAGAGGGTATTGTTTTTGGATAAATACTGTAAGACTGTACTTTGACAACTTTGTGGAGGACTTAAGCAATTCATTTAATAGGTTATTAATCCCACGTTGCAGATTTTCATTTTCATTCGGGGGTAAGTTAACTTGGGCTGTTTGGACATTTTTCACAAGTTTTAAGTAAGCAGGATATATGACTCGGTGATGCAGTGAGAAAGCCTTTATGTTTAATAAGCTCTGGCTAGAGATAAGTGACCCAAGACACACTGAGGTAAAGTACAGACCCTTTAGACATCATTATTCTGGATGAAAGTGAGTGATGAAGCAGCATGTTTGTGTTGATACAGTGAGATGTACGGCTGGTACAGAGATAGTGTGTGATTATCCTGTGATTATTAGCTTGAGAGACTGTTAGAGGGACTAATTGAAGCCTGTAGCGGTAGAGATGGACCACAGTAACAACCCGACTGTCCCCCATCCACACAGCTGTGAAATCACCTCCTCTGCTCGCTATGAAGAGAAGTCACATTTCCTGGCTTTTGTCATCATGCTGTCAGTCACCTTGCTGTTTATTTGTCCTAGTTCCTGATCACATATGATTCACATCCATATGAGAGATGCAGCAACAACAGCAGCCACCCCTGCTGCTCCCTTTGACCATCCTGTGAGCCTTGTAATTGAGTTCCCTTGTGTGCCGCGATGTCCCCTGTTTACCAACAGAAGGGCCAACCAGGAAAATCAAAGTGCTCTTTGCTTTCCCTTGTGCAGGAAGCCGGAGCGAAGCAGAATGCCAAGCAGCAAAGAGCGGCACAGCTGCTTGGCCATGTGCAGAGAAAACAGAGCTAAATGGCACAGTTTATAGGGGTCGGTACCTCATGGTTGGTTTGTGACATCAGTTCTAATTGCGTCTTTATTGAATAAATCCTTGAGCTAGTTGCTCTGGGCAATGTTTAGGGAAAGAAGTTAATGCAACTGAGAGCAAAGAGTGTGTATTTCTTCTGAGGTGTTGATCAATTTTGTAAGGGAGGATTTCTAGGTCAAGGGCGCAGACATGAAGAAGGGCTCTAACTGGTTTTACTTCTCATTAGCAAACCAGATTCACTTCCTTTCTGTGATATAATGTTTTTATTATTATTATACATTTAAATCCAGCGGTGCCAGTCACACCATGCAGCTTGAGTGTACCGCTACAAAGAAAAGGCTACTTTTATCGACAGGGAACAGAAAAAAATGATACTTCCTTTTTACGTGGAACTAGAAAGCAAATCTAACTTGCTAAATTTATTTGTACTAAGTGTAAAAACTTAGGGAACATCTCCCACTGTCGGAGGCTGTCCTGCCCACCCTCAGCAGGCAGTTGGCAGGGTCGTTAGCTTGATTAAGCTCACCTGGGCTTTCTAGGCTGTAAAAGCCGTCTCTCTCTTTCCCTTTCTATAGCTACACCTTCAACACTGCCACAGCACATATGCCACCCATCAATGCAATGCTTTTATTTGCTGACAATGCTGATCTCCAGACTCCGTTGTGCGAGTTAACCTTAGCTTAATAAATTATGTTTGACTTTAGGTTACAACCCCATATTCCCAGAGCCATTTTGTGACAATAAACACCTGTAAAATTATTCAAAACCGCGTAGTTCTCTCTGGAGTAGGTGTCTCCAGGACCACACTTTGTCACAATGACACATACACACAGAATCACAATGTGAAAACAATTACTGCCACACGCAGAGACGGCTAAGGAAGGCTGTCGTCATATCATACAGTTTGTGAACTCGTAAATTCCAAATTGTGTGTCACTTAATTGTTCTTGTACATTGTGATTTCCAGTAGGCAGAATTAGAATTAATGACATATCAACAGCGCTGGATGATTAAGAGTCCTTAAAAATACTAGTTGTTGCATGGTGAGTAATGTTAGGGAGGATTCAGTCATTCAGCTACTGAATCTTTTATTGTAAAGTAAAACAAAGCTGAAGGAGTGTTGCAAATATGTCCTTGCCTCTCCTAGTCAAGTCTCCCGTACCTGATTGTCCAGATGTTGCAGGCAGAAAACAATATGTTGTTCAGTTAGGTTTCCTGTTTTCACAGAGAAAGTACATGCAGAGATTTTATTCAGTATGTCTGTTTTATGTCATTTTGTTATTTTTTCAATAGCTGGCTAATCAGATTTTGAATTTCCAGCGTTTGTTACGTGGTAAAGGCAATTGGACTGGTTTTTCTCCAACTAGAAATACAGTATTCTGTAAATTATGACATTCACTGCTTCAACTTGTCACATTTCAGTGGCTCAGTCAGTGACAATTATTCCAACTGAGAGAGCTGAATTTCAGTGTTTCTCCTGCAACATATTTTTGCTGTGTCAAATTTAGAAAGCGTAAACAAAGTTTCAGTGCTTAGTTGTTGCTGTGGGAAGTTTTTTTTTTTTTTTCATAGGGGCCTTCTTCATATCTTCTCACAACTATAGTAAAAGCAAAAGAGGAAGGAGTTTGATGAGGAGGCTGCGAATGAAGGAAATAAGCTACGGTTAGAGTGACATGTCATTTCCTGGTTGCTCGTTTGACGTTTGGAAGACCAGAAAAGAGCGAGTCTGACGGAGCGGTGTGCAGCTTCTGAGCTGCTGGCTGGAGACGTCACTGAAGGCTCATCTGAGACTGGGTTCCACAAGAACCTGGCACCCTGCTCAGCCGCATGCAATGAGAGATGGACTGGCTCATAACTCAGTGCCAGTTGGTAATGTACATTTGACATTAATGCAGCATTAGAAACTAGTTCAGGGTCAACTGCATTAGATTTCCATTTTATTAAACATGCAATGAGCTACAGTTACAGGAGGAGCACTAATACTGCAGCAGCTTTTAAAGTAACCTGCATCAATGGCAGCAACATTTTTGACTTATTTGCCTGTTGGCTTAGGGGAAGTACCGGATTTATTGTTGTGCTTTTTGCTGTTCTGTATGTTATTTGCGTACAATGAGTCAGTCAATCTGAGGCAACTCATGTCTTCCAGCATGCTCTACAAAGGCTGCCTCAAATGTGAGCAACTCTGACTTTGTGCATACTCAGCGAATCAAAATGTTCCGGCGGTTCCATCACACGGTACATCAAGGAACATTTTGAGGTGTCTCAGGTTTTTGTAATTTGATTTTGAAACGCTGGGTTCCCATGAGTAGCACCGCTTGTCTGAATCGCCAGGAATTTTGAATCTGGCTTTATATAAAAAGTAAAAAAATAATTCAGTTTAAAGTTGACCCGTGTGACATTTGTGTTGCGCACAGCGGGAGAGTGATGTAAGGAGGGAAGAGTGGCAGGATATATTGCACTGCAGAGGCTGATTAAAGCTGTGATAATGACTGTTTGTATGTAAACATACCCGCATAATTGAAACCATCTTTTATTAAACTATAAGGACGCAATAATGCAGGAATGTTTATGACGATGACATGCATATAAGAAGTTGTTATTGTATGTACTGAGTGTTTGGAACTTATGACTGAAATTTGAACCTCCCTGTTTTGGAAAGCATTGGCTCATGTGTTCCTCTCTGTGAATTACATCTCTTTGCAACATCCTGTTACAAAAACAGGTCATAAGCTTTAGTCAGTGACATGTTTTCCGCCACAGTGTGTCACAGTTAAACGCTCAACCCTTTCAGAGGAAGCAAAGAACATATTCCATTGATATTTATTGTGAAACCGTGCACATGTTTCACACACACTATTATTTACTAACACTGCATGCTGCATATAATGTGCCTGGAGGCGTGAAGGCCCCTTTCTTCGCTCAATTCTTCTCTCCTCCCTCCTGCAGAAAGACGTGGGCTATCTGCAGCAGTGGTTGGAGGCGTTCGTGGCGTCCTTTGAGAGGCTCATTGATGTGCATTCACTGGAGCCTCGGAGGTGAGTAGTAGAAACAAACTACACTGCCAGAAGCTCCCACCGGGTTTTATTCCCCAAAGCAAGATGAACTCTGACCTTCTGTAGAGATGCCGCTTTGACATGTTTATGTTATGTGTAAACGCAGCCCCTGTTACGACGCCCTTTGCCGCTATGCTACTGCCTCCCATCCCCTCTCTACCCACATCTTCCTCTCACATCTTCCAGGCCGGAGGAGTGCAGCTCCGAGGTGCCCTTGCTCCCCAGGGAGGTCCTGGTGTTCCTCGGCACTCAGCTATGGCAGAGTGCCGAGCACCTCTCCGACACTGCTGAACCCAACAGAACCACCCCTCACCCCCTGCTCCTCATCAAGTTCTTCATCATTATCTGCAGGTGAGGTTCCCAGCCTGCTGTGTATATGCCTTGTGGCAGTACTATTTATAGTAAAACTATATTCAGGCAGGTACTAGAGACCAATGGGACTACTGTTTTTTAAGTAAATTAAAGTGTACCTGACTTGAGGTAATGTACAAAATTAGGTATCAATTTCCTTTTATTTAAAATGAAATCTTTACTTATAAAAAAAGAAGCAATGGTAGAAAAGGGAACCAAATGAACTACAGTTTGAATTACATTAATTAAATTGCAATGCAGGTTGTGCAAACGGGCTGCAACTCCATCACAGGAAGTTGTCCCTCACATGTACATTCTGTGTATTTTTTGTGCCTAAAATGGTCATATTGGGCAAACATCAGGCAGATTTTCTTAACACTCAATTGCACAAGTTTCTCTCTACTTCTAGGAATATGGAGAACATCGACCCAGAGAAGACCCCTGATTTTGTTTTCGAAGCCATCAAGCTTTTGAATTTCTGTTTGGACCAGGTAAGGCCTTTATAAACGTTAGCTCAACCAGGACACAGATTTCAGTGATTTATATCAGGGCTTGGCTCCACTGCATGCTCAGTATATCAAGTGTCCAAAGATTATTTAGTGCCCTTAAAGCCAAACTGTGCAGAAGTGTGATACACAGCAGAGAGACAGTGAACAGTAACATCCTCACACAGAAATAACAGAACTAGTTTACACTTAAAAGAGAAATGGGTGTGTTGTCGAACATCTATTCAATGTACTGGAATGTGTTGTATGAGGAATGTCAAAGACAGGTGTATCTGTGCTGGTCATGCGTTACACATGTGTCAATGTGAGTCCAAACTTTTTATTTTGGACAGCTTAAGAAGGGACAAGGGGAGCAGTCTTCTCTGCAGACGGTTGTGCAGTATGGACTCGTGCTGTGTGAAAGCCTGTTTGACCCTTATCAGACGTGGAGGAGACGCCTGGCAGGGTGAGTGTGTGCTGCGTCACCATGGAGATACACTGCGTGGGAGGTGGGATTCAGTCACAATACCCTTACACTATGGTGTGCATTTAACATCTTGCCCAACTGTTGTGTGATGTGTAACCACCCTTGCTTGTTGCCTCCAAGCCTTAAAGTCAATCCTCATTAGTGCCGGCAGTATTCGTGGCAGCCCTTGACTGACTAGGCGTGATGTGAGTCAGTGCGGTAACTCGAGTCTTTGTGTGTTACAGGGAGGCGGTGAGCTCGCTGGAGAGGAACAAGTATAAGTTCTCCCCGCTGGCCTTGCCAGAGGAGTTGCCTGCTCTTTTTCATGGTGAGATGCTCCCTTTCGTCTGCTCTTTCACTGTGATCTCTGTCAGACCTCACATACCACAAGAATCTCACTGTTCCCACCGCTGCCTAAACACAGCTTAGTTCTGTCATCTTTAACATGAAATACCAGGACCTTTTTATTTGCTCCAAATCGCCTAGATAATCATTCTTTGCCATGTTGCTTATAATGGAAAATGACTGGTCAGTCCGGTCAGTAAGAGCTTTAGGTTTTGGCTAAAAACTTAAATTGTTCAGCATCTAATTATCAGGTTTTAATCACCAGAGTCCAAACAATTCTAATTATAGAAGCCCATTTGATTAGCGAGCACTAATCTATAAGCCATGGGGGAAATCACAGCCTGGGCAAGTTTCAGTATGTCCAAATTTTAGGAGGATTAAACTGTAATAGCATGCTTAGAAATGTTAAGTGCTAATTGTGTAATACCTAGCCAATTAGCAAGGCTTTGGCTATACTTTTTTCACGTAACTCTTAATGATAGACGTGGCTTGCAGGGGAAGCTTTTGCTCAGCCATTATACTGTGAACTTTTTACATTTATTCTTATTTTTCTTAATTTTAACAAACTAAAATGATATATTGATAGCACTGTGTTACTGTTTTCTGTATTGTGGTTAAGTGAAAGCTGGTTTTGCATGACATTGTTCCTTGGCTTGAATACATGTTCACAGAAAGTCTCCAGGAAAGCGAGCAGATCCCAGAGCTCCTCACTCTCAGATTCGTTCTTCTCCAGGGTGCTGTCATCAGTGGAGGAAAGGTCTGCTGTCCTCTTCGTCATTAATTACTGTGAAAACACTACACATGCAGATTAGAACTAATTACAGTGGGGTGACTGTGTCCATATTCTTTTTCCAGAAGAATGGCCTTCTTTCCATCACCACTCACTCTGTTGATGACCTGTTGTCCGTTCTGCGAGCTTGGTGCAACCAGACCTCCCCTGAACCCAAGAGCACAAAGCTCTCACGGCTGACCCTGCAGTGCTTGACCGCGATGATCCACCTCCTGCACTCCAGCAGCCCTGCGGAGCGGCAGGTTGAGATCAAGACGATCCTGGAGAGCTACTTCCAGCTCCTCAACTGGAACCGTCCACTGATCAGTGAGCAGCTAGAGAGGCAGAGCTGGGAGGACAGCCTGATCTCCCTCCAGAGACAAATGCTAAGTAAGAGCATGTCCACTAGGTCTCAAATCTAGCTTAACGTACAGCATTCCATTTTATTTATCTCTCTCAATCAGTATGAAGGCCAAATTATCGATTTTCCCAGCATGTCAACATCCTCTTTGTTGTCAATTTTAGCTGCTGTTCCTGAGATCCTGCAGTGCTCTGACAGGCCAGTCCTGCAGGCCGTGTTCCTCAACAACAACTGCTTTGAACACATACTCAGGCTTGTTCAGAACAGCAAGGTCAGACCCCTGTCCATTTAAAATGTGTCATTTAAAATGTGTGAAATATCACAAAAAAATGTATGCTTATGTTTTCCACACATGGCTACAACATATGTATCCCGCTGTGGCTATAGACAGACCAGGATCAAACCTGTCACCTGACAGATGACCTTTTTTTGTCTAATTGTCTGTCTTTTTGTGTTGTGTGTATGCGTGTGTGTGTGCCTGCGTGTGTGCCTGCGTGTGTGCCTGCGTGTGTGCGTGCGTGTGTGCGTGTGTGTGTGTGTGTGTGTCCTGCAGCTCTTTCAGAGCAACATGCATAGCCCGGAGCGTGAGGTTGTTTCTGACCCCACTACATGTTTACTCTCAGAGGTCGAAGTGGACCAGGTACTTTCCCCTACTTGGTGTTGATATTGGTCTGTCAGCAGGAAACTCAGCCTTGTCTCTACTCGTTAGCTGCTCTGAGCTATTTAAACAGGAAGCTTTGGGCAGGAAGTCTGGCTTACACTCATTTGTAAATAAAGCAGGTAGTGTGGCTATATGTGATAATTGTCGTCTGGAGTTCCCTTTTTAATCTGTCTCTTCTGTCCATCTGAAGTATCCACTTACAGCCTGTGTTGTATGTGATTTACTGTTATTTTGGGGCGACTTGAATCCGTCTTGAAATAAAAGAAAGTACAAGCTGGTGCTAGCTTTGTGCACGTTGAAAAGTCAAGATTCAAATTATCAGTGAGAGGATTAATCTTTGCTTGTGTGGGAGTGTTGATTTATATCACATTCGTAATTAGAGGCTGAATTCCCTGTTGACAACACGAGGCAAGAAGAGCATGTTGTGTTTTTCATACTGCATGAAATGGTTGTTTTTGAAATGCATGTCTTTCCTTCTTTTCCTGGTATTTTGGCTGCTCTGTCGTGTGACCGGTTGTGGCTCGTGTCCTGGGGTTTTGATGTTGCCTAATTTCCAGCAATAGCTGCCCTTTTTTTTTTTTTTTCTCTCCTTGGTGGTTGGCTTTTGTTTTTGCATGCTGGGATCTGTCAGTAATTAACAAAGAGGCGATTGTTTAGTGACTGATCCAGCGGTGCGCTTACTTCGACCCAGTGTGCTCCAATAATTGGCGTGTGGAATAATCGTTCATTCACTTGGTGAGAGGCTTCCTCAGAATTGATTTGTTTTCATTTTTGGTCATGTGCAGTTAGAATGTTCAACTTTTTTTGGGCTTTGGTTACATTATTTTAACACTCATTATTTTGATGTAGGTTCTGGTGAAAGGATCAGACAGTATTACAGTTCATGCGCTAGGAGTCCTCACAGCTATAATGAGTAACTCACCCTCTGCTAAGGTAAGGCCCTTTGTGATCCACTATGGTTAAATCATGCATCCTTCATTCTTCTGTACATGTATTATAAAGCATATCATACTATGATGACTACAACGCCAGCAAAAATTAATTTAGGAAATTTAATTGTAATTCTTCCAAATGTGTGCCAACTAGTTATCCCTTGTGGAGCCGCTCTTCAACCTATTTCTGTCTCCTTCCCCCGCAGGAGGTTTTCAAGGAGAGGATTGGCTACTCCCAGCTGTTTGATGTGCTTAAGAGTCAAGGTCAACCCACCAAAAGGCTTCTGCAGGAGCTGATGAACATGGTGAAACACTAATTTCCTCTTTATCCCCACTGAGTGCAGAAACAGTAGAAGTCAATGAGCACTTATTGATGACCTTGTTCCTATTTGAATTGGGGTGCAAGTTATTGACCATGTGGCCTCGTTTTAACCTTATTTTCTGTTCTCACTCTTTTTATTCCACTCTGTCTCCAGGCAGTGGAGGGCGAGCATGCCCACGCCCATCACCTTGGCATTAGTAACGAGCAGCCTTTGCTGCTGCTCCTGCAGTGGCTGCCTGACCTGTCGGGTCAGAGGGACCTTCAGCTGCTGGTGGCCCAATGGCTGGCTATGGTCTGTGGTGGCTCCTTATCCTGCCGCACCGTGGCTGTGGAGGCGGACATGGTGGGGGCTCTGCTGCAGGTGCTCTCACAGCCCCAGAATCTTGACCGGCAGTGTGCAGACACCCTGCTGGGCCTCCTGCAGGACCTGGGCTCCATGTGTCTGAGACCAGAGGAGCTGAAGAGCCTGCTCAGACTGCTCAGGGTGGATCAGGACAATGGTGCAGTGGTGGGGAAGGTGCACCCTTACTGCGCTCGCGTCATTCAAGTGCTCTCAGCCATAGCGGCCAGAGAAGGCCAGGGCAGTGCCCTGCAGTACTTTGATCTTACACCCCCCATGGCTGGTATTATGGTGCCCACGGTCCAACGCTGGCCAGGCAGCGGTTTTGCCTTTCACGCCTGGCTCTGCCTCAACATGGAGTTCACCAACAACCGTAAACCATCTGCCACCTCTAGTACAGGGGCTCAGCATGAGATGGGCAAGGGACCACGCAGGAAGCAGCTCTACAGGTACATTTGCGAGAAGTGAAGTTGCAAACTTTCATATGTATATGATTGTACTGCGTTGTACACTTTTCTGTGACAGAATGTGTTTTTTTGTGTGAAGTTTCTTCACAGCAAGTGGAACTGGGTTGGAGGCTTTCTTCACCATGGAGGGAGTGCTGGTGGTGGCTGTTTGCACAAAGAAAGACTACATGGCTGTCGCGCTGCCAGAGCACCCACTAACTGACTCATGCTGGGTGAGTGGGGACACACATAGTACAGCTAGAATTTTGGCCAACATTTGTCTTCGTTTAGCCTGTCGGATATAAAAAATAGATTTGATCAAGGATAAAATCACACATCAATGTACTGAGGGGCGCTGTCTGGGCATGTAACCTTGGAGCATAATTACTGTAAGAAATTGAAGAGTGTACCTCTTAAAGAGATAAGTAGCTAGCGGTCTACCAATATAGGGTAAATTAAAGCTGTCAACTGTGAGACTGTGTTGCTCTAGTTCCTCAATACAAAGATGTATCTTTGTAAGCGCCAAATGTTTAGCCCCAAATTTGCTTTTTTTTAGTTTTGTCACCAGAACAAATTTGTGTGCTCTTTCATGTCTTACTCATCACAGCACTCGGTGGCTATAGTCCACATCCCAGGCCGTCGTCCGTTTGGTCAGAACCTGGTCACCATCTACATCGACGGAGAGCAGCTTAAAAGTGCTCAGCTTCGCTTTCCATCTTTCAGTGAGGTAACTGAAACTAGTATCTAATGTGACCTGGCCATGGACGTATTCTAGCTGAGTAGTTCCCCTATATTAATCTAACTTCCTCTTTCTCTCCCCCGCCTGAACCTGACTCTTGAAGCCTTTTACCTCCTGCTGCATTGGATCTGCAGGCCATCGGACCACTACCACCACCACCTCCCCCAACCTGCCCACGTCCTCGTACTCCAACCCATCGCCTGAGTTTGCCTTCCCCTCCTATGGCCCTTCCCTCATGCGTTCCCAGTCCTTCCCAGCCACCTTTGCCGGAGGCCGCGGCGGGGCTTTGAGAGACTCCCCAGTGCACACCATCCCAGCAGGACTGCAAGACACAGAGTGGGGAACACCCACGTCTCTGGATGGGCTCCTGGGCACCGCCTTCATCTGTCACGAGGCTCTGCAGCAGACACAGACAAGAGCTCTGCATGCTGCAGGTAAGTCACCCTCTGCTACAAAGCAAATGTTGGTTATTCTACACATTACCCAGTTTTTTGCAGAGTTCACCCAACAATCAAATGTAAAGGAACCGTAATAAACAAAAACACAGAATACTCCTAAGAGTATTTTTTTTTCATGTAAACCAAGTAATGTTTGCATAATGGCCGACATTATTTTCTGCTCTCCATCACAGGCCCCAATCACGTGTCCCTATTCAAAGCAGAGGGAGAGTTGTCTGATCTCAACAGCAAGCTTCTGCTCTACTACACTCCACAGGTGACCCCACTGAAACACAAATAAACTTGCACATTTTATTACACTGCTTTCACTAAGTGAATAAACCAACAACACCAGTAAAATATTTGCTGTTTACATTTGTGCATATGTTTTCTACAGGCCTTCAAGGGCCAAATATGTCTGGACCTGTCGCCCAATCACCAATATGATGGCAGGTTTACAGGACACAGGGTAGTGAACTGGTACATCAAGGTTAGATATGACAAGTGTCAGATCAGTGTAACATCAGTCATGTTGTATGCTGTCATGCTGCTTCCTTTTTGGGCAGGTGCTCGTTGTTGACTCTATTTCTGATCTAAATAGGACTAATGTGGAAGGTTACAAAAATATAGTTGTTTTTTTTGTCCCCCCTGCAGGATGTTGTAAACGTGGTGGGAGGTATAGGGGTTTTGCTGCCCCTGCTTGAGCAGGTATGTGAGGCTGAGCAGCTTTGCAACGGCAGTCAGGAGATCGCAGACCTGCTGGGACAAGAGCTCACCTCCCCCAGAAGCCCTGCTGCTATGCTGCTGCCACTGAACAAGTCTGCAGGTCAGCTTTTTTTGTAATTTTGGTATATCAAAATTCAAGTATCATAAATCCGTTATCTCCTGCATTGTGAGGGCTAACTGTGTTGTTGTTCCTGGTTATTTTTGCAGTGCTAAATGCTAAATATTTGTTTCAGTGCAGTTCAGAGTCAGAAGACGTTATGAATGGTAGCGAGTCAGAGTTTACACACAATGCATGATGCAAGGACAGACAAGATGTGCTAGACAGTCACATGTCTAATGTAAACAAAATGAGATAAATGGAACAAACAGCATAACAAAAGTGAGACAAATACCCTGCCTCATCCTGTGATATGATAATCTCAGTAAAATGCTTGGTAATGCATAAATATGTCTGTGGGTTACACAGGAAATCTTAACAGTTGTTTTGCCCTATTTTTTTTTTCTTTCAGAGGTAAGACTAGAGAGAAACAGCATCGCAGCCTTCCTGCTGATGGTGAAGAACCTGATTCGTCATCACTCTGTCAATCAAGAGAGCCTGCTGCACTGCCATGGGCCGAGCACAATAGGAGCCATGCTCAGCAAAGTAAGCGCCCTGCACGGCGGTTCGCTCTAGCAAGTGGGAACTAATTGCGAGAAGAACGGATTAGCATATGAGAGTATTTGACCTTTTTCCATTGTAGTTCTGCTGTGTAATTGCAGTGTAATGAGTGGGTATGGTGTTGTTGAAATATATGTGGCTCTTTGTGTGGGGAAATTTATGCAGAGTTTGCCCAGCTTGCTCGCTCTCACTGCGAACAAAGAATATCAGCTTTAAAATCTGTTGCCTGAAATTTAAAATCTAGGAAAATGATATGGAGATTAAAACCAAATTGGAAAATGACAGACATGGAATTCACAATGAACTGTTCTCAGTTCTTGGTGTAATATTTAGCAGATAAATCTCAGTTTCTAAACTGCTTAGTGGGTCTCACACAGGCATAACGAGCCATCTTGTTCGCTTTTTGCTGCTTATATAGTAGCAATAGTAATGTTGGGAATTAAGGAGAAACCTGTATAAAGTAGGCACAGTGATGGCCGTACAATGATAGCTGTGTTTGATGCTGAGCCATGTCATAGACAAACCTCCATTGCTTTGTAATGGGCAACACAGTTTATCTGATTTGCTGATTTATCTGTAGGCCTAGTTCAGTATGACAGCGATGATTTCTTCAAAATTGATGACATGTGTTTGAGTTCAGAGGTTTACATTGTCACAGAGTGTTAATGTGAATCTCTGATGGTAGCAGCCAATCGGATGTTACGTTGGTGCAGCACAGACATGCTTTCAGTCTGACAGGATATTTTGAAATACATGACGTTAAGGTGGAGCATCCTGTAAGGAAACTATGTCACAATAGTCACACGAGGTTTCCATGTTTGAGAGCGGCAAAGACAGAAACCCACATATAATGTAGGCATACACTCAACACAAACACTTGTACTGAATATGCACTCAACTGAGTGCAACACTTCTCCAGCCTCAAGTGTTAATAAAAATAGTATGCTACACAAACCCTTGTGCACAGATAAATCCAAATAAATGAAAACAAACTTAAACACAATCCCTCCTCCTTGCTTCCTCTCCTGCAGGTTCCTGACAGTATGATGGACATGAACGTTTTAACGGCCTGTCAGCTGCTGCTGGAGCAGGTTTTCAACGAGGGCAACAGCACACTTGTACAGCAACTCTACCACCACCTTCTATTTGATTTCCGCATCTGGACTAAAAGCCATTCTACTGTTTGTCTGGGTAAGGCACAAGCAGCCCTAATGTTGTGGAGTATTGTACCTGTGGACCTTTTCATGTCTGCCGAAGCTGTTTGTGTCCCTTTTTATATGTGTGACTGAAAGGAGCAAGAGGAGGCTGAAAGCAGAGATAGAATACATTAATGTTTTGAGTTCAGGCAGTGGCAAAGATTAAAAGAGGATTTGTGCCTCATGCTACACTTTGATACCCTGTTTTGTAAATGAATGCACTTCTTTGGTGCAACTTCGAATATTGGTTTGACATTTCTGAAAAACGGGAGAGAGATGACAAAAGTGTTTTTCTTTCTTTCTTCCAAAGCCCACGTGCAGTACCTGGCTTCTGTGATAAACGAAGGCAAGCAGCGCATGAAGAGGAAGTACGGGGTCCAGTATGTTCTGGATACCATTCGCACATTCTACAGGTGAACCTTTCACAATCACAATATGGTTGCAAAATAAGACACAGATATATACATTAAGAGTTGAATAGTTCAAAGGTTAGTCCAAACATACTTATTGCTATATTATTAATTTATTTTAAACCATGATTTTCACTGTTCACAAGAAGATAATTGATTTATTTCTTTACTAACACCTTTGGCCATAGTGTGGAGAGAGATGGCAGCAGTCTGTCTGAAGAAAAGCAGATGATTCAAAACTCTCTGTTCGCCTTGCTGAAAGACTTTCTCAAGTCTCCTACACCAGAAGACCTTCACAGTGTCCTCGCCTACATTCTGACTGTCGGAGAAGAGAAGCAGGTAGTGCTCATATGTTTCATCTGTGTTTCTTTAGCGAGTTTAATTTTGTTATCATTTGACCTTTTTAGCTGATCCTCCACCTATTTTACTCTCATGTTTTGGCATCTGCGTACTTTCAAACTCCTCTTGTGACCACTTAAAACTTAAACCCTCCCTAAATCCATATTTCTTGGCATTTCATCGTCCTCATTCACTTCTCTCCTCGTTCCTCATGACTTCTCCTCTCTTTATCAGGCTGTGATGGCCTCGGATGTGCTCTATGAACTCTTGAAGGGCAGCCCTCCTCGTGAGCAGGTGCAGGCCATGCTGCTGGACTGGGGCGTGGAGCAGCTGTACTGCTTGCTGCTCACTCCAAGTTTCGGAGACGAGGCCAGAGAGCGGGTCTTCAGGGTGAGAGCGAAAGACTTGACCTCTTCTTAGAATGCTTCAGCTTATCACTTGACACATTTTTGCCTTTCTCCGCAAACTCCCATGTGATGTATTATCAAAACAGATTAAAAAAAACTCTTACATAATTTCCCTTCGATGTTGCAGGTTTTATACAAAATCCTCAAAAGCGAGCGTGTTTCTGAGCGCAACAAGCAGCGCATCAAACTGAAGGATTTCGGATATCTTGGCCTGGTTTGTCTCCTTGATGAAATTCCGGTAACCATGACCACCGTGCGATGTCTGTACGAGCAGGTCCTTGCTACAGGTAATGTCTCTCGGGTCTAGTGAACTGGAAATGTTGAGTGTTTCTCAATAACGTCAGAAGTCAAGTGAGCAGTTTTAACGTTCAAAAACTCATCTGCTTCATCAGGACTTTTCTGAGAATCTACAGCTGCTTATAAACTCATCACAACAACTAAACTGATAAGAATAAGAGACTTGTAACTTTGTCTTGAGTTTACTGTTGTTACATATTTATACTACATAGTTCTTGAGTTTATAAAGGACACATAATCTATACCAGAAAGCTGATTAAGAGATAGGCTCCAAAGGACTTTAAAATGCAATCAAATTTGCTGCCACCCCACAGATGCGACCCCCAACTTCCGAGATCTCCTGGCTGTGGTCTGTCTATCCCATCGAGCTGAGCTCACTGTCCGCTTGGACGTCTGCCGCAAGGTTAGTCTGCTCACCTTATTTACATTTCTGCTAGAACAACCATAGTCAACTTGTGAGTGTGAAGTTACAGCCTAAGCATATTTATCATCCTTGTAATGAAAACAACCTCTTCCTCTGTTCCTCTCTGATATTTCCGCAGCTCTTTCATCTGATCTACTCCAACGAAGATTATGTGAAGCAGCTTGCAAGGCAGCCCGGCTGGCAGGATGTTTTGACCAAGCTCTATGTCAAAGAGTTTTACGAGTCCCATGCTGCCAGCATCGCAGGCTCCAGCACCCACAGCTCCTTCGAGCCAAACAACCGGCCACCGCTGTGCAGGAATCAGGCTCTGGTAATAGAAGACGCGCACTCAGACATCTTCCTGAGCTACCGCACCTCGCAGGACATCGAGGATGAGGTGGATGTAGGTGGCCGGCGGGACATCTCTGATGGATTCTCTGATTTATCCCAGTCGCCTCCAAGTGGAGGCGGAGGTGGAGGTACGCCTAAAACCTTCACCGGCTCCCTCCATTTGAAGTATTTTGATTCGGTGGACCAAGGAAGTCACTCGTCCTCCACCTCCAACGTGGTTGATGTCCCCACATCTGGCCCGGACGAGGAGGGGAGAGACTACCAGCCCCAATCCCCCTTTAGCAACCCGTTTGATATGGAGCTAGGGGGCATGGGAGACACTGGCACACACACACCTGCAGGAAGTCTGACAAACACACCATCTCCTCTTGAGCACTGCAAACCCTTTCCACCTGCCAGACCCAGGAAGAGCTCCAGTCTGTCCAACGTGCTGGATGATACCAGCTATGGGACAGACCCTCCAACTGGAGACACAATCTCCAATACGTCCAACCCACAGGTATGGCTGCTTCCTCAGCTTAGACAATAACTGATAATCAAGCCCATTATTTGAGAGTTTAATGTCTAAGATTTTTTTCTGGGATGTGGGACTGAGTCTTGTTTGCTTTACAGCAGACCCCTGAGGAAGAGCTGTGCAACCTGCTAACCAACATTGTCTTCTCCGTGCTGTGGAGCGGCAGCGGGGCGGAGACGACGGAGGACGTGGTGTGGCGAGAGAGAGGACAGGTCTTTTCTGTTCTCACCAAACTGGGCTCCTCCTGCCAACTGGTCCGCCCTCCCGATGATATCAAACGCAGGTCAGTGACGGTGATTTCAAATTGACTTACCCTCAGCTAACAAGCACATTGAATTGACATTGAAGCCGTTTGGCAATGGAAAAACAAATTGAGCCACACCTACAGCTGTGGCACGTTTTTGTCTGAACATTCAGATATGTTATTGTGTCACACTGGGGCGATGTATTCATAGTCTGTTTGCCACTCTTTGTGCCAGTCTGTTGGAGATGATGCTGGAGTCGTCTCTGTCCGACCTGAGGGACGCCCAGGGAGTGTCTCTGCCTTTCTGTCCCAGTTTGGTTCGGCTCCTCAGGCTGCTGCAGGACTTCCTGTTTGCTGAGGGTACAGACAACCACACGCTGTGGAGTGAAAAGGTATATCGCATATTATCCCATCTAAAACAGATGGACCACTGACATATTCTATTTGGGTAATTTCATGATTATGGAGCGCCTCCATCTTGATAAAGGTTGGGTCGACTTTGAATTCACGAGGGACAATGAAGTAAATAAGCCCTTAATTCCTGACAAAGCCTGATATTATATCTTACAACTACGTATATAAGAACATTGTTAATAAACCAACCAGAACTATTGGATGATATTCCAGCAGCATGGACTTAACACCTACTGAGTTGTAGCTCAAATTGAATCCTAAAATATCACATTTCAAGTGGCTGATCACAAACCTCCACCATGCTTGGCATTAGGCATTGAAAATTGCTTACAGTAGTGAGACAGAAGCAGTCGTGAGACTTCTCTGTCAGTGCAGTACAGGCAGTAGGAGTTTACTATGTTCCAGTGCAAGGCAGGCCGCATGTTTGCTTTCTATAAATGGATCTATTCAACACCCGTGGAATTTAGATTGCTGATGAATTATAAGTGTTCTCCTGCCAAAAAGTAATGCAGCATTGTTCGGCACACACTGTGTGCAGAACAATCGAGGGTGTTGTCTTTAAAGTGATTGTGTCATTCGGCTTTATTATTTAAAGAAGCCATAATAATTTGTGCTGGGGCTACAAAATACAATGATTAAGATACAAAATAAATCTTTGAATGTCGGACTACATTGTCATGATGATATAATGTTGATGGTTACATTGGATAAGTAAATAATAATAAGTAATATTAACCCTTGATTGTCAAACATTAAACACAAAGTATGGACATCTGGGTGTGGTCGCTGTCAGTTACTATGTTTAATGTCAGGGAAGATGTTCCCGTCATGTCTTACTGAAGGGTGGAGAGTCATGGTTGGATGTAGGTAGCATCTGATTTATCTTTTTAAATTAAGCTGTATATGATGTCCTGAATGGGTTTAGGTTGTCGTAGATGCTGCAAGGTGTGGAAACAGGTCTAGCCTTTTTGTTCAATCCTTTTGTTGACGCTTTTTGTTGTATTGCAGATATTTGAGGGGGTGGTAAACCTGCTGGACAAGTTGAAGGCCTGGCATAGCACCCCTGGTAGCCCTGGGAACACAGAACTGAAGGAAATGGCCCAGATTGGCCTGCGTATCATCACTGGATATATCAAACAGCAGCACTCACAGGTCAGCTGCACATTCAACTTGTCCATCACCGAGCCAGTACACCAACCATTACTGTTTCTCACTGTACATGTCTTTCACAACCCGAACACCTGTGCGATTGAATTTAGATGGAAATAACTTAAAAAGGGGGGTACAGTATTTATTTAACTTGATAAGAGAACTCGGATAAAGCCAGTTTAAAAATACCATTCCTTCTATGGGTTTCTTTTCAAAGATATTGCAGTCATTCATATTAGGGAGTGTTCTGTATGAAAGGGCAGCTCCTCTCAGAGTTATGGCTGCTGTTGCTCTCTCTGTAGGATTGTGAGAGCAGTCATAAAGGATCTGACCATAAGGCATTCCAGTACATACTGCTGGTTGAGTTCATCTCCAAAGTTGTACAGTACTGTTTTCAGCATATTTCTTTATAAACTGCATGGACAGGCTCTGAGTTAGAAGCATAGCAAGTGATTTGCCTCTTTCCCCTCTTCAGGTGTGCGTGATGGCCTACGTGAAGCTCCACAGCCTCCTCCAGACGGTGCTGTGTCTGAGCTGGGAGGAGGTGTGCTTCCTGCTGGGGCAGCTGGGCGCCCCCCTGTGGCCTGGAGGTGTAGTGGACAGCACCAGCTGTGGACAGGCAGAGACTTTCTCCCAGATTGTGCCCGTCGTGCGCACACTGCTCGACCAGCATGCCGACCCCGTCACTCTCCAAAACCTACTCCCCAACCTGCCCGTCACTAACGGCAGCACCACCTTCGCCCAGGACCTGAAGGCCTACTGTCACACACTGGAGTGGCAAGGGTTTTACCAGCAGCAGGTCAGTGTTTTGGCTGTGCATTTAAAAATAGATGTCATTTATTATTTTTGCTTTGGGAGTCTGTGGAGTCTTTTGTGTGACTAGGCAGGTATAATCAACAACCCTCTCTGAGATACTGCTGGCTCTGTTCCTTGTCACATTAGTGTACATTCAGGATTTTCGCAATCTTGCCTCCTGGTCTTAGGCTGAGAAATCTAATTCACATTTTTAGTACTGCTATCACAACTTTAGAAAGTAGAAAAAAACAACCCTAAACTCCCTAAATTGCTTTCTAGCTGCCCCCTCAATGTATTTTAAGCAGAGACCAGTTTATGCTCACACTTGAAACTGATGCCAGACTCGCTCACATCCAGCTGAGAGGTGGATTTTTCATTGCTCTGTGTGACAGTACATGTTCATAAATCTGTTTCGTTTAGATTACTTTAGTATACAGGTCCTGCAATACATTAGTCAATGTGGCATAACTTTGGCTGCCTTGACTGTTTTGTAACTTGGCCCGGACTGATTTCTCAAGCATGCATGTCTAAGTGTCTGTTTGCAATTTACAATTTGTTTTAATGTTTGGGGTAGTTCTATAGGTTTTTGTATGTTTATCCAACTTCATGGTTTTAGCATGAAGTGGTACAGCAGTAGGGAGGAAGAAGAAAACAGCAGGTGACTTTAAACTGTGTGGTAGTTGTCGAAAATATCTCCTCTTAATACAATAAATAGATAAAGGGAAACAGTTAAAGAAATGGGGAAGCGTATTTCCAGTCCTGTCTCTCATTTGAACAAAGAGAATTATCCCATTTCATGCATCTAACATGCGTGTTCTTCCTTTAGGAATTTGTAAGTTATCATATTAAAAAATTTAAATGTAAAATCATGGCTTATGGGAAACGTAACAGAAATGAAAGCTTGTCATTCGTATCAAGTTATAGTGGCATATTATCTTAGTTATATTTAGTAATGTTTTGTTTTATTTGTTTTTACTTGGTACATCATTTTTTTTCTACATTAAATGTGTTTTTATTTATTTTTTGTCTGATTCTTGTGTGAAGGTTTTTGACTTTCTTGAGTTGTCCACTTCTGCCCACCTCTAGGTTCAGCCCACCATGGAGCAGTACGAGCTGGACACGTTTGGGAGGAGCCATGACATCATGTCCAATTTCTGGAATTCGTGCTTCGATGACCTGATGAATACAGCCTTTAAAAGGGACAAGGAAAGATCAGACAGCAAGTCCAAGTTTCAGGTTATAAAACTTTCACGCCTCATGCAACAGCCATCATGTCACGGCTTGCTAAGAATACAGAGTTAAACCTTTCACTGATCTCACATTTCTGTGTGTTTGTGTGAAAGCAGGAAGTGATCGTGGACCCCTACCTGAAGCGAGTCAGAATTGAGAACAACAGGTACCATAGTTGTCAGAAGCAGAGCTCCAGTCACCAGGGGGTGGTGTGGCAGCACTGGCGAGCTCTCCGCAGGCTTTTGACTAGTGAGAGAGGAGCTTGGGCCAACAAGTAAGACAACCTTTTAGAAAAAAATCTCTCTGACCAAGATTTAATTCACTATGAGAGTAAAACAGTTATCTGAAAACATAATGTCCTTTTGCATTTCATAGCTGTCCAGAATGTGCTGAATTCTACTTTTTCTTTTGCCAGAGTTCAACCAGAGGTGAAGCTGAAATTGTCCAATGCAGAGACTTATTCAAAGATGCGTCTCAAACTTGTGCCCAACTATAACTATGATCCTCACAGTGAGGCCAGTGCCCTGAGGGACAACATGGGTATGTCACTGGTTAGAAACATATTGTCTCCGCTCTTTTTTTAATCTAAGCAAAATGCACTGAAGATGTTTTTTTTGTGATCTTCAGGAGCTGACAGCCCTCGCTCTGAACCCCTCCTATTGGCTGTTGCAAAGGAAGCAAAAGTAAGCGACATGGAGGATGATCAGTTAGGAGAAGAAGACCTCGTCTTTTTGGATAACAAGTGAGACTTTCATTTGCATAACTTTTAATGCCGGTGTCAACAGCTTACAGCATGTCTGTGGGCCATAAAATAATTTCTCCAAACAGGCCTTGAAGACATTTTGAAAGCCCTTGAATATGCAAAGGTTTAACCTTTCTCCCGTGCTGTCAGGGTGGAGGGAGAAGACGAGAGCCAGAAAGAAAAACTGGTTCTGTCAGAAGACTGTGAGCTCATCACTATCGTGGCGGTTGTTCCGGGTCGTCTGGAGGTTACCACCCACCATCTGTACTTCTATGATGGCAGCAGTGAGAAAGAAGAGACAGAGGAAGGTAAGAAAATATGCGCTCGTCAACATCACACCCATCTTCTTTTACTGTTCTTCAAAAGGTTCTTACGGAAGTGAATGATGCCTGTGTCATTAGGAATCGGGTTTGATTTCAAGAGACCTCTGTCTCAGCTCAGAGAAGTGCATTTGAGGCGCTACAACCTGCGACGATCTGCCCTGGAGCTGTTCTTCATCGACCAGTCTCACTACTTCATTAACTTCAAGAAGAAGGTGATGCTCAGATCAAATTGAACTCCTTCCGCACTGTGATTAGAATCAAATAGATGTTTTTAAATTCTTAATGTGTGCCCTCTCAGGTACGAAACAAAGTGTACTCCAGGATCCTGGGACTGCGGCCCCCCAACCTGTTTTACTTCGGCTCTCGCTCCCCCCAAGAGCTACTAAAGGCATCTGGACTTACACAGGTAGTTACTAAAGTCAGTTCCTCTGTGAAGTGTTATGATCTGAATGTTGCTGATTGTGTTGGACCAATCTGATGTTGATGTGTTGAACAGAAATGGGTATTCAGAGAAATCTCCAATTTTGAGTACTTGATGCAACTGAACACCATTTCTGGACGCACTTACAACGACCTGTCTCAGTATCCTGTGGTGAGTACACTCTAGCTCCCCTCACAGTGTGCACTGCTTATATTTATGTATATATATTTACTTACTTATCATTTTATGACAAAAGGATTAATAATAACAAAGGCATCATGTTGCAATTGTTGTATTTTCTCTTCAGTTCCCCTGGATCCTGTGTGACTATACCTCGCCCATTCTGGATCTGGAGGACCCGTCAGTTTTCAGAGACTTGTCCAAACCCATAGGTGTGGTCAACCCCCGCCATGCACAGAATGTCAGAGAAAAGTAAGCGCTTATATGACAGTGGGATTTTGGTTGTACTAAAAGGGTTGGAGATCTGTAGCCAACCGAGGTTGCATCATTGCATAGATGAGGTCAAAATGCTAAACCCTCCGTATCTTAAATCAATTCTTTCTGTCTGTCACTAGATATGAGAGCTTTGAGGACTCAACAGGCACCATTGACAAGTTCCACTATGGCACACACTACTCTAATGCAGCAGGAGTCATGCACTACATGATCCGCATGGAGCCGTTCACAACTCTGCATATCCAGCTGCAGAGCGGCAGGTGGGGACGCTGGCTCGTGCATTATATTTTATAAAATGTATACCGCGGTCTCATGTTGATACGTTTCGTCGCCGTTGTTTAGGTTTGACTGCGCAGACAGACAGTTCCACTCAGTGGCAGCAGCCTGGCAGGCTCGCATGGAGAGTCCGGCTGACGTCAAAGAGCTCATCCCGGAGTTCTTCTACTACCCAGAATTCCTGCAGAACATAAACGGTGAGGAAGACTGAATCTTTGGGCAAATCGACAGCTTCAAAGCCGCTTCGACTTCCAAATATTCTTTTGTGAAAGAACCTAATGCAGCGTTTTTTGTTTAGGCTTTGACCTGGGACATTTGCAGATATCTCAGGACCCAGTGGCGGATGTTCTGCTGCCTTGCTGGGCGTCATCAAGAGAAGACTTCATCAAGCAACACAGGAAGGCCCTGGTGAGTCTGCACATACATTGTACAGTCTTCAAACTTTGCTTGTCAATCGTGCGCTTGTTTTCCAACAACTTGTATGTTAAACTCTAGGAGTGCGAGCATGTGTCCAGTCACCTCCATGAGTGGATTGACCTGATCTTCGGTTTCAAGCAGAGAGGCGATGAGGCAGTGAACGCCCTCAATGTCTTCTACTACTGCACTTATGAGGGTAAGGCAGAAGTGAATACTCTTTCTAACTAGCCGATGGATGGATTGTTCTTTTGTCTTCAGCTCCTGATGTCTCATATTTCACTTCCGTCTTTACACATGAGCAGTGTTTCTTTGTGTTCTTATATGAGACTCACTCTTGTTTGGCGCTCCTGTAGGTGCAGTAGATTTGGATGCGATTGCCAATGAGACCGAGCGCAAGGCCCTGGAAGGCATCATCAGCAACTTTGGACAGACTCCGTGTCAGCTCCTTAAGGTACAACTCCCAGACCAATTCTTGATTATCGACAAAATGCTGTTACGTTCTGTTTAAAAAGTAGCAGTTTTATACCACTTTCCTATCTCGGAACCAGGAGCCTCATCCTCCTCGGATGTCGGCTCAGAACGCATCTAGGCGGCTGGCCCGCCTGGACACTATGCCTCCGAATATCTTCGAGCAGCTCGACAAACTCCGGCCATTTGTGGAGGTGGGTTCATTATTCCTCTAAATAAATAACTAGTATTGTGTTGACTTGTATGTATGTGTTAACTTGTGTGTTTGTCTCAGGTGGTAAGCAATGGCCTTCCTCTGGTCCAGGCAGTGGTACCAAAGAGCCAGAATCGCTCCTTCATCATCCAGGGCTCAGATATGCTGGTACGGTTCAGTTAAACACTTTACAAGGGCCGCATATAAAACTCAACACAATCATTACAACTATAAAATATTGGATTTAAATAGTTGAGGTTTTGTTTGATGGCACTTTTTCTCTCCAGGTGACTGTGAGTTCAAACGGGTTGATAGGGACACACAGCTGGCTGCCCTACGACAAAAACATCGCCAACTACTTCACCTTCACTAAGGACCCCACCATGACTAATCCCAAGTGAGAGTCCTCAGAAAACATATTTAAGTTTTTCTGGTTTATGATATATACTGATGATATTTTTTACCTAGGAATGTCATAAGCTGTCTCTAAAACAACAGTAACAACTTTCTCAGTACTTTCACTTTTCTGATGGATATTATTTTTTACTCAACTGAGTCAGGGATAACTTGCTTACCTCACATCATATCAAAAGATCCATAAAACATCCCTGACAGCTAGCTGGATGGAAGCACGATCCCTCTTTATCTGTGATGCTTCAAAGACTGTTTTAACTAATTTAAGTTCGGCTCTTATTCTAAACTGACCTTGAACGCGGATCCCATAAAGGCAACATAAATCAGGATAAGAGGGATTTGAACACTGGATGGTTGTAATTTGCAGATGTCATGACAGTTTAATGTGCCGATTATAAATCTCCTCCACATTTAGGCCACAGCTCACTCTCATTTATTGTTTCTGACTTTGATCTTTCCAACCCCGCTTTGTGGTGCAGAACGCAGCGGTTCTTGAGCGGCCCGTTCTCTCCCGGGGTGGAGATCAGCGCTCAGGTGCTGGTGGTGTCCAACGACGGCCGCCTGCTGTTCAGTGGAGGACACTGGGACTGCAGTCTCCGTGTCACCCAGCTGGGGAAGGGCAAGCTGGTGGGCAGGATCTGCCGGCACATTGGTGAGTTCTCAGTTACATATGTTTGACTTGTGTATATATATATACTGTATATTCTTTGTTTCCATGTCACATATTTATTTAAATTTGTATGTGTTCCACAAAGACGTCGTTACTTGCTTGGCTCTGGATCTCTGTGGCATCTACCTCATCTCTGGTTCAAGGGACACATCCTGTATAGTGTGGCAGGTTCTACAGGAGGTACACATCTTCAAATCGCTTGCACACGTGTGCGTGATTAGAGGCTGCGCTCAAAGCTGTGGCTTCACATATGGATTCTGTTTTTTATTTTTATTTTTTTGTCTTTCAGGGCGGCTTCTCCAGCGGTCTGTCTCCTCGGCCAGTGCAGATCCTCTGTGGACATGACCAGGAGGTCACCTGTGTGGCCATCAGCACTGAACTGGACATGGCTGTCTCAGGGTCAAAGGTCAGCAAACTCGCATGCTATGAACAGTTATAAGCTTGATACAAATACGCTGAATTTGCACAAAAAGTAATAATTGATGATTGTTTTCATTATTCATGAATCGGACGTTTATGTTATAAATACAACAATAAAAGGCACATATCGTATTATTCTATAATTTTATAATTCTTGAATTCTGCTAACCTTTTCCGCTCTGTAGTAAACTATTATATAAGAAGTATTTTTAAAATGTTCTCTCTCAAATGGCTTGAGGTCTGCAGGGTTGTGCGGGTGTGAAATAGATGCAAATAACCTCAAAATGGTTGAAAACGCTACTTGGATGTTCTCCAAGCAAACTGTGATGTTGCTCATTAGAAGTGAGAATGTAATCTCTACCAGATACAACCCCAGATGAGACAGATGCTGATATCCTATAGCCAGCAGTTGTTCGAACCTGAAAAGCATGACGTAACCAAATTAAGCAAGGGCAAACTCTCAGCTGACTCTCATTTTGAGCTTTTTTTTTTTTCATGAGTTCCTAACTGGTTAAATTAGAAAAGAGTCTTGGAACATAGGAGTCCATTATGCCTAGCTGTAGTTTTAGGGGCTTTACATTAATCTATTAAAGACTTTTGACGGGCTGCCAAGACTCCAATAAACTAGCAACTTGTGGTCCATGTGGCTTTGGTTTGCATTGGGAAACTAAAAAGAAACGTGCACAAAAAGTAGAGAACGGTTTACATGGCACCTTCACTGACCCTCCCTTGCTGTTCACTGTGTGCCAGGATGGGACTGTGATAGTGCACACTGTTCGACGAGGCCAGTTCCTGCGAACGCTGCGGCCTCCTGGTGATAGCTGTGTACCTGCCATAATCTCCGAGCTCCAGGTGGGCATGGAGGGCCACATTGTGGTACAAACCTCGCTGGAGGAACGCTCTCATAGAAAGGTACTTTAATGCGTACGACAGTGTATGGACCAACACACACGCAAACAAGTTTCTCAACCTGCTTACGCCATTTAACAAAATACTGCTTTATTCTACAGGGCAAGTACTCCATTCATGTTTACTCAGTAAACTGCTGTCTGCTGTCCTCCCTCACCATGGAGGAGGAGGTGACCGCTCTCCACCTGGTGTCTGAACACATCATCATTGGGACCATGGGGGGCAGTCTCCACATACGAGAGTTATGCAGGTAAAGACATTGAGAACATAGCTGCATAAGTGCAGCATGTACAGCAACTTTAAGTCTAAAGTTTAGCTCCTCATTCTTACTCTTCTCTGATTGACAGTCTGGACGCTCCGGTAGCGCCCCTGGCCTTGAAAGTTCCTGTGAGGAGTGTGTCCGTCACCAAAGAGTGCAGCCACATCCTAGTGGGACTAGAGGACGGGAAGTTGATTGTGGTGGGGGCAGGGAAGCCAGAGGAGGTGAGAAGCAAGACTTCGAGTGATTGTGAGATGCGGCAATTGGGTGGCTGTGTATGTGTGAGTGTGTGAGGAGAAGGGGAGGCGGGGGCTAATCATATGCTAAGTGCTTGTTGAAAACCAGGTTTTTCAAATGATAATTGAGCGTCTTTAGTCTAACATCTCCGTTTTAGCCCTCAAGTGAAGATTAACATGCTTCCCGCTCCTGTTCTCAGGTTCGCTCGGGACAACTCACCCGTCGCATTTGGGGCTCAACACGCCGCATCTCTCTGGTGTCGGCGGGTGAAACGGAGTATAATCCCACTGGGAATGCTGGTCAGTGAGATGAGCAATGGTGGAGGACTTTGCAGGCTGCAGATACCTGCACAACCAAGACGCTCGGCAGACTCAACAAGGCCTTCGTTCCCTTCACAAGCTGGGAAACTATCCTCCTCAGCCACTGATTTCTCTGAGAGAACACCTATACACTGTGCACTTTTTTTTTTATTCTTAAACGGTTTTATATTTGATTGTGTATTTCATTTACTGTTGTGTACTGTTTTTAATCAGCATCATTCCAAAGAGTGGCCTTGTTTTTGTGGACGGAGAAGAGCTCAGTGTTCGAGGCTGTGAACAGTGAGTCACATTTCAGGGATGTGACTCATGCTGATGCACATGCAGCATCAGACACTGAGAGAAGCAACGCTGTGAACTCTCCAGGCTCCGTGTTCTTTGGATTCTTTCTTGTCAGAGGAACAGCTGTGATCTCTGTCCTGTTTGTTGTCCCAAACCCATTGTCTTGGCAATGGCACCTTTTTTACAAAACTCCTGGAAACTTGAAACTGATGTAGGTGTTGCTTGAGATTTCCACATTGCAATACTGTTATATACCACATGGGGGTTGACTTTGTAAAAGAAAGATACAGGGGGGTAACTGGTCACTGAATTGAACCAATGCTGTGTTGTGATCTTCAGCGGTCGTGGTAAAGATTTGCTGATCCTAGCAGCAGAAGTGCACCGCAATACCACAGTGTGTAATCCTGCATTCCTTCAGGCTCTGCGCAATGCAAAACTGTTACAATTAAAGCAATAACGGCTTTAATGGTCAAGTATGTGAAACATATTCACTTTTTTTTATCATAACTGTGGAGTTTGAATGCAATGAAACTCATGAGGAGTGCCTTCTGTTTTCTTAAACACAACGGAGTGAAGACCTTTACATAATGCGTTTGTAAGAGTTTTGTTATTATTCTGTTCATCACACGACTATATCCCTGTTTAATTCATCTGAAAGTGCCTTTTTTTTAGCTTGTGTCTTGAGCCATTTTTAAACACTGAATTCCGATCATCTATTTCTATGTGAGATCACTGTATCAGACTGTACCCCTGCTGATTTGATTTAAACACACCGTACTACTCTATATGACTCGGATGTGGATAAGATGTTGTTAATGAACACACAAACTGTTGGTTGGAAGCACATACTTGCCTGTACTGGTATTGTACTGTTTTATGAAGCGCTGGAACATCTGAAGACAATGATGACTCTTGAACCATGTGAGCGTAAGTCTGTGAGTGAGTTGCAGAGGAATTCACTTCCTGCCAGCTTCTTTTGCTGCGGTTGGAACAAATTGGTTGTTATGCAGTGTCATGACGGGACAGAGACAAAGGGAACTATTTGGGAGAATACATTTCCCATAACATGGCGCGCACATACAAATGACCTAGTCTTTGTAAGTGATTCTCAAAATACCTTAAGTGTAAGCAAGAGGAGACTATTTGAAATGTTTACTTATCAATTCATCTGCTTTTCACTCTGGAAATACACGAAGTCAGGACATTGAGGCTGTCTAAAATCACATTTTATTCCAATCGTACAACTATAAGATGAGATGCTGTCTGTGAATCTAAAGGTTTGTTTGAATAAGCAGCTCAAACACGCATTTGATAATTTGCTATTGTGCATAATGATATCGATTCATAATGCTGCTCCAGTTTACACTAGTTGTTAATGTAATATATCACTTAATTATGCAGTAACAGTCTTTATTTTAATAAATTAAGCATTGGGTCTAAAATACAATCACAGTCTATCAAAACAATAAGTTGAAGTTATGATGTTTTTAGTAATATTTTTTGTTCAAATGTCCTGATTTAGATTCAAAGTGATCCTACAAAAAGGCTGCTGAAGGTCAGCACTGCCTTGAATTTGGATTATAATTTAGCTTTTGTGTTCTCTAAAGATATTGAAAATACACTTTGCTTTTTAAAAATCAAGCAGTCTGTGCCTTTAACACGACAGTGGGAATCGTGATTGTTTGTGCTAATGCTCCTTCTTGAAATGATCCTAATATGGCCAATAATTGTCCCTGCTCACTTAAATTCAGGAATCCTCTTTTCTATGAACCACTGCCCATATCCTGAGTATGGTCGCCCATTACTGAAAAATGAGCCATGATTCTTGTTTGTGAACCACAACGGGAAGGAAACTGATCCGCTGCTGCAACGTAGATCATCCAGCTCCTCTGCTGTAATCCCAGTCTCGCATGCGTCTGTGACGTTAACTCTATTACAGTTGAAAAGGTCACGGTGAGCAACAGCACATTTACTTGAAGAGGAGACTTTGATCTCCTGGTGGGCCGAACATCCTGTCGGCCTCCCCATAAACACCTCCGGGGATACAATTCAGAGGGGTGGGGAGGGGTGAGGCGGGTGATAAAACCAACCTGAAGACCCCCAGTCAAATACAAATCACAGAATAGTGAATAAGGGAAGTGGAGTGGGAGGGTGAAGAGGGATGCAGTCACTCTGATGTGGCTCCATTGACAATGGTGGGAGGGGTTGACACCTTGCTCTTGCTTATTGGCAGTATCTCTCTCTGACCTCTGCAGACTGAGGGGATGGATGTCGTGAAATGCTGCAATTTTGGTGATGCTCAAGTTGTTCCTGCCAAGAACCGCAGCAACCCTCAAACAGGCCTCCGTCAACGACCTCAACCCTCCCCCCTCTCGTCCTCTCCCCCTCTGGTTGATTCCTCCTCTGCCTGTGAACAGCACAATCATGTTGTTGTTTTTTGTAGCTGCCTTATCGTTGCCATGCATGTATGACCACAGAGGAACTCGGGCCTCAGATAAAGAGTCTGCGGCCCCACAGCGAGATGACGTAGCCAAGCAACGAATAAAGAAGGGAGGGGAACTGTTTACTTGTCCGATTGCTTTTTCTCTTAAAACAAGTGAAAAGTTAACCAGTGTCATAAGAGTAATACAACATGTTGCCATTAAAAGAAATCTACCAATATTTAGAAACAGAAGAAGGCAGATTGCTGCACTAGAATAAAAAATATATACACCTGATTAAAAATAAAATCTTGAAGCAAGTTGATTTGTATTGGAAACATGTCAAAATATAACATTTCAAAACCCATAATAGACTAAAACTACTTGGCAAGATGGACATTTTTACAGTTCATTGGTGAAAACATCTAATAAATGATCAAATAAATATAACAAATTAAAACAGTAACAGTTTTTCTCTCACTTGTTTTAGCAAAGTAAGACGTCTAACGACACTTGGCAAGTGTCAGGATGGCACTTAAGCCATGCATACTTACTATTAAGGGAGTATAAACTGACAATCTATATTAAGTAAGTAGGAGTTTTTTGCCCGTCTGTGTGTATGAACGAGAGAAAAGACAATTCCATGTGACTGAATTAAGGCTTGGCGTTTAATCAGAACAGGAACATCCTGTCTGTCTCCTCTCATCCCTCAGTCGGCTTTGAAGTGCAAGTAGTATTGTGTCTGAGAGATCTCTCCATTTGTTTTCCTCTGAAGTCTCCAGCCCCCCCTGCGATGCATTCACTAGAATTTACAAGGTGTGTAATTTACCCTGCGTTGGTTTTCTAATCTTTTGAATTGCTGAGATCAAACATATGCTTCTTCTTCAGAGCATCTTGTTTGATTCACATGCTCTCTTTTGTTTCTGATAACAACTGATCACAGCTCTATGTAAGTATCCCTGTAGGATTGTAAAATGGTGTCATTTTACAGAGCTCAATTTAATGAGGTTTTTGTTTATATGAACACATATATTATAAAATCATTCCAATTCTTTATTATATATCTGAACTTGTGGATCCTCTAACAGGAGAGGTCCCAGCAACCTGTGGTGGAAGAAGTACTCAGACCTTTTACTCAAGTAGAGTAATATCACAGTGTATAAATACTTTGTTACACATACAAGCCATTCATTTATTATATTTTGAATTAATATTCTGAATCTGCAAAGTAACCTGTCAGATAAATGTAGTGGAGTGAAAAGAACAACATTGCCTCCTAAATGTAGTGGAGAGAAGTAGCATAACATGTAAAGTAAAGTATAAGTACCTAAATATTTTACTTAAGTGCAATACTTGAGTAAACACTGCCAGCAACCATGATGCCATATTACTATGACCCAAAGTGTTAAATATTACATAAATAAATAAATGAGACACAACAAAACAAATAATCAGATTGAGACAAAATACAATTGTTATTGTGAAAGGAAGCAGTATAAAATAGCACTTTTAAAATACATCATCTGGTTCGTTTATATATTTTGCCGTGGTGGAGAGAGTTTTCAAATCCTTAAATAAAAGTATGACAGTAAAAAAAATTACAACTAAAAATCCAGCATTAAAAAATGTTATTTAAGTTAAGGTACATTAATGAGCAACATACATCAAAAGTAACAGTAAAATGGTCAATGTTAGTGTTACTGATGCATTTATGTTTAAGTAGTATTTGAACTATTTTATACATGGTTAGATAGTTTAATATATTACAATGCAATATACTTGTATAATAACGTTTTGTATGTAAAGTAACTATACAAATTAGGATAAGGATAAGGATGTTTATTGTCATTGTACGAACATACAACGAAATTGAGTTGGCGACTCATCAGTACAGCAGCAACAGTTAAAAAGTGTATGAAAACATTAAGACAAGACGATTTAAAAACAAGACATTAAATAAATATATACAAGATAAAACAAGATAAAGCACAGGCATCAATGGCTTCAAAGTGAAAAATGTGCTTAGTTACAGTGTCGTGTTATTGACTATATTTGTTTCAGCACTGTCCGGTGTGAGCTGGGTGGGGTGGTGGGTGGGGGTAGGGGGGTGATGGAGGAAACCGCTCTGGGGAAGAAGCTGTTCCTCAGCCTGTTGGTCCGGGTTGTGATGGTCCTGTATCTCCTTCCTGATGGTAATGGAATAAACAGAGTGACCCGGGTGTGTGATGTCTGTGCGGATGTTTCTGGCCTTCTTCTGGAGACGGCCAGCATACGCAGTGTCCAGGTCAGGCAGGGTGACTCCCACAATCCTCTGTGCTGTCCTAACCACACGGGCCAGGTCCCTCCTGTTCTCTGCTGTGCAGCTGGCATACCACACAGTAAAGCACTGACACAGGATGCTTTCGATCACACTTCTGTAAAAGTCCAGGGGGCAGGCCAGCTTGTTTTGGCTTCCTCAGAAAGAAGAACCTGTGCTGGGCTTTCTTCACCAGGTGTGATGTGTTCAGGGACCAAGTGAGGTCTTTAGTAATGTGGAGCCCCAGGAATTTGATACTGTCCACCCTCTCCACCTCCTCCCCACTTATGTAGAGTGGAGAGGGTGTGGTCTTCCTGGATCTCCTGAAGTCCACTATGACTTCTTTGGTCTTGGCGGTGTTCAGGACCAGGTTGTTGTCCGAGCACCACTCAGCCAATTAATGTATAATAAGAATACAAGTGGCATCAAATAGTAATACTCAAGTAAAGTACCAAGACTAGTATCTTGTACTCGTGTACCGTAGACTACTTAAGTAAATGTACTTACATTCCACCACTGATATTTTGTCTGTATTTATTCTTGTATTTGTTTTTATTTCATTATGTCCCGTTTATTCATTCAGTGTTGAATGTATTATCTTCCTGCTTGGTAATATGTTCATATATTTGTTGATTCCACTAGCAGCTATGAGTGTATAACAGTCGTATGACTACATAATCACACACACTTGCAGTAATAATGTAACACTTGATCGCAGTTCTTACATTACATTGCTGTAAACCAGCAGCGCGTCGCAGGGATGCAGCCAATCACGAAGCCACGTTGAAAGATGAGGAGATGGGAGGAGAAAAGGCACAGGAGAGCTTCCAGGAGCTTTTTTTCCTGTCTCATCTGTTTCAAAGCTGCGGGAGAGGTGGCAGACCGTGCATCCTGCCTGCTGAAACAGAGGAAACTTTGTGTTAAATTACACGGTATCAACAGGGAATGCGTTGAAAGAAGCAACTGGGAGAATCTACGGATTACACCGCCTGCGTTTTGAAGCCGCTTTCTCGTGCGTAAAAACATCTGATCACTGGACTATGAGCAAACTTTTCCCGTCTGCGGAACCAACGCATTTCAGATTTAAAGAAGTGGACGTTTCGATGACACTTTTTCTGCGATTGCTGAAGGTTGCAGACTGAAAGAGACGAACCAAACTGTTCGCTTTAGATCGAGGAGGATTTTGGAGACTGCCGACATGAGACCGTTTGTCATCTGCGCGCTTGTGCTCTTAAAAGTAAGCAATTGTTAATTACTGCTTTACGAACACACATACCTCTACTACTCCACAGCCTTCATAATCTGTCGAGTCTTATTTCTCACTCATCATCATAGCGTCACACTAGCAGCCATAAGCTTCATCACCGAGTTCAGTCTTGCACCATTGTTCCCAAAGGAAATGTTTTACACCACAGCGCCCTATTTCACTAAGGCTGTGTCACACGGCCCCTGTTGGCGACTAAGTTTGTTGCCATTCTATAGTTGGCAAATACCAGTGGAAAGAGTGAGAGCACAAATCAGATTACATCTCATCCTATCTTTCTTTTAAAGTCTCTCATGACTAAACAAGAGTGAAGGCTTATTTTTGCTTTAATGCTGCTTGCCTTGGACTGTGGCCTACCCACTGCACATCTGGCTGATGCAGACTTTCACAAAACATCCTGGAAGTCTGTGCAGACTCAATAGACGAGAATGAGCCAAACCATTTAGAATAGCAGAGAGAACAAAACACTGTAGCACACGATTAACCACGATTATGCACCTACACAGTGATAAATGAGGTATTTTATCAACAAATTATAGTTTCAGCGGCGTTTGATAGCATATTATTAAGCCGGGATCCGTGTGAGAAGAAGGCTCCTGCCTCTACAGTTGCAGACAATAATTTGACACTCATCTACCTCAAAAATCCCATGGGGCTTGTAGTTCTGTCTGGGCACGCTCCTCGGAGTCAAACACTTTTGTTCGATCAAAGTACTTAGCTCTTAAAAAGATGTGTATCTCTCTCTCATTATAAGGGTGTGAAATCCAAAAAGGTGTCCTTTTGAAATCTAAGATGCTGTTTCTCAAACTAACACAGTGACTTCAAGTTTGTTTCTGTAGCCCACTGAAAAGTATTTATGCTGGCAAAATTATTCTCTTATTACTCACTGGATGATTTAGTGAAGAAGTCGATACAATATGTGAGCACAGTCTTCATGAATGTCTACTCGGCTCATATTGCCTGTACTTTACTTTACATGTTGCCATGTTTGTTGCTTACGACAATTCCTGGCGAAAATCTGGCCTCGATTTCAGTATAGAGTTTGGATATCCAGAGCGAAGCAATTATCACAATTTACTCCCAGTTTGTGGTGTGTGTGTGTGTGTGTGTGTGTGGGGGGGGGGTAGTTTAGTTTATTACCACAGTCATTTGAATTTCCATAGACTAGTTAGGCAGATCTCTGTGGGGGCCAGACTTCAGGATCATTTAGGAATTTAAACTGCCTCTTAACTCTGTGGTGTGTTGTTGAAAATCAGTAGATTAAAGGTTAACATATCACTGTGTGCTGTCTTGTTTGATTCAGGATCATAGTTTCGGGTGAGCTTTCTGTCTGAAAAAAAGAAAGACACCCATGTCCTTTAATTTGTCCCTTATGCTCCCTGTATACTAATGACAGTAATCAGTGCAGATGGGGTGCAGCTTTGACAACTTTCCCTCCGCTCAGGCTGTCTCTGCTGAAAGACCTCTATCTGTTGCCGTCACAGCCAGATCAAGAAGGCTCATGAGGGTCGCTGTCTTCTCAGGGAGAGAGAGCATCCCTTTGTGTGTTTATTTTCACGCAGATTCGATTAACTGTGCAAACTTCAGCCTATACGCTTCCAAAGTGGTCTCACTTCAAAAGGGCACAGAAAATGTTACAGACTGAAATGAAGTGTGTGTGTGTGTGTGGGTGTGTGTGTGTGTGTGATCCGCGATGACTGAGTGACTCCAGCAGCCGTGGAGTTGAGAGCCCCATTGAAAGCATGCTGAGCAGTGCTGCTCGGTGGTCCGTCTGTTCTCACTGGGGAATCCCTTCAGATTGCAGCTTCTTACCTCAATGGAAAAAGCAACTGCAGCCCCCTCCCCTTCAGACTCTCTGAAGACTGAATACTCTTAGGTAAATACGTCTTTGCTTGAGAATTGGATACAACAGCAAAGTAGGATATTGTTGATTTATGTACCACTAAAGTTTGATTTTGTCTTCTGGTGCTACAAAAACTAAAAGAAAAGCATAAAAGTAAGGAAGCATAACACATTTTTGTGATGAGGAAGATTTATTGGTAATTATGTCTAATGATAATTTAGTTTAAAATCAGACAGTCTGAACTTTATCAATTCATTACAGTATTAAGTGTTTTAGATATGAATTGCACACTGACATATTTTCTCATACCAACAAACATTAAGTGGTACCCAAAGTACTATTTTGTATACTGTATATAGTAGATAATGACTTAGTCATACCTCTACTGAGTAGATCACTGTTCCCACTCGTCTCTAGTGGGGCACGGACTAAATATTTTATTGCACACCGTGCACCAGTGGATGGAGTGCCAAGCATTTGGCAGTTCCTGCCCTCCAGGCAGGCTTACAGAGCTACCCTGACTCACACCAGGCCCTGTGAGATGACAGAAATCCAAGCTGGAGGTAAAAATAAAACAGAGCCACTGTCACCAAATATTTACCAAAGCATAGATTGAGGGCTAAAAGGTTAGCTAGTGTTAGCAGGGCAGCTCCATCTTTCACACAGAGTGGACCAACCAGTTACCGGGGAGCTTTCGTGCTACAAGTCCAGACTCGGTCACAGTCTACTGAGTCCAAACACCCTGCTGGTTCCTGCCTGCTGGATCCTACCACCCTGACACCCTAATACCTCTGATCTGGTTCTGTGGCTGCTGCTTAGATATCATCAGGCTCCTCTAAGTGCTGCAGTAAATCTGGCTGTTGTTTTTAGAACGAGGCGATCGAGCGCCGTTTCAAAGCTGTTTCTCCTGTAGTATCAGCATGGAACATTTCAGTGTTTTCCATACCAGGGGCATGGTGTGTGTGTGTGTGTGTGTGTGTGTGTGTGTGTGTGTGTGTGTGTGTTTCTGGTGGGCTTTTTGTTGGAGGCTCAACAGGTTCACACACGTTGCCTGTGTTTGTTGGCAGACTTCAGAGACAAAGAGAGACATCAGTGGGTTGTTTAGCTGTTACTTTTCCCCTTTGCAGGAGGTTAGTTGTTAGACATCTGTTTGCTCTTGTTAGCCCTCAGGCCGAGTAGGGCAATCTCCCTTAAATGTGTGCATGTTTTAGATGCCGCTGTGCAGAGTGAGTTAGCGAAATACTGACCTCCGTATAGACACACCTACAACTTCAAAGGACCCCTCTCACCCATACAGACACTTGCATGCTGGGCAGCCTTGGTTAACTGACACCCTTGCCTGGGGCTGGAACCGTCTCCATTATATTACC